CATGCCATTACAAATGAATGGGATGTTCCTTAGCCTCCTCACCGGTGGCACAACTACACGCTGAGTGTGTACAATTCGAGCGCAATATATTCTTTTGCATAGCATCATTGCTATATTATATATCCCGTAATTGCTGTGTTGGGAAATAGAGCACAGTATCATTATTGTATATAATATGCAAAAAGATTCGGAGAGAATTTAAACAACCAAATGAGAAAAGTTGAGGCAAGTATTAACCATTTCCATAATTTTGCATACACCTTTTTGCACCACCACTCATTATTTACCTGGGACTTTTTCTCACAGAACATCTCAATGGGTTTGTTGTCAAGGGGTGTGGAAAACGCCCCAACCCTTTTCACCACTCCCCCGCGGCCTGTGTTGGGAGAGTTTTTTACGTGGTTCAACTACATATTTGGGACACCATTTTCCAACACGTTGAGTGAAAATGTGAATATTGTAACTGACGGTTCAGACAAAGTTAAAAAAAATCGCCTGTTTAATCCATATTTTTGACCAAAAAATCGACATGAAATCTGGCAATGTTAGAATCATCGCTCAAGTGTTTGAGGGACTGGAAAATGACTGTGATCAGTTCGCAAAACGGCGGGTAATAATACAAATGGGCGTGGCGTTCGAATGGGAAGGGCTTCCGAAGTTCATAATTCACACATGACTGCAACCTATAGTATTAGAAAAACTTTAATATGTGTGAAGTAATTGATATGAAAAGCGCATTTCCCAGAATTTAATGTATTTCTCCACTTTCATTTATATTCTCTACATGTGTGAGAAGTAAGAAATGGTTTTTACCGTGTAAAAGCACAACTTGTGCGCGACATTGTGATGTCAGGGAAGCCAGAAAGGTTCACCTCAGCTCCATAGAAAAATTACTGTATTGCCTTTACACAATCTTCTCCTACGATGATCCTCAGCCATGCGAGAAAATAGACTCAACTCACAAAAGTCCAAATAATAACGGAAAACTCACACACATAACCATACATACATGGTGGAACAAATATAATTTGCCATTCTCAACTCGCTATTGTTGTTCGCTCCGAGAGCATATATATGTGTGTGTCTAAAGTATTTTTCTCTAAATTGTACTACTATTAAATGGGGTGCAGAAGAATGCTATAAAAACGAATGGGTGGCATTGCAAAGCGCCCGGCGCTGAGTATGTAACTATGTATATGTATATATAGGATACACTCAATTCCTGCCCCGATGCGGAGATCCAGGGAAAGGCGGGAGGAAGTGAGATACAGAGCCCGTACATAAAACATGGCAGAAAGCTGGGAAAGAAGCGACCGCGCTCCAGAGAAGTCGAGCACTGGAAATGACACTTTGAAATGAAACGGGCCGACGGTCGAGAATCGGACAGAAAAATGTTATCGTTGAGCGTTTGTAAAAAAGCCCAGACCGTGTTTAAGTGTTGAATGCGAGTGGGAGAAGTGGGTATTATCCCGGATGTTATGTATTACAGCGACAAAGTACATTCTCATGAAGTTGAAGTGTATTTTCGTGTATGGGCCCCCAAAATACGGCACCACAAGTGTAGTTAATTCTTATTAGGCAAAAGCTTCGGGTGCCACAGAGTGAAATGAGCTTTGCCAGAGTGTGATTCGCTGGAAGCGCAATTTTGGCGGCTGTGAACCACTTTTCGCCACATTAATCTGCCCCTATTGATGGCAAAGAGATCGGTTTTATCAGCTCGAAAGAAGTCTCTTAATTAACAGGCAAGTTGACTCTTCAATGCCCGATAGAATGCGTGGTCTTTTCAACTAGAAATAATAAGCATCATATCTTATTTTCCACTTCAATGGCCAACAGTGAAGGACATTAAAAGAAAATAACATTTTTATTAAGAGAGATTTATATAAGGATATTTCCATGACGCTGTACTTTATTTATGTGAATGTCTTTTCTCTATTTGGACGCGGGATTGTTTCGTGGCGGAGATACTTTATGGCACATGGAGGTGAATAAAGGGGGTGAAAAAACAACACCACAAACAAAGTGCGGGAAGCATTGATAAAGAGAACCACTCCTTATCCGCCAGAATTCAACCATTGTTATTCACACAGCGCGAACATGAACATGTGTTCATAAAATCATGGCATGCGATATACAATACACCACAAAATACGCAGAAGTACTTCAAAGTTTTTCGTTTTATTCATCCCCAAACCCTAAAATCCCTTCGAGTACCACAAAGACAATGCGAGTTGAGAAGTTCGCTCCATTTGATGCTGTAGTGGCTTTCCGATTTTCCCTCCTTTCTCTCTGTCTGTGCATACAAAAGAAGACATATGATGCCAAGTCACTCCAACGACAATCTGTCAGCATCGCGCCATGTTCAACAGTCGGTGGCATAAAAGATGGAATAGAAAAAAAACGCTGAAGGGTCGTAATTTTTCAGTCAAACCTCATTGCATAAGACTTAATGCATAGTCAAATATTTTGAGTTTCTATGCCAACTGCATAATTCAGTTTTTTTTTATTAAATGACCTGAAATATAAATGTGAAGCAGTCATAAATAAATCTCATCAGTACGGAGCATAATTTTTCACCAAACTCAATTCGCATGTTCAAATTAATAATTCGAAGGCCCCGAGAGAACGCATACAAACGTGGATTCTGTCCCTAAAGAATCGCGTAATATTGTAATAAAATATTTATCCATGTTCCATTTTTAACTTAAAGTCAATATAACAAATTACAGTGACGTTCGAAAGAATAGTAATGCTAAATTTACACAAAGAACAGGGAGAAAAGAAATGTTGCAACAATCTCTAAATATGAAGATCATCCTTTTTGTGCTTTATCTGCTTCTCAAAACACATCAATGTGTGCCATAAATCGCTGCCATGGAGCTATTTTGTCTCCCACAACTGTTCAAACATATATTTTTCACATACTTATGAACACGTAACCGTAACGAGAAAATTGACATATTGTGATACATAGAAATACATCATCTTCCGACGGTTGAACGCATTAAAAAATCCTCAGCATCAGCCATGATTTCCCCCTCTTTCGCACTTTCCCCCCCCCCACATAAAGCACGCATATAAATCTATACATAGGAGATAGAAAACAATTTTGCAAACAAGCAGAAAAAACTTGTTTATAACATTTCACCCGAAGCGACAAATAATCAAATTGATGGATAATTTTCACGCACCCTGCAAAAGTGGGTGGCTGAACGTTATACAGAGCCTGAAAAAAAATTGCTGGAATCAGTCAGCGTGAGACTTCCGGGGTTTTCGCAATTTGCACAACGTGCGAATGAACCATGCTGCGAATAGTGCGCGTATGACATGTGGGACAGGCTCGATATGGCCCCTGATGTGGCCCAAATTCGGCCAGGAAGTAGTACTGATACAGGCAGTGTGTGCTGCTAAATAACCACAGCCGAGAATTGTGCAATTCCCATGATATCACAATCATTGGCTCCCTGCGAATAACAGGAAATGTTTTGCCGCTGCCATTGCTCACTATCGCACCCCTAAACGCAAAACTAAATAACATTTATCATGGTGAATTCGCAGAAAATGGCACTCCATACACATGTAGTGTGGTATAAATTTAATTACATTATCTCGAGCGCTGCAATTTTTAGCGCACGGCATGTGCCACAAGCCCACCCACTTATTGTGCGCCAGACAGGTGAGATGTGGAGCAGAGTTAAACAGCTTCCAGGGCGGGAAAAACGGTGGAGTTTTTCCACTTTATTGTAACACCATCATTTCCACACGTAAAATATTTAAAGCCACCTATCAAATTCTGACAGAGTGGTTCTTCTCATGCGATTCTCCCATTGTGTGCTCCAGCCGTTTACTCAATAAATTGCTTGCATCCCATACAAGACATGTGTACAGAAGGGAGCTCGATGTAGTCATCCATCTGGTAAACCATCCATCCAGTCTTTCGCCTTCGTGTGCAAGCGGTGGACGGGGGTTGTGTGATGAAAGGAAAAGATGAGGAATGAACTATAAGAGCCCCATCACACCATGCACACATGTCTGCTGATGATGCCGAGAAGGGTGGCGCAAATTTGTCCGTGAATGTTGCGAAATTTTCCACAGAAATTGCATTACCACAATGTGTTTGCATCAATCTCCGGACGGATTCACGGAGAAGTATTCGCATTGTGAAAATTAGATAAGAACAAATTGGCGGAGAATATATTTGTAGGCATTTTTCGCGATGCTTTAAGCCATGGATGATGAAAAGCACGGTCTTTCGCGATAATCCCTGGGAAAATTTCATACTTTCCATATCAATGAATATTATACACCCTGCCATGATGAAGATTAAACGAAGGGATGAGGCGAATATCCAAAAAGGCCTCTCTCTCTCTTCCCACATCTGTGTCCTTAGCAATTTCCATCCACTACACTCTCTCTATCCGTGTTCATTTCTCACCCTGACACCACATCACACCATTGCGAATCACATAGCATGGACAGGACAAAAGGCACTGGTCTGTGTCAGGGACTGAGCATCGACCCTAGGAATTGAATTCGGGCTTCCGTGCCGCAGAAGTGCTCCTAGCCAGTCCACCATCAAATTCAGACATCATTTACGATTTATAACAACACACTTGCCAGCCACTTTTCGATACTTATGTCCTATCTATACCCGCAAATATGTTTTCTTTGTCATCCTTTGGCCCTCCGCCCACAAGGTCTGCCGCTCGCAACCGTCGAAAAGGACTGTGAAACAAAAACAGCCTCATTTTCCTGAATTGTACGGCTTTTTTGCTGTACAAATTTATTATTTCTGGCCAATATTGAAGCTCACATTGCCGCCCATTTGGCTCGATTTCTGGGCGCCCACTTGAAAAATACACACACATCAAATACAGAAATAATGCTGGAAATTTATTAGTGGCGACACTGAAATATGCCTCGCCATAAAGCCAAACCTTCTTTTCTCGTTCATTTGCACGCCCGAAAGTGTAACACAGATGTTTGATCACCTTTTGCAGTGGTTAATCAGCGATACGAGCCCGAGGTGCAAAATCCGGGCGGATTCATTGGTGGGAATGTGCTCATACGTTGCAACATACCGCCTTTTGTGAAGGAGCACGTGACAGTGACATCGTGGTTGCAGGAGCCCTCATTCAACATTTATCCATCTCTCGAGGGTGGTGAGTGATTTGTATGATCCCTGGCATCGCACACACATCGCATCAAACTCCTGAGTTCCTCCTCCGACACTCTGTAGTTTAGTTGACATTTTCATGCATGAATCTGGTCTTGAGTTTAATTAAACTTGTACCCATTAACCCTCAAGTTATTCTCATCTATGTACTCAGGAATCGATATGACAAGCCACATAGCACTCATGTTACACATAATACACTCATTCCATATCATTGAGATATTGCTCAGGCATTTCCATCGAATTCATTTCACCCATTTATCGTGAACATTGTGATGCACTTCCAGATGGAAAATACCACATGTTGCCATCGGGCGAGTTGTTGGTCATCAATGTCACACGCAATGATGCAACTAAGAAAACATTCAGATGTCGGACGCATCACAAGCTCACACAGGAAGCCGTTGTCAGCACCAATGCTGGCAGGATTCAATTGTCAGGTGAGTAATCCGGCAAAAGTGATTAGCAGTATCAATTATGCTAAAGACTCGAAATTGTCTGGTTAAGAGAAAGTTATGCAAACTTCACCAGACCTTCCATTAGTCTTAAGCCAGAGACTCAATTAAAAGCCTACGATTCCTCTGCTATTATAGAAACTCGTTTGTGGACTAGATTAAGCTCTAAACTCTTCACTAAAACCGCATCCATTGGCGTAAGGAGTAACATGTAAAATTCACAAGTCATATAAAAGTTTTTCCCGATTTTACAGAAAGATTGTTTGATCACAGCATTGTTTATTTTTCCAGTATTTTGATGTTATTACTACGAAGCTAAGTAAGAATCTAGAAGAGCTTTAAGGAAAAGACACTTTTTATAAATCTTAATACATGGTAGTCTTAAATCCGAGGCTACGCCCATGTCCAGCTGATAAATTTTCAGTTAAGAAAAGGTGTTAAAGGCAAGATCATTTTTCATCATTTAGCAAGCGCACACTGGCTTAAGCATGATAAATACCTGATGAGAAACCCTTGCGAAAGCAATATAGGAGGTGGTGATTTAACATGATGCTGAAGTTGCGAATTGGATAAAGATTCCATGAAATCCGCAGTCGCAGACGGATTTTTAGCACTGAAAGCGAATTATTTGCCATTCTACACGTTAATTATCGTGTAAGTTTCGCCAAGTAAGACAAAGATGCGGTGTCTGGAGGAGGATGACATGGAAAAGACCCCTGCGAGCGCTGCTGGAAAACTTTGATGATTGTGAAATGCGAATGGGTAGTCAATTCAATGGTGCCATTCACCACTGAACTGGAGGGCTTCCTTTGCACACAACTTGCCATCCACTAAAGTTTTCCTCAATTTTAATCACTCCAGGCACTTGAAATTTCAAGAGACATATCGTTCAATTTAATGAGACGTAGAGTCATATATGTAATAATCCACCCTATTTTCTTCTCTCTTGTTCTCTCAACAGAAATTCGCGAATCTGTGCCGCCAATAATGAATGAAAAACTTGTGAAACTTGTGGCAAATTACGATTATATTGTGGTACCATGTGTGGCATATGCAAATCCCAAACCCATTTACAGGTAAGATCCATTAGAGGAGGTGAGATGAGGAATATTTTAGCATTTCTCCGGTGATGAGATGTGTCGGAGTGTTGCTGAATAATTTACAAGCGATGAAAGAATTTCGCCTCCGAGCGGAATCGTTCTCAATTTATGTTGCCCAAATTAAAGATGATAATTTTATTAAGATATAAAGTACGTATGCTAAATGACAAGTTACACACAGCTTTGGCGCGAAGCGTCGTAAAATTTTGTGGGTATTTCTCTTATCTCACTGTCATATTGCGCTGTATACAAGCGAATTGCGGAAAACCCATTTCCAATATTTCCCGGAATTAAAGAGCGCCACCCGCGAGATGAGCTTTTATATACATTGTGTATTTATCACGTAAAATGTAATCACCTGAGCGAGGTATTGTCTCAAGTCTCATCACCACCCATTAATGTACACACGGAATATTATCTCATAACGCGTCCATCGTAAATCGTTCGCTCTCTGTAGCTTTCGCCAGCAAAGTTGGTACATGTTGCGTACATAGACATAAGATATGATCCAGAGCCACCCCATAATGAATGTAGTCAACACTTTGCCAACTCTTACACACCCAAGTGAATGGCTAAGGTAAACACGAGAGAAGGGTGGGGGATGAGGAGAAGGAATTCTGGTGAGAACCCATCCAGATGCCATTTGAGTATATGTTAGTGTGGAGCATCTATTGAGAAAATGCCCTCACACCAGACCGAGAGCCATCCTGAACCCGGGAGCTTCGTGTCGTATTCTGGCTGCAGACAACCAACTGTGCGCCAGGGTGTGGGATGAATGACGATGATGGCGATGATGGAATACATCATCACTCTTAACATCTCACCATGTTCCCAGAGTTACATAATAGCGGCGCATCAGAAGCCCAAAACCACCTCATCCAGTGACGAGACCGGGTGCTCGCAACCCCTTCCGTCTGCCCCCATTGACGACCCTTCGACGACTCGATGGATTGTTTGTTTATCCAACCATTCCAGCCGTGCTCGCCATGCTGGGCCACCCTCCATGGCAATGTTGGTGTTTCATTTCCTGCACGAACAGTAAATATTGAATTTGTTAGTACAGCGACTGGAGGCGCAGGGAATGGTCACTCGGGGGTCCGCACAGGGGCCACTCGATGGATGAATTCAAAGCAAATGAAAATGCTCTGATGAATTCCGTATTAAGCATGCATGTGCTGATAATTGTACATATGTAAAAATTCAGCCAAATTGCCATGAATAGTGCACACGCTCTCTATATACCATAGCGAACACACATCCAGTCAGCCAATATTAGGACGGATATAATTGGCTAGGGAAAATTCCTATTGACGCAGCCAACAAGCGGAAAACTTTGTAAATTAATTACAATTACTTCGCTAATTAATGATTGGATATCTTCCCATATAATTCTTCATCTCAAATTCATTCACTCAGTCAAATGGAATTATTGTGAAATTCCGAGCCAAAATCTGATGACAATTCCCGACAGAGTCAGTAAATATTGAGGTAATCGATTGACTTATTCCGCTTGACCATTCTCAATAAGAAAATCATGCCATTTCTTCTTCAACTGTAAAGCTAAAAGTTTCCACAACCTTCTGAACTTTAGGTTGTGAAAATAGTTGAAATTTCCTAGAATTTCCGTTACTTATTCAGACGATTCACGATACAAAACAACTCTGAGACGTTTCTAAAATTACCCTTTCTGATTAATTTGTAATGATTCAAATTTGGATTTGAAAGGTTTTCAATTACAAAACTCATTGAACCACATCATAGTGTATTTGTCTTTCTAGTGTCAAGTTCATGACTAATCCATCATGAATTTTCACATTATTCAGCATATGCATTGGGGATTTCCAACTATATATATTCTGATTGATGTTGCTGCACAAAAGACGAGAGGAAATGTGGAGTTTGCCGAATATTTGCTATTGCGTAATTTATAAACTCACACCCTTTTTGCATGCACACAATTTTCCCCGTCATGTGCAAATACAGAGTGCTATTGATTGCAAAGGGTGACCACTATATTTGCCGCCCACATTCAATCATCCCACCCACGCTGACACATATTGTTTCGCGGGATGCGCTGTGTGAAAAAATAATACAGTCTCTGGAGCAAATATGCAAATATTCATTAACTGGCATCAAATTTACATGCCATTGCATAAATATGTGTACTGTTTGAGGCATTATAGTTGATGTATTTACTTTTACATACCTAAACTACATATTCGCACCACACATCATAATAATATCATACCGCAAATTAATGTAGTTTCAACGCAAAGGTGTTTTATTCACCCTCAACTATCGGGAGAATTTCGGTCTCGGACTCTATTTTAATTTCATTTTAACTACAGCATGTATTGTTGCATAACAATTGAAATTTGCGATGCCAAAACAGCAACTGATACCATTTTCATCATTATGCAAGCTTAGGGGAAGGCAAAGCTTCAGTGTAATTTCACTGCAGCAGAAATCACCACTGGATAAAATGTTACGTGGAATTAAATGATTATGATGAGCGAAAAATGTTATTAAGCAAACATGCACCCATTCAATCAATTTCCATTTAATTTTTCCCACTCCATCTAACGTGGAAATACACAGTGGATTATACTTTGTATTATATCGCTGAATATGTCATGTAAATGCCTCCTTTCACTCTGTCACAATATGTACATATTTTCACGACAATCACTGTCATTTGCAGTCATCGATGTATTCACGAATTCTTTTCACAACCATCGTTTTTGCCCAGTTTCGCTCGTCGTGAAAAATATCCCATACGTGAATCCATAGTAATTTGTATAAAACTGCTATTTAGCATTTAAACCTGAAGAGCATCTCAATTTTCCCTCTCGAATGGAATGGAAAAATGATTTTCCTCATGCTCTGAAAGTGACATCGCGAAATAGGAAAGTGTGCTGGTATTGATGATACAGGCATAATGGCATGAACTTTCTGCATGTCTCATTGTTTGTAGCTTTGACAGAAAAAGGGGAAAATGTTCCACGGAAAATTGTTCAGCAGAGAGAAAAAGTCGCTGATGCATGGAAAAAAGCTGCATGACACATGCAAATTTAATGCGACCACACGGAAAATACGAGCTCATCGTGTAATTTTTAACCAATTTTGTTCTGCTCTTCTTGCACTTCGATTCCAAAACATTTGTTCACAAATGCCCAACAGTGAGTTTGGCAAACAGATAGGAATTTATTTCAATGCTAATTGCATTGTGTGTACATTGAAAGCAGCGATTTTCAATATTCATGACCAAAGAGAGCTTATCCAACCATAAAGCTTAACGCTTTCGGGGGGGTGGATACATAAACAAGCATGAATACACAAACGGATAGCATTTAAAAAAGGCCGATAGCGTCACTGAAGGACTTTTCCGCCCACGCATTCATATTAAAATGAAATTGAACAACTTTAAAGTTGCCTTGCGAATGCTTTACACTCATTGAAGTTCGCGCTTTGCTGAGATAAAAAGCGTCCAATCTCCAAGTCAGGGTGAAATTTTAACGCAAACTGCCATAACCTGCCTCGTATATACCTTTAACAATCTAATATTCTGCGAGGGTGTAAATATCCCTGGTGGCTAAATTTTCATACTCGCGCTCGAGGGTGAGACAGAGAGCAATATCAGCATTTCGTGAATAAATTTGCTAAATTAAAAATGACCCGTGAAAAAGCAATTTCGGGCAAATTGGTACTGCATTGATGACCCGCCTCGCGACCCCACGTGAAAACATATATTATGGAGAAGTATCAAATTAACACATTGTTTCAAGCGCCACATAAAATATTCATTACACTGTGAGTGAATCTATATACAGAATAACTATGACAAATTTTTATACCTCGCAACACTCCCACTTCCCACCGCAAGATATTCTGAATGGGAAGCTTGAATTTCACACCATCGGGCGTGATAGCATAACAAAGTGTGAAATACGACTAATTTTGGCAATTAATTATCATGCATGACGCACACACAGATGGCACATGAAGAAGAATGGCCGGGACGAGGCGCTGGATGAACTCCTGAACACGGGTCGTGCCACTATTCGCGATGGCACCTTAACAATCATGTCTCTGAAGGAAACCGACAATGGATCGTACTTCTGCACAGCCACTAATTCCGAGGGAAGCGAGACAATGGAAGTTCAGCTGGTCATTAACACGGCCCTGAGCGTACACATTACACCACCCAGTCAGACAATAGACCTCGGCAAGGCGGCCTTCTTCAGCTGCAGCGTCACAGGAACACCCCAGAGCACCGTCACTTGGCTCAAAGACGGCCAACCTCTGCGCACTGGCGCCAGAGTGCGGCTCCTGGCCGCCGATCACGTCAAGATCACCTCCACCAACAAGGAGGATCGCGGCATGTATCAATGCTTCGCCAACAACGATTTCCAGTCGGCACAAGGTGAGAATAAAGCCCATCTTTTCGGCTGTTGTAGGAAGAAAGTAGCATAATTTTAATGATATTAATGTGCTTACTGTGAGAAGCTTATAATGTTCCCATAATTCCTCCACGCGATTTTTTTTGTCCACAGCAATTCGCATTATTATTATTTATAATAAGCCCGAATTGAATATGACAAGTTAATCGATAAGTCGCATTCGCTGGCAAAGCGACATTGTACCAAAGTAGAGCTTTAAGCGATATTCAGCGCAAATGGGATTAAAGCGATTATTTATTCCATAAACAGACTGTCAAGCTGTCTGTGGTTTGTACACGCTTAGAATACACATTTCGGGGAAATCATGCGGTGCCACCCGAAGATTTGGCACTGACTCGCTTAAATATGAATCCTGCTGGCAAAGTATATACAAGTGTCTAACTCCTGTCTTGTCGCTCTCTCTCCCCCCAATTCTCACAGCCACTGCGGAGTTAAGACTGGGCGAGGTGGCACCACATCTTACTTACAAATTTATAGAACAAACAATGCAGCCGGGACCATCTGTTTCACTCAAGTGCAGCGCCACTGGCAACCCAACGCCACAGATTTCGTGGTCTCTGGACGGCTTCCCACTGCCAAGTGTAAGTATAGGCGAGGAGTGTACGAATGTGACTCTAATTGCGATTTCGCAAGTAATTTTAATTGAGATTTGTAACTCCTTCTGCGCCACACGACATAATTCACCCACAATTGCCACCCTGAATTGCTCAATCTCAGCTTAATACACTCTGCAAGAAATCGTAAAAATGTCCTCTTAATTAAAATTTAAACGCCATGCGGCGATTTCGCACCGTATCAAACTTTCCTGGATCTATTCCAAAGAGCTTCGCGCACCGTCCTATAAGAATATTATATTAATTTATAGAGAATTTCACCCCCTTTTTTACCAGCCCCGAAAAAAGCACAACATCAAAGCGGGCCCGAGAGATAATCACTAACCAAGTGTACGAATATGTACATAAATTTAGCACAGGAAAGCAAAGAAGGAAAGCGGAGGGCATTTAAGGAAAGTGTGATAATTTCCCAAGGGCTGTGTAGGCAAAAAATAAATAGATTTTTTAAGAGGCACAAAAACCAACGACCTGAATGCCTCCCGAGATAACTTTCCTCTCTGTCATAATGAAACTTCTTGCATGACTAAGAGGAAAATCATTGGCTCAATTTTCCGCTTCGTTTCCCATCAAATTTAAGTGAAAAATAAATACGCAATCGCCTTCACTGAATAATTATCCCTTGTCTCGCCTCTCTTTCCATCCTTCGCTGCAGAACGACCGATTGATGATTGGCCAGTATGTAACAATATTCGGTGACGTCATAAGTCACGTCAACATATCGGCAGTCAAATCGGAGGACGGGGGCGAATATGAGTGCACGGCCAAATCGACCAGTGGCAGCGCCACCCACTCGGCCCGCCTCAATGTTTACGGTGAGTACATCCGTTTTGCGAGCGAACGCAGTTTTTCCCTGCCACGCATTTGCCTCCTTTTCCCAAGGGGGAGATACTAGAGGCTGATGTGACACATTATGCGACAAGACAAAAAAAATTCTTCTTGTTGAATTGTAAAATTACATTTCAATTTAATAGCTCAATTTTTTCTGTGATATTTTCAACCATTCTCTTAGGAAATCCTGGAATTTTTTGGGGAATTTCTTAAATTTTTGACGAAAGCTCAGAGAATAATGGAGGTGGTGTACAGATTTCAGCCGTATTATCTCCCCCTTGCCAACTTTCGCCCAGTACACAAATGAAAAATCAATAAATATCACGTTTGGGGGAAGTGTAGCCTCACACATCCTGTCTCACGCTCCCATTCATCTGCTTATATTCATGACATGGGTATTAGAGCTGTACGGATAAATGTAACATGGGTAAGATGGTTGTATTGTGTGAAAAGTAATCGGATTTATTTATTTTCATTTCTTCCTGTTGTCCTCTTTCCTGTTGACATCGACACACAAATATACAGGAATGCCGTACATTCGCCCAATGCCGCCGATATCGGCAGTGGCTGGAAAAACTATGACGATCAAGTGTCCGGTGGCCGGATATCCTATTGAGTCGATTGTATGGGAAAAGGACAATACACGATTGCCAACAAACATGTGACAGCGCGTCACAAATGGCGTTCTGTCCGTAGAAAATGTCCAGAGGACCACAGATCAGGGAACATATTCCTGCGTGGCAAGGAACAAGCACAATTACACATCACAGCGAACAGTCAGCATCGCCGTTCTGGGTAAGTCTCCTTTACAATCGCCTGAGCGTATAAATTATATGAGGAGTTACACTTTATGCAGCAAAAACATCCCGCTCAAGTCTACAGGTTGTACAAAAAGAGGGAAACACGGAGAGAGAATGGGAAAGTTTCTCGAGTATTCGCTGAAAAAAAAGTTAAATGCAACTTTACAGTGGTGAGAAAGAAGTTCATAAGCCCAGAGTTAACTTACAGTATCTGCGATTCAATTGTGGTTTTAGTGGTAGTTTCTTTCTGAAATAATATTCAGAGCAGCTTTAGATACTTCCTTTAATCAATACTTTCTTGGGCCACGCCCTTTTCAGGCGGGGCATTAGTGTGGGCGGAGCTTTGAAATTTCTGACAACTCACGTGATAATCCTCATCCCTATTGGGTATAAGCAAAGTCAATTTTCCATATATTGGGAAAAGCTTTCTCGACGTACGCTTAAATTAAGTTTCAAAATTCAATAGTTCACATATTTCACCATGCAATAAGAAAGTTGATTTGAAAGTCAATTTCAATAGATGTGAATTCTCGGAAAGCATTTCTTCTGCCATCCTTACAACAAAACACCGTGTAGCATCGCTGCGAGGAATGCAAGAAGAATACAAACATTATTTATTTCACTCAATTGAAAACTCTCTGTGCTGAAAGTTTCATTAATGGTGAAAGTGAAGCTCTAAAATACAACAGTTGCTTTTGAAAATTCATTCGAAGAGCAAAAATTGCATTTAAATCACCGTTCAAGTATCACACCAGGTTAAATTATGATTCAATTATCTAGCATAAATTTATGATTAAATGATATACTCGAGAGAAGCTTGGGAAACTTTCTTCTCTCTCTCTCCCTCTCTCTGTCTTCAAATTCTTGGGAGAAAGTTAAGCAATTCTTTGGCCACAGTGAAGGAGAATAATATGAAACACCTTTGCATTATATCACACACTAGCAATAAGTTTACCATAATGTGTTCTTCTCTCTTTCTCTCTTTAATTTGACACACAAACACCATGCAATCGTAATTATGTCGCACAACTTGCACCTGTACTTAATAATGCCGTGATTGCTGTGAAATGATGCGCATTCTGCACGCTCTCACCACAATATGCAATTAACGCTGCAATTAAATTCTGTCTCTCGATGGATTCTGTGGCATTGTGTTACGCAGTGCCCCCCAAAATCACACCCTTCACCTTTGCCCGGGACCTCAACGTGGGCGATCGCACAAGTGTTCAGTGTGTCGTTGTCACGGGTGATTTGCCATTGGGCTTCACCTGGCTCAAGGATGATGTCCAAATTCTGGCCGGCGGCAGTGCATCGATTCGGCAGAACGATGAGTTCACAAGTGCCCTTACCATTCTCGACGTGAAGAAATCCGACGCCGGGCAGTACAAGTGTCGCGTAGAGAACGCCGCGGCGAGTGTCGAGTACACGGCTGAGTTTAGCGTCAACGGTAAACAAGAGGGCGACAAATCTTCTGGTCACTGGGCATCGCATTCTTCATCTATCGGAAAATCAATCATCCCCGATATCATACGAACTTGTGCCCATGACAGTGAAAGCATCGATGAAGAGGCTCATTGACCAGAATTTCAAGCACAATTGCATGTACACGTTGCATGACGCTGACGTTGGTTATTAATTCTCAATGATGATGATGATGATTGCATCAATGATGGCACCCACAATCCCACACACAAGCAATAGACGTCATCATCGTTAAGTGCATCCTCGAGCTTCCATTCACAGCATTTTTTGCAGCATTTCCGCATTGTCCCTCTTCCTCAAAATCCCTCCCCAACATACAAATGAGTAGCGCTTTGTGCTTCTTTGACATTATTTCCAAGCCACCCCCGCTTTTTTTTGCCTGCCACCTCCCCTTCGCTTTAAGCTCGCTGTGTTGTTGCCTGAAAGTTTCGATATTAATGCTTTACATTATGTAGGGAAGTATTTAGAAGTTATTTTCGAGCATGGAGGAAAAGGCGCGCATTACCACTGTGACAAAGATGGAGAGGGACAAAAGTAAACAAGACGATAAAACCATTACTCACAGTTAAAGTGATATTTAAGTCTCCCACCCCCGTTCTCGCAGATGAATGAGTGTCTGTGCACAGCACACTTTCCATCCCAAAGTTTAAATGAAAATATGAAAAGGAACAAGTTGTATGAATTCTGATGTGTGATTTCAGTACCGCCGCGCATCTCTCCGTTTAGCTTTGAGAATGACATTATGGAAGGCATGAGGACACAGTTGATGTGCTCGAGTAGCCAAGGCGATCAACCGTTCAACATAACGTGGTCCAAGGATGGCCGTCACATCGACAGAGGCACAGATGAAAAATCAATCGATATTAATGAGTATTCTCCCTTTTCGAGCATCCTGACCATGCACAATGTGACATCGAGTCACAATGGGAACTACACGTGCGATATAACTAACCGAGCGGCCACAGTGTCCTACACAGCAATGCTATCAGTTTCGGGTAAATGAAAGGTGTTGATGTTGTACTGCACAAGAAAGCTCACCACAGCAAAAAGAATATTCACATGAACGATTAATCAATCAACATTCACCGCGTGTCTCCTTCCACCCACCTTCTCTCCGCAATCACTCTCCCTGACCCAAGTCCTGACCTCTGTCTCTGAATCCCGTGCAAAATTGTAGAAATATCATCATGATGGATATAAAGAGCACTCTCAGCGCACTTTTTACTTGTGTGTCTCTGGATTGAAAGCACTCATCACTCAAAAGAATTGCAAGCACACACATTTTTTCCTTCTTCTTTTACAACCACTCATTTTTTCTGCAAAATTAATAAATGCGTCATTACTGGGAGCTCTAGCGACAGGACGAATGGGGTAACATGAAGGAAAATTCTCTGCAGAGCGCATTTTCTTTGTGATTTTATGTGGTAGAAAATCTCATCTAAACGATATTGTTCTTGGTCTGAGTCGCATGCAAAAATTGAACCAAGTGCAGTGAATTCAGCAAAAAGAGCAGCATAAAGCCTTTAATCTTACTAAGATATTACGTTCAATCACTTTACTCCATTTGAAGGATAATTGTGGGTGGAGCTTATCAGTGGGCGGAACTTAAGTATAGATTTGAGTTCAAATCTGATTAATCACCTTGTCAATCACAGAAGCAGTTATTTTCCCTCGTTTTCCGCAAGTATTTCAGCTTTCTTGCGTTAAAATCAAATCAAATGCAGGCCCATGTTTGTTTTATGACCTTTAGTACAGCATGTCGCGAAAAGCCCTCTCATTTCCGTGTGGCCAGATGAAAGGGGCAGCGCGACGCCCACATGAGACCACAGGAAAATGTCGCAATAAAAACTTAATTAAAATCCCAGTAATTAAATACCACTGGCGCAACATAAAATCGCACTAGACTCGCACTGCACGCTTTCAGGAGAGCAGCACATTAAGTGGTGACTTCTCACACAGCACAAAACATCTGATTATATGTGAACATATTACAAGGTATTATGATGCATTCACTCAGCAAAATGCTGCTTCTCATCTCACTTAAATGCTCACCTCACACCCGGTTTTGTGTGATAAATAACAATAAGATTTTCAGACTATTATTATTGTGGTTACGCGCCACATATTCAACTTCACCATCGCAAACATGCACACTTTGCAGGATACTGTGTGCGGTAACATTTTCTGGGGGCTGTGAAAGTGATGAGAATGTGGGAGCAAATGAGGATTAAAGTGAAATCCCTGGAGGTACAAATGTTCATCATTAAATAAATGCGAAGGTGACCAGTGTACATAAACAACAAATTATTTCACGCCCATTATTCTTTGATTAATTCCATAGAGATAAATCGCATGAGTTTGTTACTCAATAGAGGTGTGTCTCTCTACCTGGCCTAATTAATTAATTCCACCCACGATCCTGCAGATGTGTTTGCCGAAATATATCTCAAAGCAACACAACATTCCACCAAAATTGCTCTCTAATTCTTCATACTTAGTTTCGAGTCCCATTGCAACTTAAATTATAATCTGCCAAAGTGGGACGTGCATGTGAATGCATTTAAGTGTTCTGGCATTTTGCTTGCTGTTATTTATTATTCAGCTACGAACGTTGGATGTTCAAAATGACTTTAAGTGTGTGCATGCTTCACCCTGTGGATTATATCAAGCTCACTGCTGTCGAGATATTAAAGCTAAAATGAAATATTTATCGCAATGCCAAACGCAGTGCCACCACGATGGATTGTCGAGCCACAGGATCAGAGCGTCATTCTGGGCAATTTGGTCATGATCGATTGCAAGGCTGACGGCTTTCCCAAGCCCACAGTCAACTGGAAGCAGGCGATGGGCGACCAGACAGGAGAATACAGGGAACTCGCCTTTGCCACATCATTCGGCATTGAGAGTCACTCCAATGGCTCCCTGATCATACCCAAGGTGTCCAAAGAGCACGAGGGAAACTTCCTTTGCCAGGCCACTAATGGGATAGGCGCAGGACTCAGCAAACTCATTCGCCTGGACGTTCATGTTGGACCCCAAGTCACTGTTCGCAATAAGCAAGTGTCCGTGCGCAGGGGCGAAAAGGTCACGCTCTTCTGCGAAGCGGACGGAGATCAGCCTCTTGACATCTCCTGGCGCTCCAAAGGACACCGCATCGATCCTAGCTACGATGTCCGGTATCACATCAAGAGCACACCCACAGACAGAGGCGTGACGTCTGAACTGACCATCGTACAGACCACGCTTTCCGATCGCGGGCAGTATTCGTGCTTCGCGAGCAATGCTTATGGACAACATCACTCGATCATCCAACTTCAGGTACAAGAGCCACCCAACTTCCCGCGCAATCTGCAAATCAACGAACTCGCCAGTCGCACGCTGATCCTGGCCTGGACACCCGGCGACCAGGACTCCCTCGAGTCGCAGCCCGTGTCAAACTTTGTCGTGCAGTACAAGGAGGCCCAGGATGTCTGGCACAGCGGCAATCCGCAGAAAGTTATACCAGGTGATAAAACCGTGGCGCTCATTAGGTCCCTGAAGCCGGCAACAAATTACCACTTTCGTGTTTATGCTGAGAATCACCTCGGGACAAGTGCAGCTAGTGACATATTGACTGTAAGGCGCTGAGAAAGTTGGCGAATGTGTCTTGAGACTGAACTTTTCCTTCTCTCGTTTCAGGTTCAGACGGACGGCGAGGCGCCAGACGGTCCCCCTTTGCAAGTGACCGTTGAACCTCTGGGGCGGCAGCAACTAATAGTCACCTGGCGACCTCCTGAACACGACGCTTGGAATGGCGAGTTACTGGGCTACACAATTGGCTACCGGCGCAGTGACGGCCCGGACAAGACGTTCAACTACACGAAAGTTGGCATTCCCGGCGGCGAGATGATTAACGACTTTCGATTGACTGGCCTGGAGAAGTACACACAGTACAGCATCACAGTTCAGGCGTTCAACTCCAAGGGCGACGGACCAGCGAGCGAGCCAATTGTTGCCCGGACAATTGAAGACGGTAATTCAACTTCCCAACTCTCCAATCTTTCGCCTCTCCTTCATGAAATCCATAATATGTAACTATTCACTGAGAAAAACCTATGTGCAGAATTCATTCTTATTCTTCGTGAACTGCATTCCCTTTAATAATAAAATAGCATCTTTTGCGCGAAGTTCTTTGAAAGCAATTAATCAAAATGAATTTATTTAGAACAAAATATTAGATAAAATCAATCAAATTATATTTCATATTCTTGTAAAATATTGTTGACAATCAATTTCCCATAATTACTCATGAAACTTACTTCACGAACATCTTTTTCCTCGCAGTGAATAGTTCATAATAGTCGATTATGAAATATTGAGGAAAGTTTGGCGCACAGCGCGTGTGATTATACTGCAATTGTGAAGAGATATAGTGATATTCCCTCCCCATTATCGCTCCTGCCATTTATAACATAAATTTATCATTTCATGTTTGAAAATAGTTCCCAGTGCACCACCTCAAGCTGTTCAGTGTGTCGCATTAACCGCCCAGAGTTTGCAAGTTTCGTGGCAACCACCCCCAAAAGACCGAATGCATGGCATTATTCGTGGATACAAAGTTTTCTATGAGAACGGTAAAGCATTGGCGGCCAATTCAATGGGATGCAATTTAGATAATGGTGCCTTCATTCACAGATAACGCCAGGGAGACAAAAATCACATCAGCTCTCAACACAGTGCTGCACGGTCTCCTGCCCTTCACCAACTACAGCGTCCAAGTGCTGGCGTTCACGCGCACCGGCGAAGGAGTGGTGTCGACGATGGCAACGTGCACCACCCACCAGGGTTCACCGGATGCGCCTGAATTAATAAAAGCGGTGGTGAAGAGTGAAAGCTCAGTGATTATCAGTTGGCTGCCGCCACGGCGCTCCAACGGCGTCATCACCAAGTACACCATCTACATCAGGATCCTGGACAAGGGCCAGGAGGTGCGCATCATAAAGGACACCCTCGCATCGCAGTACCACTACTACGAGGCGAAGAACCTCAACAATCGCGAGACCTACGAAGCCTGGGTCACAGCCAGCACGCCCATTGGCGAGGGTCCCAGCACTTCCGTGGTCAAGCTCACGCCTAGCTCCGCCGCTCCGGCTGCCATCATCTCCTTCGGCCAGACGCTGAGCGTAGCGTGGAAGGTGGACGTGAGGCTGGCATGTCTCTATGTGGGAAATCCCATTCCCGCAGCTGAGTGGCGCGCCGGCGGCCAGAGATTGCAGAAGGGCCAGCGCCTGGAAGTCACCAGTGACAATTCCCTCACGCTCCGCAGCGTCCAGCGCGTACACGAGGGAAATTACACTTGTCACGTGCGCAACAATCTCGGCTCAGATCACATTGTCTTCCAGCTGCTGGTCCTCGTGCCACCGGCAGCGCCCCAGCTCTCCGCCACGGCCAGCACCACCACCTCCGTCTCCCTGCAGTGGCACATGGGCGACAATGGCGGGGCGCCCATCAGAGGCTTCCTGCTCAGCTTTCGTCAAGAGTTCGGCGATTGGGAGGAAATCCCCCTCGACCGTCGCTCGGACTCATTCATGGTGGAGAACCTGCGCTGCGGCACAGGCTATCAATTCACTCTGGTGGCATTCAACAAGATCGGAAGTGGCAATCCCAGTGACATCGGCTCGACGCGCACCAAAGGAAATAGACCCATCGCACCGCGGAAGCAACATCTCATCCGCGCCAACGCCACGTCCATCGTCCTAGAGCTGAGCTCCTGGCAGGACGGCGGCTGTGCCATCAGCCACTTCGCCGTCGAGTACCGGCGGCGCGTGCATCATCAGTCACGCGAGTGGATTCTCGCCTCCAACAATGTCCCGCCGCAGGTACGCTACACCATCGGCGATCTCGAGCCCACGCTTAGCTACGACCTCCGCGTGACGGCGTACAACAGCGCTGGAAGCACGCCCATGGAGTACTCCTTCGAGACACTCAGCACCACGGGAAGTAAGTTGTTTCCGTCCATTTGCACGCACCTCCAGCTGTGATTCCTCTTTGGCCATTTTTCCTCCATTATATGTGAACATCAAAATTGCGCCTCTGCCCGAAATCCCAAGAAGCACGGCTGACAAAAGAACGCCTTTGGTCATTATTCAGTGGAATTTGGCCGGAAAATGTCCCAAAAATCATATTTCATTCAAAATACGTTGGTAAAAAAATTATTTGGTCAGTAAAAAAGCATCAAAATATCAGTTAGTCCAAATTCGAATCACATAAAGACAGTAATTTCCATGTCTCTAAATTAATGCATCACTAACTAACGCTAATCGTAGAACTAAAAGGAGTCTTTTCAGTCCCTTAAGACTGGAGTTTCAAGATAACTTTTACTGACCAAAAACAGAGAATAATGGCCAAATATGTGAAATTTCCCCTATCAAAAGCATGACAATGCTCAACATATATGGATTTCTCATGTAGCGAAAGTTTATAAACATCCCTCAAGCATCCGTTGACCATCCGCATTGCCGAAACTGACCAGAATCATATTCTCTTCTCTCTCTCTCTCTCTCTCTCTCTCTCTCTATCAATCTCTCGGAATTCAGATAATCTGTGCGAAGGTGGATCAACGGATCTTGGGAACTATATTTGCAGATTTTTAATGCAAATGCATCGTTTGTTGAGGGGTCTGGAATACTCTAGTGATATCGTGGTTACAAATCAAGGTGTTGCATTTGATTGACTAGTTTGTTAAGACGTTTTGTTACTCTTCCTCTTTCCCAATTGCTGTATTTCATTGAGGTGCATTCATGCTCTTTCACTCTATTTCTCTCACACTCTAAACAAACGACATTACAGTGCAACTTCCATGCCACTCTGAAACAATATACAAATTGCAATATCCTTGCGTTTGAGCATTTTCACCCATTTATCACTCCGGCTTCCCATGTTCGGGGAAGTTTAATAATTGTTAGATAATTGCATAATATAGTAATTGCAATAATTAGTTTCTCAATTGTCACTCCATTTGTTCTCTCCCTTTAGACATTAAACTGACTAACCACCCAATTTATTGAAATGGAAAGTCATTTCTCCACTTTATTAGCTAGCAACTATATCAACTGTAGACTTCCAATTTCGTATTACATGCAATATTGTTGCAGTTATTGTCTTATTATATTGTCTGGCGTTTTATCGCAACATAGATATTGCTATGCAATATCGTGTGCGCAACACATATAGCATTCCCATTTACTTTCAGCCGTTCTCAGTGCCAATTCAGACGAGATGATGGAGTCGAGTGAGCACTACGAGTTTATGGACGGACACCTGATAGCTATAGCAATGATATCCATCTTTGCGGCGTTAATAGTTGTCATAGGCGTTGTTTATTGCCTCAAATCAAGTGAGAATTCACGCACATTTCCCCAGAATTCAACACTATTTTGCAAGTGTCACTCATATTTTAGACCCACGCGGATTATTCGGCAACAACAATGATTTGAGAGTCCCTCCGGACGGAAAGTACGTGATATCTGAGCAGCGCGACCAACACTACGCCACAGTTCGCAAACCAATGTCACAGAGTCCTTGCAGGGATTCCGCGGTGCTGGATAGGATTCCTGAGTACTCAGAGGACATCTATCCGTACGCCACTTTCCACCTGCCTGATCAGGAGAACATGTCCGGCAATCCTGATCGGCCAGGAAGCGGATGCGGCGCCAGCAAGTGTCTGCGATCCACGACCAACACGGCCGGCAGACGAGGGAAGAAACCCTTCAAGTCGGAGTCAGAGGAATACGACAGCTTAGGATCGGACACAGACACGGGCAGTGTTGAGCACGGCAGTCGGACTGAATCCTCAAACCAATTAGATGATCCTATAAACTTTTGCGGTGAGCAAGAGCCGAGGAAGAGTGGCAAAATTGATGTATTAACCGCTTTTCTTCCTGCAACTCAGGCCGATCGTACAGTCCAGCTTCCAGGGCGGGCAAGGAGAAGCTGGCTCTTTTCTCCAAACCATCTCGTCATAGTAAGTTAGTATTGCTTTATCTTCGCATCTTACACATAAGTTTGGTTAATTTCCTTGAGTTCTACCGTCACATTTTTGATTTCCTCGCAATCATTAGGTGTGATTTAATGCACTCCCGCAAGGAGAGATCTTTTGATAAGTCCATGACCGCGCTTTTTCAGATGGCATCCGTCAGTTCAACAGCCCCGAGCTAAGTACCTCAATCGAGAGGTCACCAATTTCTAAGCGGCCCTCGCAGCTGCAACTGGGCCAGGCCTGCTCGCCCTATCCCGCCAAAGACTTCGACACGCTCTTCTCTCAGTACGGCCACACGCGGGCGACTTCCTACACCGAAGCCGGAACCTTCCAGCAGCACCACTACTACGACCCGCAGAAGCTGCTCTCGCTCAAGTCCTCGAAGACCCCTCTGGGCGCCACAGGATCGGAATTCCTCACGCTCACGCCCAAGCGCCGCGACCGGCTGCTCGAGCAGTGGCAGCTGGACTTCCGGGACATGCGCAACGCCTCGCTGGACCGCATCTACAACGCGGCCACGCTGAAGCTGGGCGCGGAACAGGCCAACGTCAATACAACGATCACTGATAAAACGCACATCGTGGCGGCGGACACGCCTATCAGACGACAGGATCGTCACCAACAAGACTATACAATCGTCGTATAAATTGAGACAGCAAACTTCAATATCCAACGATACTTTACACTTCAGCAGCATTATTACCATTTTCTGTTCACCCAAGCATCATTGGAAGTTAATCCTCAGATGAGTGACAAATTTTTCATTAAATGTATGTATCGAAAATCCGTCCAAAGTTTGGAAAACTGCCATTGTTTTCAAAAAAGATTTAACCAAAATTGTAATTACACGGAATTTCACATTCAATTAAAAGCACCGCATCTCTCTTTACCAAATAAAGTACATATATTATGTATCAAGCAATTGATATGCCAATTCAGAGAAAAAGATCCAACTTCAATTAATATGTGACGATGAATACCCCAGTGCCAATTCATATGTATATGTAAGGTACAATATTGCAGATTAATTTTGTACTATACAATTATTAAAAACGAAAAGTGAATCTACTGAGTGAAAATAGTAGAAAAAATGAATTTAATCAAAATCGAATCCACGCAGCATTCATTGACTTTGCGTTGTCTGACAAACACTATAAACTGCCTACAGAATAACTGAGAAGAGCTTCTCCAAATGACTTTTTTCTGTTAAGAGATTGTGAAGAGACACTTTATTTCCCCCCCACAAAACCGATCAATATCAAATGGTACTACTTATACAGAATTACAGTGAATTTTATGTAAAATTAAGATAGCGCGAATTTAGAAATGGTGTTGTTCGATATTAAAAACTAATTGTTTAGTTTTTTAAATAGCCAATTATGAACAATATTTATTGTTATAGGAAAAGAACTTGAGAAGAGAAATGAACAGTGAGACATTTGACACACTCATCGGACTACTCAATGGTAATTGTATAAAATAGTTAACAATCTGAGTGTCAAAACTGTAATAAAAGCGATGTTACATAATGTGACTCGACCCAAAATATAATGTACATCATCAGACAGATAATATCGTTGCAACCGACAGTTTTTAGTAGATTATATTCACACAAAGAATTTCACGTTAAAGGACAAAGTGGAATTTAGAGGAGAATCTGACATAATTACCATATAATCGTATATATATTACCATATATCATTGTGAACATATCTATGTGGTATATTAAAAGAAATTTAAAATGTTTTGAAAACGCCTTTGTCATAGCAGAATTTCCCGGGAAATCCCAATATTGTTTTCCACAGATGCACAGATAAATAAAAATGAGTTCATGAACCACGCGGAAGAGCAAATAAACAAGGTAAGCCTGCGCTCTGTTCAGCATAAATGGAATTAAGATTCAATATGATTAAAATGATTGAAGAATTGGTAAAAATCGAGAAAATAATAGTTTGAATAAACTTCTGGTGTCTAGAAAAGTTATTGCAATTTGCAGAGGCTATTAAACAAATCCAAGATCATCAAACAATCCAATTTGATTAGCATAATTAGCCATCTCCTAACTTAGTTACTGAGTTCGCTCAGTCTCCTCTCTTGACATCGCATCTTGAGATTCTGGTGTAAAGAAGATTAGTGGAATATCTGAACAAAAACTCATGAATCGTCTCTTCTAAGTCAGTCGTCAATAGTCCGCGCGCGAGATAACAACGTTAGTTGCTCAAGTTCAAGAGATGAAATCATACGCCGCTATATTTGCCGTATTCATTATAGCATGCACGCAGAATCCTTCAGTGCTAGTGAACGGTGACGTTGGTATGTGGAAAATCACGTGCAAGTGGAGGACAAGAGGTCAAATATTTATGTATTAAAACAGGTGACGACTGCAGGTATGAGAAGACGAAATCGCCTGGAGTCTGCAAACTGGTTTTCGACTGCCAAGAGGCCATCGCAGACATCACGCAGGGAGTTCCTCTGACGCAGTGTGGCTGGCAAGGCTTCGTGCAGATCGTCTGCTGTCCCAAACCCGCGAGCCAAGCCGCGACCACTCAGAAGCCGCCAACGCAGCCTGTGCAAAACACACCAACTGATGTTGGTTCTGCTAATTTGCGCAAGAGTGAAGCAAGTGAGAGGAATGCAAATGACACCAAGTTATTGTTCCCATAATAAAATGCACACGCTTTTTTTGGGCAGAATGCAGAGAATACGCGCGATTTGTGTTCGAAAACGTCGAATCAGAAGTGAGTCTTCCTGGACGAGAACCAGAGATCGTCAAAACAGACACGTGTGGCTTCAAAGTCATCCCGTTGATTGTTGGCGGTGAGAACGCGACCGAACGTGAATTCCCTCACATGGCCCTCGTCGGATATGGAGACAATATCAATTCCCTGAATTGGAACTGCGGTGGAAGTCTGATAAGTGAAAACTTCGTCCTCACAGCAGCTCATTGTGTCTTCTCTCGAGAATTGTGAGTCTCATCTCAATCTCGAGTGTGGCTTAATCACTAATCACATTTCTCCTTCCCCAAAATAGTGGTTATGCGACTTACGTTCGCCTCGGAGAGCTGAATTACGGTGAGTGACGAATATTCTTACCCTCTTGAGAGTCAATTTCCCTTCCACTGAGATTCAGTGTGCAATTTTAACGCCAAAGGAGTTTTCACATTATGCACAAACTTTCTTATCGTTCGATGGAATTTACTACCACTGACTGTGAAAGAAAAGCGAGAATAAAATGAAATTAAATTTATGATAGAATGTTGAAATAAATCTTGATTTGTGCACAGCAAAAATGTGCAATATTTTATTAACCCATTGAAATAAAATACAACACAATCTGCTGCAGCCGAAGCATTTTTAAATTAATCCCAAAATAATAAATCATCAAATTGTTTAACAAATTAACATAAAAGTTGAAAGTTAAATTGAGTTTCAATAGATTGAAGCATGAAAATTTCACGCTGAAATACTTCAAGATATTGTTATTTTCAGCTATCAATACTGACAAGGCGCAGCCGGTGGACATAGCGATTAAGGACCGCATCAAGCATCCCAAGTACACAGTGAGGTACAACTATCACGACATCGCCCTGTTCAGACTGCAGAAATCTGCCACATTCAATCGATATGTGCGCCCAATTTGCCTGAGCGACCGGAGGAACATCAAGGAGAAGAAGGCCATCGCCTCTGGCTGGGGCTACAAGGAATTCTCGGGCGAGAAGAGCAGTGCTCTGCAGAAAGTAATTCTGGAGTTCTTCAGCCAGTCGGAATGCTTCTCGTTATACTCGAGTCCGCCGTCCATCGAGCTGAATAAGGGAATCGAAGAGGCCTCTCAATTGTGTGCCGGATCGCACACGGAGGAAAAGGATACGTGCAATGTGAGCTGAAGTGCCTTGAGATAATTGAAATTTCACTTATGCCTCTAACAATGCTTCCCAGGGCGACTCTGGAGGACCGCTTCAGGTATACAATTTGGACGTCTACTGCATGTACACAATCGTTGGACTCACGTCTTTCGGCAAGGGCTGCGGCTTCATCGGTACACCCACAGTTTACACGAGGGTCGCCAATTACATCGATTGGATTGAGAATATCGTTTGGCCATGAGTCCTCATTTGACTTCAACAATCCAGATAATTTAGTGCATTTTTCCCGGCAAACGTAAGACATAAAATTGAATTTTTCAAAAAGTGCCAATGCAATAAATAAGCGACTACCAAACAAAGCCATAGGTCGTGATTTGCATATATAAACAACCAGTACATAAAGATAACGGAGCTTCGGAAAATATTTCTTCCACACACTTATTATATAAACTGGAAACTTGAGACATTCAACACTCAGTCATCTTCCGACACTTCGTTACATCGCATCGCAACGCATCAATTGATCATTTTGACAGTGCACAATAATTGCTTTCCGACGCTTTCCCACGTGTTGGCGAATTTACATTTTACAGCCGTGAGACTTGTGCCACAGAAAATGCATAAATTCAAATTGATTTCCTGTGGATTGAATATTCTATTGCTCATTAGTGTGTTCAACAATTACTGTGTCAGTGCTCAAAGTGATTGTTCCGTTGGTAAGTAAACATTGATTTCAAATAGGGCATATTTGCAAATTAGAAGACAACAGGTGAAGAGCACTTTTTGCTTCTTGCTCAATTTCGTGTCTCCGAACAAGTTCATTAAATTCACAAGGTCATTGAGACAAGCAAAAAGTTTTTGTCGACTGCACAAAAAAAGCAAACAAGATTATTGGAATTCACAGTGAAAATAATCCAAAAATTATATCACAAGATGAAAAAGTAATCTCAAGAAGTAGAGACAGTAAAATGCTAATGAATATATACAATCCGTCAAGTGAATATGCATAATAAGCACATGGATTAATGCTATGTGAATATTACTCGCGTGATTCACAAGTGGATTCCCAGTTTCCCACTCAGGAAAAACCGCTCTGGAAACATAAGCTTCACTTAAATGTCAGCACAGTTTTTCTATTAATATTTTTTACAATTGTCACGACGAAAGAAATTCCACAGTTCTTCAATATTGACGCAGGGAAATTCGGGGAATTTTTGGACATTGCGCAATTTATTAGGCCATAAATAGAGGTCAAAATAGAGAATTTTTTCAAAACATATGTTTTTGCCAATGGCTCAGAAAGAGCTCAAAACTCAAACTTCATTTCATATTGAATAGACTCACTTGTGCCCAGTTTTCCCCTATCAAATAATTGCTCAACATTAACTAAGATTTCATTCCAATGCATTTTAATTGGATTGTGAGAAAATCACATTAAATCACAATTAGTACAATTAATTAAAAAAGAGAATGGTGAATTATTTGCCAATGACGTGAATTTCTGTCCTCTTCCAGGAGAATCTTGTACTCACAAAACGACGAATGAACGCGGAGTGGCGAAACGCGTCTTCGACTGTCCGTCAGCAATTGAGGATCTGAAGAATGGCAAAACGCCTTCGGGATGCGGATTTGAGAGTCTCACCCAGATTGTCTGCTGTCCAGCGGATCAGCCTGCTCAGCTTCCTGTCGAACCGGTAGCAATCCCAGACAGAGTTTCAATCCCCAACAGAAACGAAAGAGTCGCCTTGAGAAGTGAGTCCGATGGCGCGAGATTAGAGTCGCTAAATTGATGGAGTGTGACTTTGCAGAGTGCAGAGAATACGGCGAGTACGCGTTTGAGAATGTCACGATTGAAGTGTCTCTTCCCGGCTCTCCTGACATCGTGCGAAGGGTCAACAAGTGCGGCTTCAGTGTGATTCCCTTGATCGTGGGCGGAACGCTGGCGGGAGCGCGCGAGTTTCCGCACATGGCGCTCATTGGATTCGAAGACAATCCGATTTTGTGGAAATGCGGCGGAACGCTCATCAGCGAGAAATTTGTCCTCACAGCCGGGCATTGTCTCAGCTCTCAGGATTAGTGAGTGACTTCGAGGATATTTTCCACTCGAGAATCTCATGAGATTCCTCCAAATCTTTCAGTGGACCAGCCAAATGGATTCGAGTGGGTGATCTGAATTACGAATCCGAAGAAGACGACGCGCGGCCAGAGAATGTGAGAATCAAACGACCAATTCCATTCCCAACGTACGTGAGACGAACACAGTACAACGATCTTGCTCTGCTTGAGCTTGAGCGCGCCGTGAAGCTCAGCCCGTACGTTCGACCCGCTTGTCTCTACACCGAATACAAAACAAACACGGAAAAGGCCATCGCGACCGGATGGGGAAGAGTCGAATGGGCGGGTAAGAAAACATCTCATGCGTCTTGAGACGCCTTAACCATTGTTGGTCATTTCTTCCTCAGGAGACACGAGCAGCAATCTCTTGAAAGTGACTCTGGAGCTTTTCACTCATCGGGAATGCAACACTTCCTTCCAGTACGACATCAACAGGAAGCTCAGCAAGGGAATTGTGGACGAGTCGCAGCTCTGCGCAGGATCGCACAGTGAAGAGAAAGACACATGCGAAGTAAGATGATCATGAAACTTAAATACAAGCGCAAAATGAAGTAACTCTGCACAGATTGAAATTTTTTAAGCTTTTTCTAATACAAGAAATATGATTGAATTTCTGCAGTTTTAATGGTTCATTTATCATAGGAAAAATTATCTGTTTCGTTAAATAATATTCTATATACAATATTTATACAACCACGACGATAAACACATACCTTTCTTGCAGGGCGACTCCGGAGGACCGCTTCAGATCTACAACAACGACGTCTTCTGCATGTACAACGTAATTGGCGTGACATCGTTCGGCAAAGGCTGTGGCGCAGTGAACCAGCCCGGAGTGTACACACGAGTCTCCAACTACATTGACTGGATCGAGCAGCAAGTGTGGCCCAACCAGTGAAGCCTGCCGTCAATTAGCACTAGTGTTGTGATAGAATTCATAAATGATTTCACTCAACTTGAGACCAATTTGTCTGCCCAGTCGTCCGTATTTGATGTTTGCCAGCAAACTTCTGGCCTCCCTCTCGTCCTCACATGCTCTATACGCATTTAGAAGGAGTCTCGGCGTGCCAAAGTCTCTCACAATGGCTAGCGCTTTGTCCACAGAGAGCGACGATAATTGCATTAGCTGCTGAGCGAAGAAGTCTCGCACTTTCATGTCTCTCGTCTTTGAGGACAGAGCATTGAATTCCTTAAAGTGCATCAGAGAGACGAATTCGTCCGTGAGCTGAAACTCCTTCAATTCACTCTTCAAACAGCCGACGAGGACTTTATCCCTGAAACTTCTCTCCAGAATCCTCGTCAGAACACTCAAGTACAGAATGCTTCCGTGGTGATTATCGGTGATCTTCACGGTGAACTTGTTATGGACATTCGTGTTCGTGGCAGCTTGCATGATCGTCCGGAAAGGGAGTCCCAAGTGCCGGGATTCGTACATCTCAACCATGTAAATCGCGTTCGGGATTCCGCTCTGCATCAGGCGAAACTTCTGCTCGTGAAATCTCCCATCTCTTATGCTCATCCCAAAGTCGTCCAGCCTCTTGCGCTCCACAATGTAGGGCAGAACCAGTTCATTTCCCGCCGAATCCCGCGCGATCCATGCAAAGTCGCCAATATTCAAGTGACGCACCTCATACGACACTTTGGACGCGTTCAGCTCATTGATCGTTGCATCCACAGTTTTCTTGGTCTTCCTGGGGTTACAAAGAGATCGATAAGATCAACTGGGGAAAATTTGAACGCTTCCAAGACAACTTTACCCTTTGGTTTCCTGAGTGTCCACCAGCAAGATGACTTCAAACATGTTGGGAGACATTATCACAACGTTAGATGAGTCCTTTTCCTCAGAACCCACCTCAGCCGCTTGAGGAGTTGTCTTTTTCCTGTCTCTTTTCTTCGGGGATGCTTTAGCAGGCTTGACTTTCTTGGGTTTTTTGGTAATTTCTTTCTCTTCAGAAATCTGAAGAGTGCTGCGTTTGTCTAGCTTCTTCTCCAGCATCTCACAGATCTTCGGACCGAATCCCTCGAGGATTATACATTCCCGGGCTGAAGATAGTGGCAGTGGATACTTCTCCAGAGAGCTAAGAGCTCTGGCCAGAGATCTTCTGTTGCCCAGATTGTTTTCCTCCGAATACTTGAGCCACTCCGTCAGCCACTTCTTGAAGAGTGGATTAGGATCATTGTACTTGATCGTAACACGCTCTTTTCCAAACCTTCTCTTCATTTTCACTAGTAATTTGGGAGAAAATGCTCAAAAATCAGTGCCATCAAAACACGCACCGACATGTTTTGAATTCTCGCTTGGAAAAACGACTGGAAAGCTCTAACATAACCTCACTTTTGAGAATGATTTGCAAAACTATCGCATTTACACAAATTTTCAGCATTTTTCAGTGGTTTTATTAGACTTCTGGTGCGTGGACATAAATCAGCACTTATTATTACTGTCTCTCCTTGCTCGTGTTGTTCAACTGCGCCCGAAGTTGCTGGCTGAAATCATCCTCAACGTTGTCATCATCCCAATTGTCCTCCCAAACACTGATTTCCTCCTCATCCGCCTTCGATCCGGCCCATTCTGGGGGGATTTGCAGAAGGAATCAATTAGAATTGAGGTAGTTCTTAGTGAAAATAGAGAAAGTTACCTTCAGCGGGGAACTCTTCAAATTCATCATCTTCCTCCAGCAGTCCCAAGTCTACTTTTGGTTTCTCCTTGTCCGCCATGGATTACCGATGAGATTACTGTGTATTTCAACAACACTTCACAGCGGAATGATTGGTTTTATCGAGGAAATTCTGTTCTGAACAATGAAAACAAACTCCACTGCAAACGTGATGCAAACGACTTCCAATCGTCTTTCCAATGGAAAGTGCTAGAAAATTAAAGTGACAGGCAACTTTGGACAATGTGACAGCTCTTGTGATCGCAATTCTCGATATTTTGCCCTATTTTCTTGTGTTGTGCTGTGAAAATGCTTCCGAATGGGAGTGAAAATCGCCTAACGCACCTTCTGGGTGCCTACAACTCCGACAGCGACGACGAGGAGAGCGCTGAGGAGCAAGTACAAAGGAAACATGGGAACAATGGAGCGTCGGTGGCAGACAATATCACACAAACGGAGTGGACGCAGTGTTTTGATCGTGACACGGGACACCCGTACTTCTGGCACATCAGCACGAAGGAGGTGACTTGGGAGATGCCAGAGGAGTACAGAGCATATCTGGAGTGGGTGATGAGTAGCACAATGAGTAGCGAACACAGGTGGAAGGTTTACGAGGCGGAAGACGGCAAAGCGACATACTATGTGGATGAAGTGACGAGAGTCGTTTCCTGGGACATGCCTGAGGAGTTCCGGAAGCATCTGGCGGAGCAGAAGAAGGAGAAACCAAAGGAGAAAGTTGTGAAGAAGAGGCCAGTGAAGAAGTATCCGGAACATTTGATGAAAGACGATTCCAATGAGGAGAAGATTGAGCTGATCTCATCTTACAGCAGATCGAGTGATTCGGAAGAGGATGAGAAGGACAATGGCAAGGTGGAAGTAAGTTCTGGGAATGATCTTTTAAATCCTAGAGTTAAATGATGACCTTTCTGCGCCTGATTCATTCTGGCAACTTGAAGATTTCGAGTGCCAAAATGAGAAATGATGGTGAAGTTTTCAATCTGATACTATTCTAATGGCTCAAGAGATTCCCTATAAATTTTATGCCTTCTAATATTATGCGGTGTTTTGCAGGACACCGCTGAGAGGACACCAACACCTGACCAGATACCGAGCGAGGAACTCCTTCCGTACAAAATGCACACGCACATTGCGAATACAGACGCTCAAGCGGCGGAAAGATCACCAAATCACGCAACAACCAGCACGCTTTTCAGCAATGAGACGTCAGTGACGCTCTCAGAGCTGGAGAAGACGTACTCTGCCGTGCGGAAGTCCCCAGAAAGCGCGCCCCGGCCAGAGGCCATAAGTATTTCTACATGCGAAGAGGAAATGGACGTGAAGTTGACGATGCGGAAAAGGAGAATAGAAGTTCCCAGGATTCTGCCGAAGAGTCAACCGCCTGCGAAGGTAGACAAGGATGTGGAAGTGGAGAAGGAGGAGGAGGAGCAGCAAGTAGTCAACGCGGATGAGGATGTTGAGGAGATTGTGGAAAGAAAGGAGTTTAAGGACGCCTCGACGAGCACAGCTGAAGATGAGGAGAATTCAGAGGATCTGAAAACCATGAGTTCGCTAATCAGCGCCAAAGTGAAGTTCCTGTCTGAAGGAAGGCCAATCGTGACGGGTGTTCAAGTGATGCAGATTCAACTGGAAGTGAGTTCAGCTTAGTTTCAGCTTTTGGAATAACCAATTTCACAAAGTGTTCTCTCTCGCTCTGCAGACTCTTTTGACGGCTTTCGAGGCGCAGCAGCTGACTCGGTGCTACGTGATGAAGTGGCTCAAGAGCACGGCGAAGAGCTTGCTGCAGCTGGAGAACGAGGTGGCGCCGAATGGGTGGAAGTGCAAGTGGGATAGGTAGGATACTTTTCGGATAGTACAGAAGCCTGGGCGCTTGGCTCAGCCGTTCCTCAACATCCATTCATATCTGTTTGTTCACGACTTGTTCGCTCGTTAAACTGTGATGAAATTATGCTAAATAATCCCCTTCAGGAACAATGCTAGGCTCCGCGGGACCAGATGAGCGTCCGAGGCGCGCGAGTGGTGTAATGAATATGTCTAGTTAGATTTCTTGCAGAATATTTAATGCCTCTTTAGTATATCCAAACACTCGAATGGTATGTATGAAATCTTTTGTAACTGTCCAGTAAAAGGATGTCTTTTTCCCTCACAGCGATGAAAGAAATTGAATGGAGTTTCTACGCTTTCAATCTCTTAGTCTGGTCAGTGGTCGGGAAGCGATGATGACCGGGAAGTTGTGGACTTCCTGGGCAATAGAGACATGATCTGACACACCATAAATACAACCTTATGGACAATTGGTCAGAGAAACGCCGCTGTATTTCTTCTCTTTTTCTCTCTCTTTTCCAATTGAAACACCTCTAGGAAAAATTCCCGGTACTACTACCAAAGTATGGTGACGGGAAAGATCCAGTGGGACTTTCCGGAGCCCGATGTCACGTGCCATGACGACGAGATGGAGATCTGCACCACACCGCCTCATCCAGGAGGAGTGGAGGAAGGCGAGCCGGAGGCCAAGAAGCCGAAGCAAGAAGAGAACTCGAATGAGCTTCGAACACCCGAACCGCCAACGTGGAATTCCAGCCCAGAAGCATCTCCAGCTCCGCCGGTGAGACTGTCAATCTTCTAGATCAACCTCTCAAGCCACTCACAGCGTCCTTTCTTCCAGTTCGACGCTGCTCCGCCTCCGCCTCGCATCACGGATAAATTCCACACCGAACTGGACTCTTTCTACTCGGACTTGGCCTCCATGGACAGCATGCCGAATCCCACTGAAGCAGTTCCGGCCGAGGCGAGCACAGAAGTGGCACAGACGACGAGTGCCGAGCAGCCGAAGGTGAAGAAGAAGAAAGTCAAGACTTCGCGGACGGAGATGAAGCAGATGTCGATGTTGATGGCCAAGTGGCACAAAGCGCAGCAGGATTTGAAGAAATAAAGTCACACCGCACTTCCGATTAGCGTGTATTTCCGGAAAAAAAACTCTCAAGACAATTAAGCCACAAGGGCGGAGGCTGTGCTGGATTCGTACTTCCAGTTGGGCGGAAGGACGCCCTTTGTCTTGTAGAAGCGTGCCAGACGGTGGATGCGCGACTCCACGAGAATCAGGCGGAATTTGCTGTCCTTGTCCTTACGATTCCTCTCCAAGTGCTTGCGGATGGCGACAGCCTTCTTGATCAGGTAGTAAAGATCCTCTGGGATGTCGGGCTTTAGTCCCACGGACTTCATAATACGCAGGATCTTATTGCCATTCACAAATCGCACTTGCGCCACTCCGTGGGAGTCTCGAAGAATGATTCCTGCGAAATAGAAGAGACATTGTAGATATTCTTCCGGCCCGACATAACCTCAAAACTCACCAATTTGTGAAGGCGTCATTCCCTTCTTCCCCAGCCGCTTAATCTGGTCCTTGACATCGTCGGCGGTCAGCTTGAGCCACGACGGCACGGAACGACGATAGGGGAGCGCTGATTGGGAAATTCCCTTGCTGCAAAGTAGAGGAAAACATTCCGATTAGACTTCCATGTGGCAGCACAACAGAAGCACTCAATTCACGCTCTTATAGCCAAAAAGAACTACATTTTTCACATTCACAAGACAGAATGCACACTTTAGAGATAGTTTTGCATCACATTCAAGCGATTATTGAGGAATTTTTAGAGAAATTTACCCAGGAGCGTGCATACGACCCATGTTTGCTGGATTTTATTTCCAAAGAGACAGAAACCGGAAGCTGTCACGCCGCCATTTAATTTTAGCACTGCTGCTAGAATTTATTTTAGTACTGATTTCAGGCGCGCGATTTTCGCAGAAAAATGGGAGAAAGCGCGAATGGAAATTCCTATGTAGAAAATAAGTTCAAATTAGAAAATCCATAAATTTTATTTGATCGTAAACAATTCAATGTGTTACTTGTATTACTGATAAAAGAGAAAGAAATGTAAAGTAGAAAATACTCCAGTTTTAAGTCTCAAAAAGCGTTGAATTTCACTGATTCTGTGTCGCGTTAGAAATTTTAGTCGCGGCGTTGGAATTGTCGCCAGGCTGTTGTTGGGCGACTGCTGGGCAGCGACCAGAAGATTGGGATCGACGATCCCACATCTCTTGGGGCGTTCAATGGCACGAGAAACCTGTCCCAGATACCGCGGATCTGTAGGAAGCACGGCAAATCGCGCTGAGCTAGAAGATACTGATTGCCATCATCATAAATGCTCTCCGTTCCGAAGATCGTTTGCAGCCACTGCGACTCCAGGGACGCAGGTTTCGGCGGCAGCGGAGCGTTAGACGTGCGCCGGTCGATCATCGTATCCAACGTTATCTTCTCCTCTTGATACTCAAGCAGCAGATCTTCCCACACGGCCTGCAATTCGTCTACAAAGAGAGAGTTAATGATAGAAGAACAGAGTGGCACAGAATGCACACTTCTTACCCATCTTCTTGTTGAATCCTTCGTCGCCATTCTGTCCATCAGCAACCAGGCGAGCCAGCGAGAGAACCTTCAGTTGCCCGAAGATCGAAATGATCTCCCTCGTTTCACTGATCCTCTTTGTCACGTCCTGCAGCAATTGCGTGGCAAGCTTCTTCTCCACCTCCTTGTCTCGATTCTCGTTATCCAGCTCTTGCCACTTCTCGTTCCAGTAGTCAACGAAAGCCTTCGTTCGCGCTCTGCGCTCTTTCTCCATCTGCTTCCTGCTCCTAAACACGGCACTGCGCTTATGCAACCACAGCATTTTCGCCTTGCGCTTCTTCAGTCGCCCCTGGAGCACCCCAATCGCTGACGGATTCAGCAGAGGCTGCAGTGTCTCAATGATCTCCGCCCTGAGAATGTTCAACTGTTGATTCTTCAGTTGCCACTCATAGTTTTCTATAATGTCCACATTGTTCCGCATGACGTGCGTCAGTTTCGAGATCTTGCCCACTTTCGAGATGCACTGACCCAGGATCGCCTGTGCCAACTCGAGAGTCATCTTTGGCTCGTCAACGTCCATCTCTTCATCTACGGACTTGCGCTTGTTTGCAGAAGTTTCACAGCCTTCAATGTATCCGCGCTGCTTTAGGAAATCTCTGATCATTTCCTGGTCTTTTTTCCTTATTTCTTCGAGCTTCTCCCAGGAATTCTCCGCAGACTTCGACTGAGCCTCCATAGTGGAATTGGGAAGCTCCATCCTGAATCCAGAAGTTGGAGGTGGCTTAGAGAAATCAATTGACATCAGAGGGAATGGCTGCGAAATGTTCGACGAGTTGTTAGTCCTTCGCGGACTCTTGAAGAGCGGCGGAGGCGGTTTGTTGGCGTCAAAGAGATCCAAATCATATCTTCTTGGCGAATTTCGTGGAAAAATGCTATCTCGACGCCCTGAATTGCTGTTCATCCATGAATCATTGCGTGCAGTGCGGTTTTCTGACCTCGTTTTCGGGCTGTTCTTCAATTCAAAGCGAAAAGTGTCCTTTACCGACAATTGTGAGTCCTTCTGTTGACGGGGATCGGAATTAGCGTCTTCCCTCCTGCTCCTCGGGTTGTGCCTCCGAGTCTTGTACTCAATGAAAGGCTTTTGTCGGTTTGTCTCATCGGGTCTCCTTGTCTGCCTATTTGCAGCTGTTTGAGAACGCGTTCTTGGTCCTGGTGCTCCTTCTACCTCTGCCTCTGACGGCGGAAGAGACACATCAATTCGGTTCAATGCAACCACAGGACTGGAGTATTTGAGCGCAGAAAAGGGCGACAATTTTGATGTTCTGTTCTTATCCATTGTTAAAGTATGCTGTGTGCTTTTGTTTTCAGTTATTGTGGAATTTGGTGTTAATCTAATTGGTTCATTAATCCTTAAGTTGCACTTTCGCCTCCTCCATCACAGCTTGTGCATTTCTGTACTCCTCAGTCTCTTTCAGATCCTCCTCGGCCTTCAGAAACTCACTCAGATCCTCAAAAGCCTTGCCGAGCCTAGAAAAGAGACAAGAAATCATCAGCACATGTTCAGGAAATTCCTTCAAATCCCCATTAACAAATGAAATAATCATTGTAGAGCAATTTCACAAGAATTTCCCCACTAAAAATCATTACTGCTACTCAAAATCACCGCAATTCTCACCCTAGAACAAAAGAAATTCCCACTTTTTGCAGTGCTCCATTATTCTCGTCACTAAACTGCGAGTGATTCACGGCGCAACATAACCTCACCTTCGCTGGGTGTCCGGAACGATCATGAGGCACTCCTGAAGTACTTCCTCTTGCTTGCGCACCACGTACTCGTCCTTCCCGTCGTTCTTGAACTTAAGCAGGCGTTCCCTCTCCCTTTCAGACTCCTTCTCGTACGAAATCTTCTCCTTGGCGAGACGCTTCACAATGCCAGTCTTAATCTTCAGCGCCTTCACTCGCGGATCTGCCATCGCACACTGAACTATTCTGATGATAATGCACTTTTCTCTTCGTCTCGCGTGATATCAAGCCGGTAATCAGTGAAATCTGAGAATATTGCTCTCTTCTGATGCGCTGCTTCAACCCACAAACTCGGAATGCAGAACCCGACTGACTAGCCCCCAGCAAAATCTCACCAAAAGTTGCGCGACTTGTCAGAGGTGAATATAGGAAATGCAAAAACTAATTAGAACTCAAACGATACGAAAAAACACATTCTTTTGCAAATATCAGGTATTTATTATTTTACAATAGTTATTTATATATTTATATAATGTATGTACGAACAGCATAAAGAACTAAAACAGCAATGATTTGAATTTTGAGAAGTCAAAGTTGAATTTTGGGATGGAAATCAACGGGCCATGCATTTTATGTCAAGCTAGATACTCAAAAAGTGTATCTATTGTACCAAAAATAGGAGGTCATAAATAACATTTAAATATTTATCCTTACGACATAGAAAAAACGCTGAAATTTAATTGCAATGAACTAGAATAATTAGTACACACAACTTTTGTACTACGTACTTAAATATTTGATCGTGTATGAATATTTTTCTTCCTCTTAGTCATACAAATAAATTATTCCTCTCTATCGTCATCGCTTATCTCGATAAAATATAGTTGATTTCTTGTCATCTACAGATTTTTTTTCTTCTAGTAATATACTCTTGACTCGGGTGCTTTTCTTCTTCACCTCCACTTAAAACTATTGGTTACTATGTTCTTTTCCTTGCGAAACAGTGTTCACAAATTTGAAGTTTTTTTTCTTTAATTTAAATTAGTGGGATACAATTTTTTTTAGGGATGGAGAGAGGCTTATAGTTAGAATAATTTTGTAAATATACAATAAATTTAGCATTAACGGTGTGATGCAGTCTCAAAACGTACAACTAATGAAATTATATAAAAATCATTATCTAAAATGCACAATTCGCGCAAACACGCTTCAATTCTTACATGAAATAATCAAAATCGCCATTGTGTGAACATAAAACTACAATTAATTCATTCGAAGATTGTTTTATCTTACAAAAATATAAGATATAACCTTATTTCACAAGTCCACGGATTTTGCTAATTGCATGTCTTAAATGGGAGTAATTCTGAAAGTTTATCTACAATTCTACACAGGCTTCAAGTTAAATGGAAAACGCATTTGAAAAACTTATAACACTTTTTTTCAGACTCTTGCACTTCAGTAGAGCGATTTTTTATCATTTACTCGGAAGTGCCACCCATTGAAAATGTCTCATTAAAAAGACTTTCTCTTCAAAACGTGACTGGAAGTTTATTGGCATTTCTGTCTTATAACAGCATGAGACTGTCATATGAGATTCTGATGGATTCTCATAAGACAATCTGTAATTTAGAACTCAGGTGTGATTAATCGCTATAAATAGAGAAAAAATCGCTCTCCTAAGTTGCGTTCAGCTGCGATGTGGACAAAACCTCGATTTTTTCCTATATTACACATGCCTTTTGGATCCTCTAACTTGAATAGCTGCACAGAAGGAATCTTGCGAGAAAGCGCAAATTGGTCACAGGGAAATGCTGTACAGTTTTTATAGTGTTATTTGGACTATTTGCAACATAAGGAAAGGGCACACAGAGTTCATTTGTTGCTATTTAGCAGAACATTCAGTTAACGTATAAAATGTTTTTTTCGTGAAACCTACGTCCATTTAAGGCTCTCCATTGGTTTGCCCCTCTGAGAAAACTGTTGCTTTTGAGTTTCTTTGCATTATTTGATCACAAACTTCTATTTCATCGCAAATATATATTAAATTGCAATTCACAAAAGGCATTTTATATTTGAAGACTTCTTCTACGCAGAATTGTACCCTGAATTATATGATGAATTTTCTACCGTCAAATGCTACTATATAACTCTCTACTCTTATTCACTACTTCTGGTATTGAATATAGACTTCAATTTCTCCCTTAAAGTTAAAAGAAAGTGGTGGCAAAATGATTGATAAATAGAGTGAAAGGTATAAAAATTGAAACATAAAATTGGCCGAGAAATCTGGGCGGGAAAATGTACACAAAAACAAGCAGGACAGCGAAAAAAGAATTAATCTCACCGGGTGAGACGAGGTCCTGGGAAAGTGGGCGAATGGGGATTACTCCTGGGTTTAATGGTCGCCAAATGAGTTGATTGCGCGTCACGACGTGGCGAAGAATTCCTGCAATCGCTGCACCGTGCTCTTGTCCAGCGCACACAGGTCGAAGTCAAAGGTCTTACTGGTGATTTCGTACTGGCCCGTGGCCGCGATCATCTCCACTACTTGCTGCAGCTCGTTGTTGTCCTGCAGCGTCATGATCTTGTGCTGCAAATCCTTTAGTTCTGACATGTAGTCCATGGACAGCGGCGGATTTGCCGCGGCGCCGGAAACACTGCCCGCGGCGCTGCCACTCCGGTAGGAAGATCCCTCGTCCGTATTCGGCGCGGCATCGCCGTTCTTGTACAGATCCTCTCCGACACGCCTCGGGATCTTGGCTGGCGGATCCATCTTGCTGATCGCCGGACTGTCCTTCCCCGTCGTCGTGGCATTGTCATTCACGTCCTCCCTGTTGCGCTTCTTCTTCTTCTCCCCGCTGGACTTCTTCTCGGCGCGACTTTTCTTCGAGCTCTTCACCTCTTCCGCCTTGGGAACGTTCACGTCCTGCGCGCTGCTGTTCGAGTTCTCGCACCCCATCGCGCTGGTCATGTCAGTCTTCTCCGATGCCGGGCTCTCCATGTCCGAGTCACTGGACGCCCTGTCGCCAAGCTCATTGTACAGCTTGTCCAGCGGCGTCGAGGCCTTCTTGCCGCCGTCCGCCTGGTGACTCTTTACGCTCTCCTGGGCGGCTTTGGCGACGGACTTCGTGGGTGTGGAATTGGTGTCTTCTCGTGCTCGAGACGCCGAGGCGCTTTTGTCCTTCTTCTTCTCCTTGCTGCTGCCGCCCTTGTCCTTCTTCTTGTGCTTGTGCTTCCGCTCGCCCTCCTTCTCGTGCCGCCTCTCCTGCGGCTTCGGCACCTCAGCACTCACTGTGATCTCTGGCGGCGTCTTGATCATCTCTTTGAGCTTCTCCCGCATGCTGAGCGCCTCCTTTGGTCCCTGACTCGCCTCCTTGCCGGCCTTCGCCGCGTCGCTTTTCTCACTGGTGGCACCCTTCCCCGCCGGCGCCTTCTCCGCGTTGTCTTTCTTGTGATCTTTGCGCTCCGCCTTTTCGTGGCTCTTCTCCTTCTTCTCTTTCTTCATCTTCTTGCCACTGCTGCCGCCTCGGTCACCCAGCGCCGCCGCCGGCTGACTCTTCTCTTCTACTTTGCCCGTGGAGCCACTCCGACTGGGACTGGGTCGCTTGGGGCTGCGCTTGGGACTCGCGGGCCTCTTCACACTCTTTTCTTTGCTCTTATCGCGATCCTTCGAATAGTTCTTGTCCTTCTTCTTCTCCTCCCGCCGCTCGTGCTTCTCCTCCGCTTTCCGGGCTTCCTTGCTCTCGCCGCTCCGCTCCCTATGCGGACTCGTGTGCTTGCTGTGCTTCGATTTTGATTCCTTCTCCGCTCTGTCCTTCGATCCCGCAGCGTTCTTCTCGCCACTCGACTTGCCACCCGCCGGCGGCTGCTGAGGCTTCCCCAGGCGGTTCGGCGAGGCCTTGCTCTTTGGGTCTGGCGACACTTTAGTGGAGGATTTGGTGATAGGCGTGCCAAAGAGATTCGTGAAAGGGTCCTCTGGTCGCATCTTGTGTTTCTTCGCGGCATCATTCACGCCAATTGCACTCATCTTCCCCTTGGTACGCTCATCTGTGTCCCTGCTCTTGTCGTCCAGGTTACTCGTGGCGTTAGACATCAGAACACCGCCGCCCTTGAGCAGCTTCCGCCGGAACTCCTCCGACGGCGTTGTGAAGATGAACTTCTCCGTCTGCTTGCGCTGTATCATATTCAAATCGAGATCATATGAGAAGCTGATCTTCTTGGGATCCTCGCGATTCTTGACATAAATGTCAATGGCCAGCACGAATCCGGCATATCCGGACTCCTTTACTGAGTACGGCGGCTCCTTGACGACTGCAAGACAAGACAAAAACCACCAAATTAGCCCGGAAAGAGCTTCCCGGAAGACGACGCTTGTTTACCTCTTTTTGGCTTCGGAAATGACTCGTGCAGATTGAACACCACCTTGTCGATGAAGTGGCTGATATCGTGACTGTCGCATCCCCTCACGAATAACTCCCAGTCGTGCGTGAAGCCCTCGGGAGTTGGCTTCGCCTTCAGGGACGAATCGTGTCCAATCTCGAAGAAAACTTTCACTGACATTTCTCACTTGTTTTTCCTGCAACCAAAATCAAACATTATACTTCATTACGCCTCGAGCCGCACAAATCAATCCGGACAGGATGAAAGTGCCCGATCTGCGAGGGTTTAGCCAGCGCAACTGCGGGCTTCCGTGGGGAGCAAAATAAAAAACATGGAAAACAGTGGGCAATACTTGTTTGTTTACAAGAGCTGGAAGCGATTCTTTGGGCAACACATGGAGACTGACTGTGCAATCTTACGCTGTTTGGCAATCACTTGGTAAGGCGCACTACATTTGATTTCACGCGAATATCAGGGGAAAAGCATCTCTTTTCCATGGAAAATTTGTGTGTCAAGTTCAAGCCCGAAGAAGGAAGGAGGCTAACCACAAAATTTCACAGCGAATCTTCTCACCACCAAATTCACCACAAATATTGTCGGCAATTTCTGTGGCTTTTCGACCATTTGCCAGTTGGAGCCCAAAAATGAAGGGCGAATTGCTCGCATAATACGCTCTTCTTGCATCAAATACGAGAGAATTCCTGCAACATTCGGCGATTTTGCGAGTGTTGGGTAAAATTATCACAAATTCCCCGCGAAATACCCTGAATAAAGAGAGTGACGACAATTTAAGTATGAAATCTGCGGAATGTCCACAGACATTTTATTCACCACTGGAGATAGATTAGAGATCTGAACCGAAGTGAAATTCAGCGGCGCCAACTCTGGAATTATTAGTGCCAAACAACATTATCAACGTATTCGGCAAAAGTCTCCCTAAAACCATCCGTTGGAATGAAATTTCTTGAACTACAATACTTATTGAAACCTGCCGCGCCTGCCGCCGCCGGCCAATTCACCCCGATAGCAAACTCCGCGCAGGCAACCCCTTTCGGGCAGTTTTTGATAGAACTTCTGCTGCATGTCAGTCGGCTGACGGAGTGCGTGTGTGGGGAAAAATAAATAGTTTCTAGGCGTGGATAGTCGCAAAATTAGCCTTTTCGCATCTCTCCCCCGTACAATGTGACACGGTGATTGTGGTAATTGATGAGGACAGCAGTGCGTGAGTGATATCCAGCCGAGATTTCTCAAAGTGACCCTGCTTAACCTCAACTTTGGGCGATTGCGATTCCTGTCAATGGAGGAAAATTCAATTACTCCTATTGACCCGGTGTGCTGAGTTGAGTGCGGTGCTCTCGAGGGGATTGTCTGACTGTGGAGCTTGTGCATTGGGCGCAGAATGGATCAGTCGTCGCCGCAATTTATGGTCTTCCAGGCACTTCAGTGTGCCTGCAGTCAGAACTCAGAACTGCTGAAGCCGGCTGAACAGAAGCTGTGCGAGTGGGAAGTGGAGCCGGGCTTCTACACGATCCTCCTGCGCATCTGCACGGATCACACGGTGGACGCCAATGTGCGCTGGATGGCTGTGGTGTGCTTCAAGAACGGCGTGAACAAGTACTGGCGCAAGAATGCCCCGAAGTAAGTTCGCTGCGTGTTGGGAATTATCGTGGGATTTGCTAATCTCTCGCGTTTTGCTTGCAGCGAAATCAAGGCTGAGGAGAAAGTCTCCATCAAGACGGCTCTTATCAGCTCATTCAATGAGCCGGTGCCTCAAGTGGCCGTGCAGATTGCTGTAATCATCTCGAAGATTGCCAGGTAGGAAGAAGTTAAAGATAGCGCTGGAAATTGTACTTGAACACTCTTTCTTCTCTAGGCTTGATTGCCCGCGGGACTGGCCAGAATTGATCCCAACGCTCCTGGAAGCTGTGCGCAGTGACAATCAACTGCAGCAGCACCGATCACTCCTCGTTCTGCAGCACGTCGTGAAAGCGCTGTCGTCGAAACGCCTCCCGAGCGATCGGTGTCTGTTTGAGCAGCTCACGGAGAGTGTTTACTCGTTCATCCTGAACTTGTGGGACGGTTTCATTTCGCTGTACTTCCAAAGTATCCACGAGCAGAGCGTCTCGCCCGACGTTAGCGTGTCGTATATCGAGAAGGCGCTACTCACGCTCAAAATACTGCGCAAACTGACCATTTATGGCTTCAGCAAGCCACACAAGTCTGAGCACTGCATGATGTTCATCAAGGCGCTGTTTCAGCGCCTTAAGGAGTCGCTGGAGTGTCGCATGCGACTCAAGATGCAGCCGCAGCTGCGCAACTTGCTCGAGATGACGGAGAAGTTCATCCTGAAGCAGATGAAGATCCTCAATGAGTTTGTTGAGCAACATCCCGCCTCGGCGATTGACTTTGTGTCGACGATCCTCGAGTTCTCCTTCAATTACGTGTTCAACGAGGGCACGAACATGATCTTCGAGGGAAATGTGGTCCAATTCACAAATTTTGCCATTCACTGCATCAATCTTATGAAGAGAATCCTGTCCACATACACGTACAGTGCGACAGAGATCAAGTCCAAGACGGTGGACTTTTCGCAGGCCACCAAGGCGAAAATGGACTTCTTCACGCCGGAACGGATCAATTACATCTGCGAGAAGATCATCACGCACTACTTCATTCTCACGCAGAGGGAATTAGACGCCTGGGATGAGGATCCCGAAGCCTATGCCTCAGACGAGGGCGGAGATTCGTGGAAGTACGAGCTGAAGCCCTGCACAGAGACGTTCTTTCTCACGCTATTCAACAACTTCCGCGAGCACGTGATCCCAGAAGTGGTGCGGTATATTCAGAAGGCGCAGATGACGACTCTGTCTGAGGATTCTGGGTTAAAGGACATCCTGCTGAAGGACGCCATCTACAATGCAGCCGGTCTTGGTGCCTTCAATCTGTTTGACGAGGTGGACTTCGATCAGTGGTTCACGTCACAGCTGCTGGATGAGCTGAAGATCAAGAACAACAACTTCCGCATCATCAGGAAGCGTGTCATCTGGCTGATTGGTCAATTGACAGGCGTGAAGTTCTCGCCATCGCTGCGACCGCAGGTTTATGCGGCGTGTCTGGAGTTGCTGAAGCCAGAAGAGGACATTTCAATACGCTTGACCGCCTCAAAAACTCTCATGACGACAATGGATGACTTTGAGTTCAATCCTGAGGCTTTCATACAATTCCTCGAGCCGTCATTCTTCCTCCTCTTCTCGCTGCTCAAAGAGGCTCGCGAGTGTGAAACGAAGGTGAGTTTTTAGGATAACAATTACCCTCAAAAACAAGACTAATTTGTCTCTGTTCTTGCAGATGAACGTGCTGAATATAATGTCTTTCATTGTGGACAAAATGAGCAATAATATCCACTCTCAGATGGATAATTTGATTGAGTACTTGCCACTTCTTTGGGAGGAGAGTGTAAACCACAATATGCTGCGCTGTGCCATAATTTCGACTCTGGTAAGTTTAATAAGACTCTTGCAAATTAATTTAACTAACTCCTCGTCTGCTTTCAGCTGCAAATTGTTAAAGCTCTATGTGATATCCCGACGAAATTGGCACCCTTTCTCTATCCTGTTATCTCAATCAGCACGAATGTGGAGGAGCCATCGCATGTGTACCTCCTGGAAGAAGGATTGGAGTTGTGGCTCAGCGTGATAGAGAACAGCAGCTCGATGACACCTGAATTGCTACAGTTGTGTGATAATGTGCTTCCCATAATAGGTAAAGAAAATGGTGATTTTCATCTGAATTTTGACTAATTCTCTGTGTATTTCCTTACAGAGAAATCATCGGAAAATATGAGGACGGTGCTTTATATTATACAATCCTACATTCTGCTGAGTCCTCAGGTATATTTGCAACGTCATGGGAAGAATGTTGTATCAACATGTGCCTATCTCTTGAGTGATATGCGTCCCGAGGGTATTTGCATGATTATGAAGCTCTTCGAGGCATTTCTCTGTGCAAAGCCAGAATTTGCCATTGAACTGCTGAAGCCTGTGCTGCCGGACATCTTCAAGTGAGTGGAAATTTAGGGCCAAATGCATTGGATCTTGAGAAATCTCAATTCCACAATTTTCACAGAAATGTCATTGAGAATAAGGAGTACTCTCTGGTGATGACAATGTATCTGTCGATAATGGCTCGTGTTCTGCTCATCAATCAAGTGGTCTTCAGTGAGATTCTGCAGAGTCTTCAGCAGCGAAACGCTTTGGGGGACATTCTGGACATTTGGATTGCTAAATTGCCACTCGTGGCGCAGACTGACAAGAAGAAACTCCTCAGCTTGGCCCTCACGAGTCTCCTGACAGCCCACAATGACACCATCTTCGAGCGCTTCGGTTACATTATCCTGAAGATCTGTGAAACACTCAATGACATCATGAAAGATGACGATGACACAGGCGTTCTGACTGAGTAAGTTACGCTTTTAATCATCTCTGGAAGTGCTGAGGTGGAGAATAACGTCTTGATTTTGTCTTGCAGTTCCCTGGTTTTCACTGAGTCAATGGAGTTCGATAACAACAGCGACATTTGGCCTCTGGCCAACTATGTGGAGTTTGAATACAAGACGCACCACTACGAGAGATGTCGTCTGCTGGCCATCGAGGATCCTGTTCACAAAATCGTCCTCAGGGATTATCTCCAATCTCAAGTGAGTCTTTCTGCTCTCTTCACTAAAGCGTCGGCGCTAATGTTTTATTTTCTCTTGCAGCTATTCACGCTTAAGAATCAAATAGGCACTGAGAGATATCAGAATCTAATGATGAGCATTGATCCGAGTGTTCTATCTAATCTGGCGGACTTCATCAATATTGGGGTGAACATTCAGGCAACAGCGTAGCTTGGCTAGATGTGGTGTATCTGCAAGAGCCTATAACTAATAACAAAGTAATAATCAACAAGACACATATTCAACAAGATATTGCTTAAGATACTCTCCTTTTGAGGCGTCAAGAGCCCAGGAAATGAGTGTGGAAATTGCGATATAATCATTGGCGAAACTTTTATGTTTATTTCTGTCTTTCGCGGGTAAACTTTGTTAACGTGCGTCATGTTTAATTTTAAAAACTGTTTTTACAATCTGTCTTCATATTTTTTTTTCTATGTTGACCTTCTAGCGAGAACCTGCAATTTGTTATGTGTAATTTGAGAGTTAGCAGAGAAGGGAGAATAAAACGCGAGATGTGCGTTAAGAATATTTACAGTTTGAATGTTTTTATGGTACGCGCGAGGTGAGCGCAAGTCCAGCCGGGTCGATGATGACATTTCAGATTGTTTTGATGGAGTGTTTGTTTGTTCGCAATGGACTCGGAAATTCTGCAATTTACTCCTTTCACATCCTTTGTGCATCCTTCCTTTTGGCACAAACTCGCGGAGAACAAGATCAATGTGGACAGACTGTGTGATTCGGCCAAGAAGATTTGCGGATTCTACAGCAATGTCGATGCGACAAATTGCCTTGTTGAAGTCGAGTGCACAGCGTTCAATCAGTGAGTTTTACAACAAATTTCTCTGCTCTTATCCCCAAAACTGATTAATAATTGCTTCTCCAGGGAATTCTCAGTGCCAAAGAACTGCTTCTTCGCGCACGGAACGTTGCACAACAAGAACACCATAGAGGACTTCAAGGAAGTGGAGAAGAGCAAGTTCCTGCAGGAGGAGGGAAATCGCATTGCGCAGCTGATAAGCAGTGGAAAATGCCTTGAAGATCCCAGTTTGCTGGTGAACTTTGTGCTCCTCTCGTACGCGGATCTGAAGAAGTACAAATTCTATTACTGGTTCGCCTTTCCGGCTCCTCTTGAGGCCATTCTTCATGTCAGCAAACCACCGGCAAAAGTCACTGACGTCTTCACGGCGGAGCAAATTGAGGTGATCAGGAAGAACTACCTAACTATTGAAGACGCGCGAAAGCGCTCCTTCTTCATCCTCGAAGATATTGGGCATGGATTCAAAATCCACGCTTTGTCTGATGTGATCAGCGACAGCGACAAAGAGAACAACTTCAGAGGAACTGATCTCACAAAAATCTACTTTGGCTTCTCTGATCCATCAGAGTACGCAAATCCTGGCTGGCAACTTAGGATCTTCACGGCATTTCTCTCGTTCTTATGGTGAGTCAACGTCCTGCGTGCTTTCCTCTACTAAATCATTCTGTTTTTTGCAGTCCCAATCTCTGCGGAGGAGCAGTGAATTTCCTCTCAGTGAAGCTCAAGCGCCAACTCACCATCGACGAGTCGGTTGTGTACGTGGCCAGAATGCCGGAGAAGTCCATCAACTTCGGCGAAGATGTCAAGTGGATTGGCTGGGAGCCAAACAGCGTGGGGAAATATCTTCCACGCGTTGTCTCAATGGCAGATTCCATGGATCCGGAGAAGCTGGCTGAGACTTCTGTGAATCTGAACTTGAAGTTGATGCGCTGGAGAATCGTTCCAGAGTTGAATTTGGACGTGATTGCAGACACAAAGTGTCTCTTGCTCGGCGCAGGAACGCTTGGATGCTCAGTGGCAAGGAATCTGCTCTCCTGGGGCGTCAATTGTGTGTCTTTCGTGGATTATGGGAATGTCTCGTACTCAAATCCCGTGCGACAGAACCTCTTCAAGCACGAGGACGCTCAATTCTCCCGGCCAAAAGCTGCCACAGCTGCGAAGCGCCTTCTGGAAATCTATCCAGCTTTGGTGAGTTATCTTGAGAAGCTGCAAACTGATCAGATTTTGACAAGAATCTTCATCCTACAGACGACTAAAGGTATTTCCCTTCACATTCCAATGCCTGGCCATCCGATTGGAGACTCGACGCGCGAACAGACGATTAAAGACATCCAGACACTTGAGAAGTTGATCGCGGAACACGATGTAATCTATCTTCTCATGGATTCGCGCGAGAGTCGCTGGCTTCCGACGGTGTTGGGCAATGTTCATGAGAAGATCATCATTAATGCCGCCCTGGGTTTCGACAGTTATCTTGTGATGCGACACGGCACGCGAAAAAGTCCACCGGAACCGATAGACTACAAGAAGCACGAGAAGAAGGGATTGAAGTGCATTCCAGGGAATCATCTTGGCTGCTATTTCTGCAATGATGTCACAGCTCCGGGAAATGTGAGTCCTTTTGCACTCATAACTTTACTGATTATAAGACAAAATGATCACATAATGGCCACATCTGGATGGGAATAGGCTTCGAATCCCTCGCAATCGGGAATTCCCATGTTCATGTGATCCACTCCGGTGATGTCCAGCTGCAGACCATTTCCCACGTTGATCTTGAAGCCGTTCAGGTGGTCGAGAACATTGGCTGAGCGATAGGCGAATTGGCCAAAGTAGTTTCCATCCACGGCGAATCTGAAGTCTTCAGTGGTAAAAGCGATGGCAAGTTTGAACTGTTGCTCAATGGCGAAGGGAAATTCACCGTCGCGCTCCTCAGTGAAGAATCTGGGGAGAAAGATCACATCTGAGAAAGGAATAGTCCAGGTTTAGGGTGTCTCACGTTAGGCTGTCGTTCATGGAGTTCCTCACGATGATGCGCGGTTCGAAGCGAGGATTGAAGTGAAGTGCTTGCTTCTTCGTCTCTCCCTCTGTGAATTTCATGATGAACAGCCCTCGAGGATTCCCGTAGGGAATGCCAGTGATGACGATCACGTGTCCGGGCGAGAAGGGCTTCGGCACGTCATTGCTGAAGGCGAGGCGCGGTTCGTCGAACTGAATGGGCGGATAGGGCGTGGGAAAGGCTTGTCTATGGTCAATCTGGCTGACCACCTGGATGTCGTTCGTGATCGTGATGCAGCGAATCTCCTCCAGCGACGTCCGGAAGGCGTATGTGCAGTAAGGACGACCGTTGACGGCGATGTGGAACTTGTAGTCGCCCACCAAGATGTACACTTTAAAGTTATCACCTGAGTAGGTAAAAATAATTTGGGCGATAAGAAGACACTGATAAGCGAGTCGACAGCTCAGATTTGCACCTGGAATCATTGGGTTGGGAACTGTGAAAGGATCCAAATTGTCCTCGCGCTCTTCGTGGCCCCAGGATCCATCGTCATGCGATGTATTCCTCACGATCATGTCCTCGTGAAATCGCACAGACAGTGTCAACGGCACGGGCGCCTCCTCGCCCTTTCCGGACGCCAAGTTGATGTTCAACCTGCGCAAGATAACAGCTGAAACATAAATACTCTTACCGCTGTGTTGATCATTACCTTGACGCTCCATCCAGAGATTTTCCACCGATGACGAAAATATGCCCGGGTTCGACGGTACAAAAGATGTTTCCGGTGAAGAACGTCAGCATTTTTAGTGGATTTTCACTTCTGGTCTTCACAACAAGACTGCAGTGACTGGAAGATGACTAAAAACTCAACGCACACCAGCGAAGTAATCCCAACAAATGAATACATAAGTTTCGCGCGCTATCTTATCGAAATATTATCAATGTAAATCGCCTTTCCCGGCTGAACGGGTCGCAGAAGTTGTCTCCTATTTGCACGTGTTCAGTACTGAATTCCAAATTGATTCTTATTGTGAAATTGCTTAGTTAGACCACGAGTTAGACACATATACACTCTTATTGGAATATTACGGCAAAACAATTCTTTTTATAATCATTTGAAGTTAGGAAATATGGTTGCTTGATGCGGTTTTTAACTATCATTTTTCGATTCAGATTCTGTACCTTGTTCTATACTTAGTATGCCTAGTATTTTAGTACATAGATCGATTCAGTCGGGTTATTTGTGTTGTCAAAATTGTCAAACTCTCTGCGTGCTTTTGGGGCAATCTTTCCAAATTTTTCCTCATTTTCCTGTGGTTACTGCGCAAAATTGTGATAAGATGTCAGACAAGAGTGCAGAGAAGATTCCAGTGTTGTCCACTGTGGATGTGAAGCCTGAGGAGTTGGCGAAGAAGTGTAAATTTGTGTTTGATCGTCCTCCGGAAGCGCCGGTGTTCAGACCCACGCTGGAGGAGTTCAAGGATCCGGCGGCGTACATCAGCAAGATCCGGCCGACGGCGGAAGAGTGTGGCATTTGCAAGATCATTCCGCCGAGTTCCTGGTCACCGCCATTCACGCTAGATGTGGCAAAGATGCGATTCACGCCGCGTGTGCAGAGATTGAATGAGTTGGAGGCAAAGACGAGGGTGAAGCTGAACTTCCTAGATCAAATCGACAAGTTCTTGGAATTGCAGGGCGGCATGCTGAAGATTCCGATGGTGGAGAAGCGTGCGCTGGACCTTTACTCGCTGTACAGCGAAGTGCAGTCTGAGAACGGCTTTGAAGCGGCGTGTCGCGAGAGGAAGTGGAGTAAGATAGCACGCCGCATGGGTTATGCACAGGGGAGGAGCATGGGGGCGATCCTGAAGAGCCACTACGAGAAGATTCTGTATCCCTTTGAACTGCACAGCACGGGAAAGAGTGCGGACGTGAAGCCCGCGCCAGTGGTGAAGGAAGAGGATCCGCTGACCAAGTATGTTTGTCTGAAGTGCAATCGTGGCGGTGACGATGAATTGATGCTGCTCTGTGACGAGTGCGATGATGCCTATCACACGTTTTGTCTCGTGCCGCCGCTGCGAGAAGTGCCGCAGAGTGCCTGGCGATGTCCCAAATGTGTCGTAGAAGTGGTGAACCAGCCCGTGGAGGCTTTTGGGTTCGAGCAGGCGAAGCGAGAGTACACTCTACTGGAGTTCAGCGACATGGCGGACGCCTTCAAGAAGAATTACTTCCACATGCAAGCGCATCTTGTGCCCCTGGAAACGGTGGAGACGGAGTTCTGGCGCATAGTGTCGTCGATTGATGAGGACGTGACAGTTGAATATGGTGCAGATCTGCACACAATGGATCACGGGAGTGGCTTCCCCACACGAAACTCTCTCTATATGCATCCCAGTGATCAGGAGTACGCGGAGTCCAGCTGGAATCTCAACAATCTGCCACTGCTCGAGGACTCAGTTCTTAAGCACATCACAGCGGACATCAGTGGCATGAAGGCGCCCTGGATGTACGTTGGCATGTGCTTCGCGGCATTCTGCTGGCACAATGAGGATCACTGGAACTACTCGGTGAACTACCTGCATTGGGGTGAGCCCAAGACGTGGTACGGCGTGCCTGGAAGGCAGGCGGAGAACCTGGAGGCGACAATGAAGCGCGAGGCGCCCGAATTATTCGCCAGTCAACCAGATTTGCTCCATCAACTGGTGACTATCATGAATCCCAATGAGTTGATGAACAACGGCGTATCTGTGTATCGTACGGATCAGCAGTCTGGGGAGTTTATCGTCACCTTTCCGCGCGCCTATCATGCCGGCTTCAATCAGGGCTACAACTTCGCGGAGGCGGTGAACTATGCGCCAGCGGACTGGATAAAGAGTGGCCGTGAGTGTGTGAATCACTACTCAATGTTAGGCAGATACTGTGTCTTCAGTCATGACGAGATTGTGTGCAAGATGGCTCTGGACCCGGAGCAGCTTAGCATGCCAATTGCAATGGCATGCTTCCTAGATATGGCAGAGATGGTGGAAATGGAAAAGATATGGAGGAAATCACTGCTCGAATGGGGCGTTTATAAGGCCGAGAGAGAACCCTTTGAGCTCTTGTCAGACGACGCGCGCCAGTGCGAAAGTTGCAAGACTACGTGCTTCCTGTCTGCCGTGCAGTGCAATTGCTCAGATGCCAGAGTGTGTCTTCGTCACTATTCTGCGCTGTGTAATAAGTGCTCTCCGCAGGAGCACACGCTCAAGTATCGATACACGTTGGATGAGTTGCCAGTGATGTTGTGTCGCCTAAAAGCCAGGGTGGACGCATTCAGTGAGTGGCTTCAGCGTGCAAGAAAAGCCATGATGGACACCACTAAAAAGATCAGCTTTGAGGAATTGCAGAACCTTGTTACGGAGGCGCGTGAGTTGCAATTCCGGCAATCGCCACTGTTGGATTGCATTGTGGAGACTCTCAGTGAGGCCAAGAAGTGCATATTGGTTGTGCAGCAGCTGAAACAATACCAGAAGAATAACGCGACTTATCGACTCACGCTCAATGAGTTGGACTTGTTTGCCGCTGAGATTGGGAATCTGCGCTGTACAATTGGCGACACAGCCATTGTGCGTGAGTTACGCGATTCGGGCGTGATAATGGCAGAGAAAGCGCGCCAAATGCTCTCCTGTTCACTCAGTGAAATCGACTTAGGTGAAATGCAGGCCGTCATTGATCAAGCCGCTGAAATGTGTCTCAATTTGCCGGATGTTGAGCGATTGCAAGCACGCTCTCGTGTAGTGAATCTCTGCGCTCATGTTCTGCAGACGCGTGATCTCACTGTGATTCCCGAGAAGCAATTGAAAGAGGTGAGAGACGCACTGCGAGATGCGAAACAGTGGCAAGAAGACGTGCGTGAAGTGCTAGAGAATGACATTGTTGTGAATGAGGATAAACTGGAGATACTTTCGAGGCGTTGCAACAGTTTTATGGGCTCTACTGGGGAAGCGCAGTGTCTCCGGGAAGCTTACAGTCTCTACCAGAAGTGGCGTGAGTTGTTGAGCGCCATGCAATCTAAGAAGGAGTATCCTTATCTGAAGAATGTCGAAGAGGCTGTGCAAATGGCACAGTGCATCGCGTTTTGCACGCCTGAGATGCAGGATCTCAGCGCGCAGTGTGAAGCAGCCAAGGATTGGCTAGTTCAGGTTCAGAAGGCATTCCTGTGCAAGAACTCTGCCTTCAAACTTATCGATGTGTTGCTTCCGCGCACGGACGACACAGATGAGCGCCAGTGGGATGATCAAATGACTCCTGCCGAGATGATGGAAACCTTCAAAGCTGACGAGGAGTGTGAACATGCGATTATCATGGAGTTGCGAGGGAAGAACGTGACCAAAGACAAGTTCTGCATCTGTAACGTGGAATTCAATGAGAACACAATGATCAGGTGCCAGCTGTGCCTCGATTGGTTCCATCCGGCGTGTCTGCAGGGCGCTGTAGATGATGATGTGTGCTTGTGCACTTCGTGCCGGCGCTCACGCAGACCGGGACTCACGAGCATCTTGCAACTGCTGCAGTCGCTCAAAGACATCCCCATTCGCATGCCCGAAGGTGATGCTCTGCAGTATCTGGCGAAGCGCGCTATTGATTGGCAGGAGCGCGCTAACGTAGTTCTGGGGAGTGAAGAAGTGGCATCCGTGATCGCATATCTATCCGAATCTGAAGGTGTGGAGGCGAAGCTGAATGCTGAGACGCTGGAAAATTTGGACAGTTTGCTGTTCGAGGTCAATCTGATTGAAGTGACGATGGATCAGGTCATGATCATTTGTCGCGTTCTGAAGCGGGAGAAGATTGGCCGAATGGAGCGTGGCCAGAAATCTCGATCGTCGGTGAAGAGGAGGCGCAGCAAAGTGACGAAGAACTTCAGAGATTCTTCGGATGAGGACGATGATGAGGAGGAGGAGGAGAAATGCAGTGCGCCAAAGTGTGTGAGGCCGAAGGGCAGGAAATTTGTGGACTGGGTGCAGTGCGATGGCCCATGTGAGAAGTGGTTCCACATGAAATGCGTAGGCGTGCAGAAAACACAAGTGACGAATGAGAGCGACTTCTACTGTGATAAGTGTGCTTCGCGCAACAACAATCAACGACGAGGTGTGAATCTTTCAGCCTTTACAGACTCTGTTGTTACATGTTTTCTTTTCTTTTGTATTCTTGTGATTCTTGTGCAACTGTGTCAACACAATTCCCTCTGCCTGTCCTAATGCTCTCTCACCCTCTGTCTTTGCAGTCGATGAGGGATCGCACGCTGGATCAGCAATGCACCGTCACTCGGCCGGCTGTTAGCAATATCGCCGGATCGCTTGCCGTGGAATTGATGACAACCCTTCTGCAACATGAATTGAGGGAATTTGCTCCGGCCTTTGTTGTGACGTCGTCCGCCAATCGTGAGGATGCTGAAGTGATTCCTGAGGGGATTCTCGGTGTCTTGCCACACTCAATCCGTGGTGTTATATCGTCCTTTGAACAAATCTTGCCAGCCACTGAGAAGTTTCCTCAATGTATTGCTTGTTCTGAGGTGAGTTCATTGATAAAGTCTCTCTAGTTATCCTTTAACAGCTTTTCTTATATTAGCAAAAGTTGGAATAAACTCTAAAACCTCAAGTTTTGCATAAACCAAGGTAATCGGAGGCTTGACATTCTTTTCTGTGTTCTCTCCTTGTAGAGTATTCTCGCAGAATACCGAAAACGTAAAGTGGATTTCATCCTTGACGCTCTGAATACATCTAAATATTTGGAGGACTTGACAGGAATTACAGACATGATGAAGGAGAATTATGAGGATATTATTGAGTGTATGGATTCGGATTTGGAACTCTCAGAATAAGAAAAATGCTTTTGAATCAGTTGGATTTTGATAATTTGAAATAAATGCCCAAATTCGCCCAATTCGCCGCCAGAGTTTTTTTTTCGTCTTTTCTCCAATTGCAGCACACTTCACTCCGGGAGGCATTTGCGTGAATCTTTGTCTGGTGTGCGCGTCGTTCTGTAATCCACCATTTTTAAAAAGCATTTAATGCTGATTTTACATAAAATTGTCGCTGTAAAAAGTATTTTCTGTTCCTAAAAGTCTGCATAGTGCATTGTATTGTTGGTAAAGTTGTGATTGCTGTTGTGCGAAATGTCGGCGCCTCCTAGGATCACTTTGAGTCTGGCTATTAAAAATCCCTCTAATGCGGCCGAAGTACAGTTAGACGATGCAGGGAGTTTTCAGGAAAAAATGCTGAATTTCTGCCTTTTCAGCTAGTCGCGGCTGACGTTGTGCAGAAATATGAGGAACGCTGGAACACGGGCGTTACAAATTGCATGGAACTGTTCTTTGCGAGCACCGGACGCGAGCCTCCCTATTTGCCCTTCCTGCCGGAACTCAAAGTTGTTTACGATGCCTTGGACGATGGGAGTATCGAGGATTTGGCTGAAGCTCGCCTACAGGCAATCGTGAGTACTTCCCAACGCTGTGATGCAGCAGAGAGATGAGAAAGGGTGTTTCTTCTCTGTTTTAGGAGCGCTTCGCGGACGAGAAGTACATCTTTAACTGTCCAGAGTTCCTGAAGAAAGTGCAAGTGTTCTTTACGGAATTGCTCAGCACGAAGTATACCTTGGTCGATGACGAGAAGTGGGTTAACTACATAGTTGCGATTCTGCAGAAATTCTCCAATTACGAGTCAGAGTACACAACCACCGTTGCAATGTTCTATTGTGAGATAAGCCGGAATATCCGTTAGGAAGTCAAGGCTATTGCTGTTATCATTTCATTTGCAGACCTGCTGCTTGCCAAGTGCTTCGAGACGAACAGAGTGCAGATGAAGAAGGGCACAGATCCGAATCCTGAGCGCGAAGAGTACTTCAAGAGACACCTCTTGGTCTTCCTCTCGGCGGTGCCAATCACTTATGGCGTATCACGTCCGGCGATGGACATTCTCTCCAATCTAGCGTTGAGCTTATTCCAGTCCGATGAGACATTCTACGTGCTGGAGAACTGCCAATTGCATCTGCTCATCAATCTGCTCGGCATCCAGCACAAGTCCAACAAGGATGTGCTGCACTTCCTGGAATTGATGCTGGGGCGCGCCAGTGCGGACGTGAAAAAGGCCACTGTTGAGTACCTCGGCAAACACACAAAAGTCCTCACGTTGCTGCTGTTTAAAAATGAGAGTGCGCAGATACAGATTGCTGCGATCAAGCTCACCTTGGCGTGTCAGAGGTGAGAAAAAGAACGTGCGTAAATTGGAACATTTCCCCTTTGCTAATTGGGAACATATTGACTGATTTGCAGAGTTCTTGCCAATAAGATCTTCTTGACTCATGATGAGACCATGCAAGTGTACAACAAGATGTGTCACTCAAACAACAACATGCGCGAGCTGGCGAAGAAGTTTTTCATATTGACCCACAATAAAACAGATGCGCTGGTAAAAGGACAGACGAAAACAATTCTGGAGGCGCTCATTATTCTGATCACCAAAAAAAGGGTAAGAATTCCCTTTCATTTCTATCAATATAGTTGGAGGCTAGTAAGAATTCTTTTTTTTTTTCATTTCATGGCAGGATTGCATGGATTCTCTTAGCACGATCATCAGCTTGATGTGGAAGAACTTCCCGAAGCAAGAGCAGTTCATCCATGAAGTGTGCAACATAAAAGGCACCGACAAAAGAATCGCTTTCAAAATACATTTCCTCCACATAAAAAAAGTAATGGAGCCTGATGTTGAGATCAAGTACAAGAGGGACGCAATCGAGTCATATCTGAGCAAAATCAACATGATTATCAAGGTGTGCGATACAGATCAGGGAATCTTCGAAATCATCGTCCATACACTCTTGAACATGGACCTGAAGACGCACTATACGCCGGCATTTGAAGTGCAATTGAAAACGATGGTGGATTTCTTGATGAGGAAGTTGCTGCTGTGCGAATTCATGCCGACGCTGTATTTGGTGAACTTGGTGCTGCGCAAGATCGCAGAATTCAATGATTACACAAAGGACAGGATAAAGAAGATGATCTTAGACATGTCACAGAACTTCATACGTGAGGTGACGGGTGTGGCGGAGGATACGGCTCTGCAGCTGAGCGCCGCGTTGTATATCCACAATGTGTTGGACAACATGACGAAAATGAGAATGTTTTCCCTCTTGGGTGCCACTAAGCATTTCCTGGATTATAATAAAGCTCACACTTTGCCGAGTGTGCATCACGTCTTCACGATTCATGCGGAATTGCTGAGTGCCAAGTGGACATTCAGGAGTGTGGATGATGAAGATCTTATAAGAGAAATGGAGCACTTCCTTGACACCCACATCACGCCCTATATGCTCACCATTGAGGGCGATCCGCTGATCAATTTGGAGGTGATGCAGTCATTCTCCGTGGTCATCACGAACTTCGTGAGCCATGCACCAACGCGGGGCTACGCCCAATGGAATCTGATGCAGGACACGTTGCTGGGCTATGTCCAAGAAGTCGCGTTCTCTATGCAACCAGAGGAGACCACATCCTCTGATGGGCATGTTTCTGCTCCCATTCCGCGCACAATCTTAGAAACCCTGTTAAACCTTATTGAATGTGTCCAAAATGCTGATCATCAGATTAACAAGAGATTCGCAAAGATAATCTTCCTGCTGGCGAAGGTGAGAAATTCAGCATACGATAGTATGGCAATGATCTTTAATATTCTCCTCGTCTTTCAGTCGCTCATCTATCCGGATTTGGTGCACAAATCCCTGGAGATTCTCTTCAAGCTTCCAAAGCAATTCATCACAATGGTCGGTGCGGTTTGCCACAGCTTCACCTTCTATCCGGAGGAGAAGACCTTTAAGCAGTTCCTGCATTCGGTTGAAGATGTGCTGGCGGCTAGAGAGCCAGATCAGCGCGTGATCAAGGGCTGTCGCATCGAGATTGTTGAGCAGTACATTCAGAATGTGGGACGATACATTACGTACAAGTATGAACTTGAAGAAAAGCAGAAGGCGGCCGAAGCAAAACAGAAGAAAGTCGATGCAAAGAAGAAGGAAGCCGAAGCAAAGCAGAAGGAGAACGAGAATCGTTTGGGCGTCATGAAAGCCATTAAGGATCTCGTGAAGTCATACACTGCGGAAGAGCTGAATAAACTGTGAGTAATTCTTGCATTGAGTAATTCGGGAAATTGAGAAAATGAATAATTTCTTCTGCAGCGTCGAGACACAGCAAGAATACATTTGCCAGGATTACCTCAATGCCAAGGAGAAGGAGATTCTGAAGTCATTTGTGAAGTTCCTAAAGGCTGATCACTCTGACGCTCGTACTGCCTCTCCTGGTCCGTCTACCTCAGTCGCTGGCTCTTCTTTATCGCCGCACCCCTCGAAGGCTGCTGAGCCCAAACCTGGGCCTTCCAAGCCGCCGAGATCACCTGGTCCATCTACCTCAAAAACAGGACGCTTAGATTTCAAATGATCACTTGATCGATCATCAAAGTGTGTGTGTAAATTTATTAGTCTGAATTAAATCCTATTTCTGCATCAAACTCCTCCTCTGTCATCTTCTTTCTCTTCACACGCTTCAGCAGCGCTATGTCGTTAGCCAGCTCAGCCAAGTCCTCCTCGGAAAGTCCCTTTGTCCTTTTTGGCGCCTTCTTGACACTCTCAGACTGTTTCTTCAGCTGCTGCTTCTCCTTACGCTGCTTTCGTTTCTCCTTGCGCTCCAGCTTCTTCTGCTTCGACAACTCCCAAGATTCCGTCTGCTTCTTGCGCTTCGGCTTCTTACCTGGCCACACACCAGTCTCCTGGTACACAGACAGCTTCTCTTGTCTGGTCTGCTCGCGCTGGGAATTTTTGTAGGCGATCTCAGTGAAATCTATCTCATTCTCTGGTCCAGTGAACTCTTCCCGGTGCACCTGTTTGATCTCTGGCATCTTTGGCAGCTTCAACAGCCCATAACTCATGGCCACGCTGCCCAGAGGAACGTCCTGCAAGCGGAGAAGAAGGCTGCACTCATGCTTGCTGTAGGCTCGAATGTGAGAGACGAAAGCTCGATTGGCGGTGTCAAAGAGCGCACGATCCTCTATTTGCATCCTGTGGAGTTGCTTATTGAGGTGAGAAAGATCACTCTTGGGCACTATGGTCAGGGCATCTAGAGAGACTTTCTGGTTTCTCTTCAGGAACTCAATGTAAGCATCTTCCGTGGGCAGAAGCATTATCAGAGCGTTTCCGGTGTTTCCTTGGCGTGCTGTGCGTCCAACCCGGTGGACAAACGAGGCGGCATTTGACGGTGGGTCCCACTGGAGGACCCAATCCACCTCTGGAATGTCTACTCCGCGCGCCAAGACGTCCGTGCAGAGCAACATGGCATTGGAGGCATCACGAAACCTGTTAAGGATCTTCCCTCTTTGCTTCTTCATCTTCCCGTGCAGCGCTAAAATGTTGGTGTTTTTGAGGAGACGCGGAAAAACTTGTGACCAGTACTCAACACAGGCACACGTTGGCAGGAAGAGCATGGACTTCTGGATGTTCTTCTGTCTAATGAATGCCAACAAGTGCAGAAGCTTCTCCGCGGCTGGAACAATTATGTAATAGTTCTGGAGCAGGACAGGTGTGCTGGTGGAGGCCTTCTCACGGACACTCACGACCACAGGATTCCTGAGACCAGCTCTCATAAGATCCGTCACTTCCTTTGTCTGCGTGGCCGAGAAGAGGCCAGTTCGTCTCTGTCGCGGCAAATAACTGAGAATCGTGTTGATTGTCGCGGTGAATCCCAGATCCAAGAGACGATCCGCCTCATCGAGAATCAGAATCTCCAGACTCTTCACGCGAGCGGCGAGATTCAGCTGGCCTTTCCTCTCCAGAAGATCCTCAAGTCGGCCAGGAGTGCAAATCAACACCAAAGCGCCTCTGCTTCTCAAGCTCTCTATGTCCTCCTCCACACTATTTCCGCCAACGAGGAGTTTCTGGGTAAATATCGACATCTCAGAGTGTTCCAGGAAACTTCGTAGGACTTCTGAAGTCTGTGTGGCGAGTTCACGAGTCGGCGATATGACTATAGCACCGATTTCCGTCTTCTTCCAGGGTGTTTCTTGGTGTCTCTTCAGCAGAACCTGCAGCAAAGGCACCAGGAATGCCAGCGTCTTCCCAGATCCAGTCACAGCTTCAGCAGCCACATCTTTGCAGGCCATCAGGAGCGGGATTGTGGCGGCCTGAAAGTTTCTTAACATTACACATGAGCAAAGGATTGCTGTTGTCTTGATTCACCTGAACTGGAGTCATATTCTGGAATCCAAATTCCTCAATCGTCTCCAGTATGGCACTGTGGAGGGGCTTTGCCAGCTCTGTCCACTTGTTTTTCACCATTTTCCCGGGATTTTCACTACAAATCGTCAGGCAAAATGATAAACAAACACACGTGCAATTTGACAACAAACTACTTTTGATCTCTGTCGCTGCGAGGCTCTGCTGTCGTAAATCATATGATTTTGAGTGAGTGATTTTCTGTGTTTTCCTGGCCGATGAAAATTTATTGAAATCCAAAGAAAAGTGAGTTTCGGGGTGTTTTTACTATTTTAGCGTCAAACACCTAACAACTGGGCTTCTTCCAGTCATGCCAGAGAAGGAGGATATCTGTGAATTGATGGATAAACTCACCATTGAGATTCTGGATTTGATGGAAGATGAGGTCAAGGAGAAGATTGACATCGAGAAGAACTCCAGCTCAGGGCAGTTGCTGATGGCCAAGGCGAGGTACATCCAGGGCCACAGGACAGTGTCAGCATCCCAGCTGCCAACAGAGAACACCCCAGAGTTCAATGCCTTGGCCAGAGTTTCCTCAGATGCATCAGAGTCCAGTCCGGAAAGAGTGTCAAAGGTCAGTCTGGAGCAGCATTCCGTGGACAAGGAGAGTGGCTTTATCGACCCCATCAAGTGGTTCGGCATCCTCGTGCCGCAGAGCCTTCAGCTGGCACGAAACCGCTTCAAGAAGACTATCGAACTGGCCGTGGAGTGCACGAATACGCAATTGAGACTCCATCAGTCGCTGAGGCAACTAAAGGGATTGCGCCAAATGAAGGAAGCCGCTTCTTAAATATATGTATGTGTTTATTTTATGCTTTCAAAATACATAAATAAGTATTGTGGAAATTCTCGTTCATCTATAAAAATCGCATCAATAAAAAAGAACGTAAAACATGGAAAAGTGTGTGACTCGATTTTTTTGGGTATAAAAGTGATCTTTTTTGATTTTGTGTGTGTGTGTGTGAAATAATGAAAAGAATGTGCCGCTAAAATAATATAATTTATAATTATTCTGGTATTGTATGTGTTCTAAATTTGAGAAATTAGAAAAAAAATCTATAAAATAAATTCAATTGCCAGAGAAAATCATGCAAACACACAGAGAAGTCATAACTTTATGTCTGGTGCTTAATCTACGTCTTATAATTCTTACTGATTCATCTTACTATCGACTAACATTGGAGAGACGATCTCTCAGTGAATTGTCATGTTCAATACATAGGTTCATCTTTAAGTATATAAACTATAGCTACAGCTATCTATAATTTTTGTAGTCAAGATACTCATTGTGATAAGACTAAAATGATTTCCTCTTTTTTCTCTCTCTCTCTCTCTCTCTCGCTAAAATATTTGATCAATTGAAATGCGTATACGGTTAACTACATTTTAATGTGCTCATGAATTCGGTGTGGAGAGTGCATCTCTGCAGAGCCTTTCGGCTTCACTACTTCTAATGCTCCTTATCAATGTTATTGCTTGATGTCATTCTTCGCCTCGGCATGTGTTAAACCACTTCCTCCCAAATCCGCTCCTACTGCTAGTCACTGTCGTGGAGGAAGTGATACACTATTCATTCCTCGATTATCTTCTTCATCCTCTTCAACGGGCACTGAAACCTCTCATCATCGTCACTCTGGCGGTGACTGTAGCTCGGGAGCCACTTCATCATCTGCTGCTCAAAGAACTGCTCCAATTCGCGCCCAAAGTCAATTATTTTGGTCACCAAATTCTTCTCCTGTGCAAGAAGAGAGATCAGCATTAGAGAAATTATACTACAAATCTGTTCTATCTCAATGCATTCATTGTTAACGAGAATTCATGCCGACATTTTCTGCTAAAGATTTGATTACCTGATGGTAGAGAAGACTGTTCTTAAACATCAGTCGCACATCGTTCACAAACGATTGTACGTCTGTGTAGTGAGCAGGATTGGTCAAGTCCAGCTTCGCCTTGATGTCATCCAAGCAGATGGGACTACAGAGAAAAGTCACAATATTACGCTCGAAATCAAGGACGAACTAGCGAAGAGACATACTTGCTGATCATGTTGTAGAACTCCTCATTGGCAAGTGGTTCGGGCTCCCTGAAGGCCAAGCTGACCTCGTACTGGCAGTACATCTCCAGCACGATACGCTGCATGATCTTTATCTCGCGCAGACTCAGATCGCCTGTCCGCTTCTCGCCGGCCGCCTCCAAAGGCATGTCGGCGAAGTTGTAGCACAGCAGGCACTGCCACGTCTCGCTCTCGTCCGGCAGATTGCTGATCGATGGAATATGACAATTCTGGTGGAATACTTTGGGGCACTTATCGCAGCACATCAACTCGCCGCCGTCCAGACAAACGGCACACCAGTCCTCATTAGGATCGTCCTTTTGGCTGTTCTTATCTGCAAAGACAGATCATTGATCAAGTCGCCAATTGCAATCTTTCTTTTGCAGCTCACTCACCATCGGCCGCCGCTGACATGTCCGTCGAACTGTGCACCAGCGGCGATGTGGCCTTCGAGCGTCCTTCCGGCAAGACTTGCACACCATTAGAATCTAACTTGGCAATCGTAGTCATGAGATCCTTCATTGATTCCTCACACAATTTGTCAATTGAGTCAGCTGAGTCTTTTGAGTTCTGCTGAAATTGCATCGTGAAAGGACATTCATGAACTTTGCATCCAAGAGATAACAAAAATACTGATTTTAATGATAAATAGCCAAATTAATTATCCATAGACTTTGCACGGGTAATTTCAGTAATAATAACTAATTACAATAAGAACTGGTAGCAAATAAGAACAAAAGCATAAGCAGGAAAAATGCATTCAACGTGTTGGAATTTACTAATAAATTATAAGCGGAAATAGAGAAGTGTTACAATGAAAATGTAGCTTCAACATTGGTATTTTTCCTTCCGCAAATGACAAAACGAATTATTTATCGGTTTGTGACAGTTAGAACTCTACATCAATATCATAATAAACTGAATAAGATTAATTTCCTTTCCTGAAATAAACTCAGTTTATCTACCATTGTATCGGATAAAATGCATCGATTTTTACGTTTTGTACTTTACACCAACATAAATTATTAATTTCTCCGTTCATTGTGAGTCAGCAGACAATTTTCGCCGGATATACGTTCCCTTATCATGCATGCATTAATCCCTAGTCGTCACATGACAATCGATTTGCATATTACTCAACTTTACATACAATTCGACGGCAAAAAAATGGAAGAAAACCCGCATGAATTGGATGAATTTGCATAAAATTAACGCGTTCTTCCAACTTATTGGGAGAGGTTCAAAAGGCAACATGCAAAATGAGGTCATATTGTACACAGTGGCAAACTTACATCACTGAGACCTGTACTGGGGCTCGGTGTCTTCGGGTTGGTCGATGTCACATTGGGGATGACATTGGTGGAGCCGATGGTGATGTTCGGCGCCGGATTCTTGACGATGGGCGGCGACTTCAGGGAGATTTTGAATGAGTCCTGGCGCATGTTGAACTGCTGCATGAACTGTCCCGAGGGACCAGCGAAGCCATTCTGGTTCTGCTGTTGCTGCTGCTGCATCGACTGCGGTATGTGCCACTTGGCGGCTCCCGAATGCTGCATCATTCGCATCTGCTGCGCTTGCTGAGGAGCCATGGATTGATTGTATTGCTGCTGAGTCTGCTGATTGGCATACCCCATTGCTCCACTCTGTTGAACAGAAAGAACACACAATCCTTCAGATTGCAGAACGAAGTCCCGGCAAACAACACTCATAGTAAACTCACGTTTTGAAGCATTGACCTGTGAGCGGGCGGCGGTTGCTGCATGGCGGCCGACGAGTGCGACTGCGGCATTCGCTGATAGTTCTGAAAGCGTGGTCCATTGGCGGCCATAAAATTGGCCGGATTGCTGTTCACGCCGCTGCCACTGCCGCCGGACGCCGTCTGGCTGTAGCTCTGGTGCCCAGACGGATGGCCGCTCATGTACGGCGGACGCATCTGTGGTATTCCCTGCGGCGGGCCACTCGGCTGTGATGCATTGTAACTTGGCGGAGCATTGAAGCCTCCCATGTTGTGACACGGACTTTGTCCTGCGCCCTGATTGTTCAAGAGGCCACGTAAGCTTATATCTGCAAAACAACACATCACAAATTAAAGCCAGTTGTAGTCAGAAAAAGGAGAAACTGAGCTTCAGAATTTGTTAGAGAAACGAGGAAGAAAGTCCTGCGATTCTTACCCATATTCTGCGGATGCGTCGACGAGCTGACGTGCGGCTGTCCTTGACGATTTGGCATGCCCATGTTGGGGAATCTCGTTGGTCCTTCCTGGGAGAATTGTCTGTTTAGCTGCATATTGTTGAACGCCTGATTCGGTGATGTGCTGTTGTAGATCGGCGGTCCGTTCTGCGGATAAGCCGGCGCCGTTTGCGCCCCCGGCATGCCCGGTGGTCCCATTCCGGGACGCATCGGCGGCGCCATCGTGGGACTCGGCTGCTGCCGATTTGGCACAGGACCCGCCACTGGCGGTGCAGAGTTCTGTATCATCGGCGGGTACGCCTTGCCGTCGACAATGATCGTGCCCAGCTGCGCGATTACCTTCTGCAGCTCATTCACTTGACTCAGCTGCACTTGAATGCGCACGGGAATCTCCGGATTCGGGATGTCCGCCCTTTGGCACTTTACCTTCTGCAGATGACGCGCCAGCGTCTTGTTGCTGAACAGCACGGCACTGTCGCTGCCCTTGTCCAGAGCGTTCTGCACGAAATCAATGCAGTGATCTGTATGCCCGGAGAGCTGTTGCAGCGCCTCCTTCTTCTCATTCAGCACCTTCAGCTTGCTGTCGCACACCTCATTGAGGCGCATCACGAGCTGCTTCCCGCGCAGATTCACCGTGTTGGTTATCTTCAGCACCATATTTGTGATGTCCTTAATCAGCTCCTTCTTCTTGTCCGCAATCAAGCTCTGCCGATCGTCGATCACTTTCATGGCGCTCGTGAGCAGCACGCGCTTGTACGTGATCTCGCTGAGCAGTGAGTTGAGATTGTTGCGCGTCTCCGTGGCTATTTCATGGGCAAACTTGTACTTGTGGTCACGATGATCGGCCAGCTGGCAGTCGCGACAGGTGAGCTTCTCGCAAGTCTCGCAGAAGAGGGACAACTTCTCCTGCGAGTGTACTGGGCACATGAGATTCTTCCCCGTCGCGCTGCTGTTCTGGCTCTCCGCCGTCGCCTCCTCCTTTGGCTTGATCGTGTGATCCTTGGTGATCTTGAGACGCTGGTGCGCCTGCACGCAGCTATCGCAGATGTACTCCGAGCACTCCACACACCACGAAGTGGCGTTGGCGTCGTCGCTGCAGCTGCTGCACTTGATCACCGCCTTCGTGTCCGACTCCTGGCCGCCGCTGTTCTGCAGCTCCTCCGTGGACGAGATCTGCTCTATCAGGAACTGATTGTCGATCACGCCCTCCATCTGGCTGGCCATGTTGCACTCGGGACAGTGCACCAGCGGCGGCAGGGCGCGATCCAGCTCGGAGAACTTCGTGGTCACGCATGCCGAGCAGGCGACGTGCAGACACTCCAGGAGCTTCGGATTGTCAGCGCCGCTGAGGCTCTGGGAGCACCACACGCACTTGGACGGCGTGGTGGAGGCGCCCTTGCTGGGAATTGTGTCCACCTGGAAGAAGAGATGGAAATTTCATTGTGCGCGCAGCGGTGAAAGCCTCTTCCCTCGCGCGAGAGTCGCGCGCGCAGAGAGAAGGCAGAAAGTCAAAGAGAAAGTACATTAAAAGGCATGTGTGTAGGCCAAATTGCGAAAGTTGTGTGTGCCTTCACAAAGCGCCAACTTTCGGATTTTCACTGATAAAATGGGATAAATCTCTTCCTCCGCCTCTTCCTTACCTGCTTCTCCACGCTGTCGCACAGATTTCCCGTCTCATTGCTGTCGAACAGTTCCTGTTTGATGTTGTGCGGCAACAGTGGTAGGAAGTCATTCTTATTGATGTTCTCCAGCTCCTCCAATTCCATCGCTTATCTGCTCAGGGGCGCGCGCCGAGGGAATTTTCACACTTTTCCACAAACACACACTCTCACTTCACACACACTGCATCGTCCTGAGACGCCGGAACCACCGCAATTCCTGCCCTTTCGCCAAGCTCTCTCCCAATGGAGAATTTTTTGCAATAATGGCGGCGCAGAACGCCACAGTTCACTTAATTATGTGACCACTTTTGTCCACTCCTGCACCGCCAAAACACACCAATTTTCACACTCTTCCCAGTCACTGCACGTGCCCGTCACACCACGCACAGCTCTCGGACGCACAGAACGTCCGGCAATTTTGTAAACATTCACGAAAATCTCGATACTGGCGTTCAGGAAAATTTACTTCTTTTTTCTGTGGGAGAGGAAACAAAAAAAATCCCATTAGACATTTCAATCGCAGCGCACTTCACACTGCGCAGGCAGCGCCAAGACAACATTGCGCGACTGGTGTCGGAAGTAGATATTTACACGGTGTCAGCAAAGTTGCACGATTTTCACGAAAAGCTGTTTTTCGGGGTGAAAAATCATTGCCACAGCGAGAAAAAATGTCGAAACAGGGGCAGAAAGAGACGAACATCAAAACGTTGTACAATGATTTGAATAAGCACGGGCTGAATAGTGAGTTCGAGAAGGCTATAAAAGCTGCCAACAAGAGTGAGTGCTTTAACCTCAATATGTTGAGGAAATTCGATGAGAAATCCCTGTTTTTCCTGCTTCCTTGCAGTCTTGAGTGTGGCTCCGAATGAAGTGAAGGCGCAGCAGTGCAAGCTGGTATCCTTCATCCAGCTGTCGAAGTTCCAGGAGGCGCTGTCCTTCCTCAACAAGTCTCCGGATCTGAAGGATTTCGTCTTCGAGAAGGCGTACTGCGAGTACAGATTGAATCAGCCAGAGAATGCCCTGAAGACGATTGACTCCGTCGGTGCAGAGGAGCTTCCGCCAAATCTCAAAGAGTTGAGGGCTCAAGTGCTGTACAGACTGGAACGATTTGAGGAATGCTTCGACGCGTACAAGGATCTCGTGAAGAACACTCACGACGACTATGACGACGAGAGATTGACGAACATGAGCGCAGTGGCGGCCAATCTGGCAATTGAGGGCTCTCAGAAGGAGATCCCCGACTTCCGCGAAGACACGTACGAGCTGAGCTACAACAGAGCGTGTCTGATCGCTGGCAAGAAGAAGTTCCCGGAGGCTGAGAAGAAGCTACGATCGAGCGAGAAGCTGTGCCGCGAGTACTTGGAGGAGGACGGCGCGACGGAGGAGGATATCGAGGACGAGGTGGCCATCATCAAGATCCAGCTGGCGTACTGCCTGCAGATGCAGGGGAAGACGAAGGAAGCTGCGGCAATTTACGTGGACGCGCTGAAGAACAAGAAGAACGACGCCGCACTGATTGCTGTGGCCAGCAATAACATGGTGGCGATAAACAAGGACCAGAACATGTTCGACTCCAAGAAGAAGATGCGATCGGCGATGTCGGACGCTTGTGAGCACAAGCTGACGCTGCGCCAGAAGAAGAACATCGCCTTCAACAACTGTTTGTTGGCCTTCTACACCAACCAGGCGGATCAGTGTCAGCAGCAGTGCTCGAAGCTAATCCAGAAGTATCCGGATTTGGAGTTCCACACCACTCTGATCCGCGCGAGCCAGCTGAGTCGCGAGAAGAAGTACAAAGAGGCGATCGAGGGACTGGAGAAGTACAGCAAGAAGCATCCGCAGGAGGATTTGTCACTGAAATTCGCCATTGTGCAGCTGCAGTTGGTGAATGGGAACAAGAAGGGCGCCGTGGAGGTGCTCCAGTCTCTGGGCGAGGCAAAATATCGACCTGGGGTCGTGTCAGCACTTGTGTCCCTCCTGCTGGGCATGGATAACAAGCAAGGCGCCTCGGAGGTGTTGAAGAACGCCGTTGAATGGTACAAGAAGAACAAGGGGAATGTCGGGGACTTGTCGGACATGTGGAGACAAGCTGCGGACTTTCATCTGCGCGGTGGCGAAGCTGAAACGGCTGCCAGCAGTCTCGAGGAGTTATTCCGCACGAATCCCACTGACATGAAGATTCTAGCGCAGCTGGTGATCGCCTATGCACAATTCAATCCTGCCAAGGCACAGGAAGCCAGTCGAAAGCTGCCGACACTGGAAACGCTGACCACTGCCACGGAGATTGATCATCTGGAGGCCACGAACTGGATGATGAGCACGAAGGCCGTGAAGAAGACGGCCATCAAGTCTGATCAGTCGCCAGGTACGTCGGACAGCGTGCAGAAGGTGAAGAAGAGGCGACAGAAGAAGAGGAAAGGAAAGCTGCCCAAGAATTACGACCCGAACGTGGCGCCTGATCCGGAAAGGTGGCTGCCGCGCTACGAGAGAACGGGCTACAGGAAGAAGAGGGATCGCCGCGTTAAGGAGGTGATGAAAGGCTCTCAGGGAACGTCATCAGGAGCGGCTGACCAATAGTGAGTTGAAATTGAACATTTTTTGCCACGAATATGCTAATTTCACTTATTATTTTTCAGCGATATGACAAAGGCAGCTAATTTGAATAAGAATAACCCGAGTCCTGCGGTGTATCAAGAGCCAACGCCTGGACCGCGTCAGCAGCAGAGAAAGGGTCACCAGAAGAAGAAGAAGGGACGTCACTAGAGGCGATTTCTCTTGCGAATTGTAATTTCTTACCCCCATTCTTACCGCAATTATACATTTTGAATTGAGCGCGAATGTGTTTTCTGCAATGTCCACTGGCGCTGCCAGTCAATGTCATGCCGATCCATCGAATTGCCCCAGAAATTCCCCTCAGTCGAAGAGAATCAAAATATAGGCAGAGTTGATATTGTTGAAAAATGCAAAATAATTATTTTTTTACTCTGTTTACTCTAATATCGCTAATTGTTGTATGCAAAGGTGAGTTCGGGGCGTGAAATAGTGTCTGTGGATGGTGTATTTTCGCGAGGGAAGTGTGACAAATTGTGGGAAATCTTGCAATGTTTCATTTCCTTTCTCTCGAAACTGCAATGCGGAGTGACTTTCCGGGAATTGTGGGAATAACCCAAAGGCGTTTCTCTTGAATCTCTCTTTGCAGCTTATAGGAACTATGAGATAAAGATATCATCCAATACGCCCGCTGTTCTGGGCTCAGAAGTCACTTTCCAGGCGGATTTGTACACAGATGGAAAGCTGGTGAAGGATGATTACAAAGTTTACTGGATGGACAATGCGATTCCCAGCCACATATCAAATGTGAGTCACTCCGCCCTTGCCGAAGATGGGCGTCTCGCCACTATCAGTGGCTTCCGCGATAAGAGAATGGATGCTAAACAATGTGAGAGCGGCTCTGAAATGGCGTATTAGGATTTCTGAGCGCCTCCAAACTCGTTTTGCACTTTGTGTGCCACTTTGTTGGCACTCTTTAACTGTTTTACAATGGCCCGAACGCTCGTGTTTTGATTAATATGCACACAAATTGAGTCCACGCAGCGCTGACTTGATGAATTCGTCTCTCTGCAGGGCATCAAATCCTCCGCGCCGCACTTCGAATGGACCGCCGCTTATCCGAGCGATCGTTATCCTCCAGGGACGTACGAAGTGCAGCTGGAGGTGCAGAAGTGGGAGCTTGTGCTCTACGTTCCCATCTCGTCTGTCCGGATGAATTTCAACATCACCGGTGAGCATTTACATTGCACAACTCTTCAGTCTTCGTTCTTATCAATCTCTTTGTTGCAGCTCTGCTGAATGGCGACCTGGAGTTATCACAGAATGGCACAGTGCGAGAGAACGAGTTCGTGGCGAGCGAACTGCAGGTGGATCACACGATAAGGCTGAAGGAGAGCGACATGGCGCTGTTGAAGCAAAATGCAACATATGTGCAAACATTCTGGTTCATCGATTGCGCCTATGTCGGCTTCACGGAGAACTACACGCTCTTCAATCAGTACAAGACGGAGAATCAGAAGTACAACATCGAGGCGCTGGTCGTGGCGTCATATGAGAAGATCCCCGAGCCGACTACCACAACTACCAGCACCACGACGACCACCACAACCACCACGACCACTTCCACGACCACCACGACCACCCCGACAACTTCCACCACAACCACCCCCTCGACGACCACGTCGACTTCCACCACGACCACCAAGGCGCCGCCCGTGAAGCGCGATGTGGCGAAGGCTTCCGAGGACGTGGAAATCGAGCCATCCGGCCAGGAAATCACCCGCGAAAACGCCACCGAAGCACTCGACGCGATGATTCCTACTGTCCCAGAGAAGAAAGATCCAATCGACCAGCCCTTCGTGTGCTTCAACAAATCAATGGTGGCTCCGGATCCCAGGAAGACGTACGGATACTTCAGTCGCTCCATCACCGTGAAGCGTGAGTATTGTCATCATTACGAGGCAAATCGGCAGCAATGTCACATGATGGCTCAATTTCACGAGAGATCCTTTGCAAAAAGTGTCTCTAACTACTGGAATTAATTCTCTTTAATTGCTCACAATTGAATATCCAGAAAGAAATTGAGTTGCTGTGCAAGATTGGCGTGCTGGGAAGATGCATTGGAAGGCATAAAGCATGTTATTTGCAAATTAAATGAGCATTTAAATTCATAAATACAATCGGCTCAAGTGAAGAAGAAAGTTGCTGCGCAGTATGGCTCAGTTCAGGTGTTTTTCCATCCACGCGCTTTGTTTAATGAGACAATATTGGTGGATAAAAGTGTTAATTGAAGGTCTAAACCGAACAGAAATAATATAGAAAAACATTTTGAACAGTAAAACAGCCACAAAAGTCATTTTGCTCTTAATTTATTATCTAATCTATTTAATAATCTATAATTTTTGATAAATATTTCGTTTTACTGTTTCTGTTGGGTTCAATTCGGACTAAAAATCATGGTTTTTACTGAAGGAAGTATATCTACTAATGAAATATCTCGAAAATTAATTTTAATTATAGCACTGTTAAAGTTAAAGTTTGGTGCGAAATGAAAACAAGCACCTAATTAAATTGAATAAATAATAATAATAAAGTTTTATGAGCCCAAAAGATCTTTAAAATAGCGTAAAAACAAGCACAAGACATTATTTCTGAGCAAAAAATGTCCTTCCATGAGATAATTGCATCTATTTCCTAAAGACAAATAAGTTAAATATGGTAAAGCTTTAGATCAGAAGCTTTCAGAGTAGAGAAAGACTTATATTTCTGACCACATATGCGTCCTTATCGTATTGATAGGGCGTGAAAATTTGCAGCCGTTGAAATCAGTTCGGTTCAGATCTCTTTAGCGTGAGACATTCGCCAGGTGTTTAAAATATTAACACTCTCTTGCTAAACACCATAAAATTATCTCACCACAATTGGAGTGCGAATAATTTCTCTCGCTCTGCAGACTCCATCGCCAACGTGACGATCACCGGCAACAACTGGCTGCACCAGGGAGACTTACTTTCGCTGAAGGTGAAGTGTTCCGGATCGCCGCCGTTCCAGCACTGCATCAAGGTGCACAATGGCCCTTACAACATCACGGGCAACGAGACGTGCATTGGCTGGCTGCCCACAGACGCGTGCGACTTCGACGTGACGCACTTCCTGTCGCAGGCGCAGCCCTACACGCTGCTCGTGATCATCAAGAACGACGTCACAAAGACCATCAACCAGGTGGCGGTGAACATTTACGAGGTGAAGAAGCAGTCGCAGCTGTCCGTGATCGTCGTGCCAGTGGCGTTCACGCTGCTCGCCGTGATTGCAGTCATCTTTGGCTTCGCCTACTACATTCAGAACAAAAAGCGGTGAGTTTAACGCATGTTTAATTGAGAACTGAATTCATGGGTCGAGAATTCCGTGAATTCCAATGCGATACACACAAGTGAAGTCGGGATTTCCGTGATTTGAGTCAAAGCTGATTTTCACGGTGTCGAAGGTCTGAACAGTGACCTGGGAGAACTCGAATACTTGACGGCTTTTTCCTGGAAGAACGTACGTGAAGGCGTCTAAGAATACATGATATCCATCTAGAGAAATGCCTGTGACTGTGAAATCCTTCGGTGCGGAGGAGATTTCACCTCTGGGCGATTCTGAGGGATGAATATGCTCAAGAGACACCGCTTGTAAGTGAGCAAATCCGTGGATTTTAATAACGAAGGATGCTTTGGTGCCGCGAAAAGGCACGCAATCTCCGACAGGCGGGACTCTGTGCTTGAGAATCCTGTTCTTTAGGCAGCAATCTAAGCCGAGTAATTTGTTCAGGGTTGAAAAGAGCCACAACTGGTTGTCTAGTAAGACGCCAGATGTTGACAAAACACGTCCGCCGAGAGTGTCTTGTGCCAAGTTGATTTTGTAACCCGGGAAAGATGCGCTGCAAGGGAGTTTGGCCAGATTCTTATCCTCTGCCTTATATTGCTGCTGACCATACTGGAAAAATCACGGTTTAAACTACTTTTCTGGGTTGGGAATCAGGAAACTCACGTAAAATCGCGGAATGGAGATGTTCTTCAATTCACCAGCCAAGGAAGCAATCTTAATTTCATTTTGGTACTTCGTGACGAAGAAGCCGGTCAAGATAAGAGTGCTCGCAGCGATCATTGAGTGCGGAAGAAGAGTCATGTTGACAGAACAGAAAAAAGCGAAACTATTTCTCATCTCTGTCGCAGTGTACTAAGTTTGAATTTTTCCTTATAAGTGTTTCATCTGACTTTCCTCGGCAGAACCATCGTCGAAGTGGCGGACTTTAACTTTGGCGAGACGCAATCTGTTGACATGGAGTACAAGACTTTCCAGCAGAGGCTCTTGGACAGCATTCGCGAGGCCTGCCGGTGGCGTGCCCCAAATCCAGGTCCGTCCCATTTAACAGGCGATTCGTCCCTGGACTACGGATCGATGACGTAAAGTGCAGTTGAGCAGAGAATGTGTCTTTCATGTAGAGAAGAAATCCAGAAAGTGAGAAAAGGAGAGAGAGAGAAAAATCTATTTGATATTAAAACATGATAATGCGTGCTATGAAAAGTATTGAGGAACATTTCAGATGGACAGAAAAAGTACAGAAAAGGAAAAATCCGTAGTATTTAAAGCATTGCAAAAAGGATTGGAAGTCAATTAAGACGGCAAATGAAGAATAAAATATTTATTGCAGACTTTGTATAGTGAAACAAATAATTGTTGGACCTTTTCCATCATTGCAGAATTATAAAAATAGCAACAACAAAATTCATTACCCAAGATAAAGATTTATTGAGTCGAGAGGATGAAGTTGAAACTTGTGATTTAATTTTGAGTGTAATTATATAATTTTAAGTGTATCATAAAGAGATGGATAAATATTATTATTTTTTATTAGTTATTTAGTCGGGTTTTTTTCCACGGACAGATTGTGTGATCGTGTGATATAAATTCCATTTATATTCTCAAATCGCGGTGTGAAGGCGATGTTGACATTCATGTGGAGATGCGCGTGAAAAAGGATTGGAAAGCTAACTATAATTAGGAATTTCAGTGAATTTATTGTAACAAGATTAGTCATAATTATTTAGCGTATAACATTGTATCACTCGAAATAGATCATATTTCTAGGATAATGTTTGGAGGAGAGAATTTAACCACACACCTTTTAGGATTCACACAATTTCTGCTCTTATTATTCAAGAGAAAAAGGCATCTTTCTACAAAAGTGAAACATTTGACCTATCAAATATCCCAATAAACGGTTTAACACTAGCTCTTCGCGTATGAATTCACGCTCAAGAGGTTATCGTAGAAGGAACAGCTCGCGAAGAAGTGCCGATCATCTTTGGACGTCTTCAGCGGACTCCAATCGGCGCCATAGCAGATGCTTTTGTGCTTCCCGTTGAAAGTCGCCTCGATTGAGGGGGAAACTTTGGACTCCTCGAAGGACAATCTGCACACGGTGAAATTGTGATACATGCAAGCGCACAGGAGCAATTCTTCATCGCGCGGATTGGATTTGATGCGCCAAATGCCGCCCTTCAGATTCAGTCGATCGAGAGGGTTTTTTGGTGATCTCATGTCGAAGAATCTCAGATGTTCATCATAGCTTCCTGTGCAGAAGATATTAGAGTGTCTCTCGAGGGTCAGGAAGGATGTGACGCCCGCTTCATGGGAGCGAATTGTGAGTTTCTCCTTTGATAAGTCCCTGAGATCGTAAATTCTGCACACAGAATCATCTCCGCCTAAAATATGGACATAAAGTACAGAATAATGCAACTTGGACGCCACAAAAGGTGTCATTTTATGCAGAATAGCGTCTGAAAGGCTTTTCTTACCAGTCAGCACAATGTCTGGGTTGTTCTTGTCAAAGCAACACGTCCAGGCCTCAAAAGTGTGCGCTTTCCATCGATTGAGGGCAGTAAATGAGGTTGAATTGGTCAAATCAAGCAGTGAAATTGATCCTTTTGAGTCGCTAACGAGTATTTTTTGTTTCTCTGCACTCCAGTCCAGAGACAGAGCGATGTTCTCCTCATCTCGTGGGTTGACCCTGAGAGATGAGACAACTTCCAGCTGTCCCTCTCGCCAGGCGTACAAGACAGCGTCTCCCGATGACGTGACTGACGCCAGGAGAGGCTTTGAGGTGTTCTTCAGCCACTTCTGGTCCAAAATACCATCAGTTTCCCTCTCAAACAACTTCTGCAAATTCGATCCTTCCTCATCCCATGTGAAATTGAAAATGGAAATCGACCCTTTTCTCTTGGCCGGTCCGGAAGCACCCTCCTCGAGCTGATAAGTGGCACAGGCGAACGTCTCAAGGTGCTGCGGATGGAGACACCATTCCACAGAGTCGGCAAAGTATTTTGTGCGCACGCTGTGGAGATTTTCAACAGACATCGTGGAAAACACGCACTAACAAACTCTAACCTTCATACTTGTTTTTGTTTACCAAACATCAACCCGGCCGAACTGCCTGTGTCACTCCAACAATTGTGGTACGAATCAGCTGATCGGGCATTTAAAGATTAAAGGGATTAAAAGGTCTTAAAGATGCTATGACCACAATATATTTGTTTTATTTACATTCGAAATATCTCTACAATAATCTGTTATACATTTTCACTTAAAGTAAAAGTAAATTTCTCCATCTGAATGTATACATAAGGTTTTAGAGCACCTGTAGCCAATCTATTATTACACTTCATCCCTTTTACATCCCTAATCTCTTCTCACTCAACTCCTACACTTGTATATAAAATATATTCACTACTTTTACATATAAATAGAAAAATAAATTAATTTCGCCTTTATTGTGTCTTTAGTTTTGGGGGCTTTTCATTAGCATTATACAAGTATTATTCCTAAGCAGCAGAAGAGAAATCCCAGATTACAGAATGGTAAATTATGCTTAATGCTACAGTAGAAATATTAGATTAACACATTCAATAGTCTAGAGTCTTGATGTAAGTAACAGCTGAGCAGAACTGTGTCCACCAGTATTGATTTTCACCCTCCAATTTATCACCAATGAAGCAGTTCACGTACTGCAGAGTCGACAGCAGATAAGGGGGATTCGCCTGAAATTCACATTGAGAACTGTGATAAGAAACAGACTCAGAATCCACGTTAATTAGCAGAATTTACCTTAATGATAACGTAAATTAACACAGGCGTCAAGTCATCAGCTGAAGGCACTCGATCCGATGCCATTGACAGAAGATTCATTATGCTCGTGATGCACCTAAAAAACAACCACATCCGAATTAAATGCCTCTCGCAGTGGAAAAACAAATTGATAATCACCTCACGACGCACTGCACTTTCTCCATGGGCGTCTTGTAGGCAGAAATGTGGGCTATTTGCTGCTGCGCGAAAGGCCATGGCGCCTCAATCAGATACTCCTGTGGAATGCGAAGTTTCTCATGTGCTGGCGTTATCACTCTCGACAGCTTCCTGATGTGCTCGCGCAACACTCTGCAATCAAGCGCACAGAATTGAAAAGAAACTCTCATAATGGAACGCAATTGATTTGACTCACTGATCTCTCGATATGTCACCATCGTCATTGGGGAACATCACTTGGCGATAGAGTCTCTGCAGGAGGATTCTCTCAATGCAAACGCGCGCCTCTGCCAATTGCCAGTCATTCATGCCAACGGAATTGGTGTTGGCACTCAATTCGTCCATCAGTTTGCTGATAAATTCATCCAACAGGTCAATTTTCTCATCAACAACCGTCAACTCGGCAAAGTCACACTGCAGCTGCTCAATCAGCACCTCCCGCTTGTCCAGGAACATGTTGATCAGCGTCTTCACCAGGTGTCGATTGCACACGACTCGTTCATTCCTCAGTCGCTCCTTTACGCGATCCTGACTCTCTACCGCCGACAGGAGATTCTGCCGGAATCGCACGAGATATTGCAAGTACGATTGTCGCTTTATCAAATCCTCCTGCAATTCCTCCACCAACTTGCGGTGCTGCCCCACGTCCATCTCCGAGAGGCAGCGCATGGCCTCCGACACGAAGGCTATTTGCTGTAGATTGTTCAAATTCAGCGCCTGAGCGAGTTGGATTTGTAAGTAAATGACGATCGGGGATGATTTTCCGCACTGCAAAGCATAAAACACTTCATTAATTATGCTAAAAATATTTGGGTCAATGATGTGTTCTTCTGCCGCTTTCACACAGTTAATAAATTATTCATTTTCCTGCATTTACTCACCGAAGTGTGCTTGAAGTCGGCCGTGTGGAGATCAGCTGATGACAAAACCACCCTCAGCTTCCTCTTGGCATTCGCGAAATGGAAGAAGGCATCACCATTGCGGTTGAGTATCACTTTCGACAGTCTATTCTCGAGATCCGAGTGAGAGCTCTTGCTCTTGCTGGAGCTCGAGTGACTCCCGGTGGAGTCGGAATTGGTCGCGTCGCTGCTCGAAGAGGCTTTGCGGCGATACTTGGCCAGGATGTCCTCAGTTGTCTCAAGGAATTCCGACTGACGACACTCACCGCTCTCGCTTCCGTCCGCCTGGGTGATGAGATCGTCATCGTGATGCGCGTGATCACTGAGGAAGTCATCCTGTCCATTGCGCATCTTCTGACTGCGCCGATTCTTGAAGCCACGCTTGATTTTGTTGAAGAAACCCGAACTATTCACGCGCACCTGCAGATTCCTCTTGTCCGCCGATGCATCGAAGCTGATGCTCTTGGGAATTGCACCCGTGAACTTGCCAGACTTCGTGATTGTACCATTCGGAAGGCAATTGCCATTGGTTAGATTCAGTGACTGCGTCTTCTGGATCCCTCCGACTGAAGCATCAGTGAACTTCTCTTCGCTGATCACCTCAACACTAATCTCCTGATCCTCCGACAGCCTGAGACTCTGCGTCGCGCGGATAATTTCATGATTCTCGTAAGTATAGCACGTGCGCCTCTTCGGATTGATGTCAATCATCCCATTACGCCTCCCATCGAAGCCCGCATGCCTTTGCTCCGACGAAAGTCGCCTGTGCTCCACGAGTTCATCGCTGAAATTGTCCTCGAAACCATTGTTCTCACACGTCTGACCATTTCCAGTGCAAAAGGGATTCACAATGTTGATGTCCGTCTTCACGACAGCCTCATCCGAGCTGCGATACTCGCCATGGTAGGCCGAATAGCTGTAATCTGCGTTATCCCTCTGATTTGTGTGATCTTGCTCCTCATTGAAGCGATCCAGAATATCATCTGTCGAGGACTTGAAGACACTGAGCGGCGTGATTGAGTCAACATACTCCTTCACTGGTTTCCTATACCCGAAATCATGGATCTTCCCATTGCCCAGATCCTGATCGAAATTGGAACTTGTGTTGCTCTCCGAAGAGTTCTGCCTTATAGGCCGCGAGCGATGATTCAGAAAGCTCTTGTGGGCGTTTGTTGAGCCATTAGAAGAGCCTCCAACGGCTCCACTATTCTCTAGGCACGACGACAAGAAGTGATTCCGATTTTGGTCCCTCTGCACTTTTGTACTCGCCATGCGGACGCCGTAATCCTCACCATTCACAGCCTCTGTCGATCTCCCGGTGCCGCTGAAGAAGACGGACTCCTGCACTTTCGGCCCGTGACTCGGAGAATCCATCTGTCTGACGCGCGGAGCGAAGAACGGCGAATCCGGCGCCCTGTTCTCACCCTCGCGGAACTGATCTCCAGCCTCAGATCTCCCAGCATCCGTCGTGTCAGACTTGGCGGCAATGCTCTGATTGTCATCCGTGTCAATCTCCGTCATCTTCTCTGAATCACTGGCCAGCACGTCCATGCTCCACGCGGATTCCGACTGTGTCTCATCCAGATTTTGCCTCATCTGCGGACGAGCCGCGCTGGACAACACATCGAAGTTGTTGTCACCCGGCAAAATGACTGCCGATGGAATGAGCGGCGTGGAGAAGTTCCTATCACGATCCGTATCACCGATGGTTTCAGAGTCGCTCGCCAGCACATCTGTGCTCCAAGTGTCCGATATAATGGAGATGGTTTCATCGCCCTCGATCAGCTTCTTGATCTCGAACTTGCAAAACTTGTCGTCAATGTCTGAGCGCGCCTTATTGAGAATCTTCGCCATCTGAGGTGTCGGAATCTGCGGTGGACGATTCTCACCCTCAGTTATCTGCGACGATGGCGTATCTCTGCCGGAAATGTTCGGTGTTCCCCGTCCAGACACATTCGCCGACACCATGTCCGAGAGATTATCGTTCTGGTCGTTCTCCTCCAGCTCTAGCGAGCTGGCCATTGAATGATTGCTTGGCGCCTCGCTTACCGCTTCCAGATTGTCCGACGTGTTACCAATGGAGGCATCATCGTGAGACATTGAGTAGCGTGAGTGTTTCGGATGATCACTGCGATGCACCTCATCCCCAATGTCCGCGCCCTCGTTCACGCCCAGCCTGTCCATGTCGCCAATGTTCTTTTCCGACAGCAGCGGCTCCTCAATATCATTGGCGATCGTATTCATGTTTAGCACCTCCTCTTCCGTCAGCATCGCCAACTTGTTCTCATCGCCAAACGCCACGGGAATCACCAACACATGCCCATAATCCTCCGGACCACCACCGGTGTGATTCACCAGCGCCGATGCTTCATCCGGCACATCTGTGTTCACATTCAGACTCATTGTCTTCGCCAATTTGCTCTCTATGTTCCTCCTCAGGCTGATTATCCCCTTGGACGACGATGCACTGGCGCTCTGTTGCGGCGAATCGCCATTAATCATCGTCTCCCACTTGTCCGGCAACTGCTCGAGAATGTCGCCCAGCTTCCGCCGCGCCTCACCGGAAATGTTCAATTCATCATGACTGAGCACCGTGCGCAAGTAGTCCACAAACACATTCAACTCATGCTGCATCACCAAAACACTCCCTCGCGATAAATCACTCTTGTGTGGCGACATGCCAATCACCCCAATCCCAATGTCACACTCATCCTTTGGCATCAGCTGTGTCAGCAGCCCAGCAATGGCATTCCTGTCGAACTTATCGTACAACTCTTGCCACTTCCCATCCACCTGCTGATGCTCAATCAGCGCCAACTTCTGTAAAATTTGCCCAATGACGATCAAATTGTTGCGCGCATTCTGCGATATTGGCGCATCCGCGATACCAAATACATCGGGACTCACGACGGCTGGACAGATGAAGTTCGTGAAGACCATGTCCGTGAGGATGGCATTCATCTCCTTGGCACTGAGGTTCGAGCGCTTCAGCGACAGACACATCGTCTGTACCAGCCAGCGCAGCGTCGACGGAAAGAGCACCCAATTTGCCGACAGGGACTTAATGAACTTGTTGGTAAGGATGTTGAGCGAGGAGATCGTGTCTCTGATGTACTCTTTCATCTTCGCCTCATGCTCAGGCGTGCCTTCCTTGCCGAATCTGCAAGAAAAACACCGCCGTTAATCAGTGTTTAGAGAGAAAATGTCACGAAAACTCACCTCTTCAGTCTCTCCTTGGCTGGATAATTGATTGACGCCTTGGCAGGATCGATCTCCAGTGTGCACTCGTCCTCCACCAGCACTTTCATGATGGGCTCGTGGAGAGTCGCCGTGAGGAAAAGCTTCGCCGAGAAGACTCTCTCGTGCAGACAGTGATAGAGCCTGGCAAAGGCGCAGCTGCCCGCCCTCAACATCCTCCGCGGCGCCTCGCTGGGTACGATCTCAATGTCTATCAGCTCCTTGAGCAGCTTCAGCAGCATCTCAACGTCTTTGGAATGGATGGCATTGCCATAGAGGCCACTGACAATGGTCTGCGTGATGATGTTGGTCTGATCGGCGCTCAGCACGTCGCGCGAGAGCTGATCACCGATGGTGAGGCACTGGGCGAGGAGATACGGCGAGTTGTGGAGGTAATTGAAGAGATTCGTGTAAGCCAGAACATGCTGATACTTCAAGCCCTTCGCCTTGTACGCGCTCACGAATTTCACATTCTCCAGTGCGTTAGCCTTCTGGCAGCACATCGCCGGACCCGTGTCGGGCTTCGACACGATCAAGTCACTCAAGTTCCGACGATGCTGAGCACAAATCCATGCGAGCTATAAAAGAAATTCACTAACATTAGTATTGCACAAAGACTTCCTTGGGCGCTTCCGCTCTGCCCACCTCGGCGACTTCCGATGTGTTCTCCTGAAGTGTCTCACTGAGGCGGACAAAGAAGCTCTGCTCCTTGGATATGAAGAGCTGCTCCTGGCGCAGCGAGTGCGCCAGATCGATCACCTCCAGAAGATTGCCGCCCGCGGAAGTCTCCATTGCGAATCGCGCCTGCGACGGTGTGTCTAGAAGAGTGAGCGAAAGAAAGTGAGTCAGCGATGCTCGCGAGAGTTTCTTCCTCCTGCACAGGGCATCGAGTGTGGCTATAAATAGTGAGTAAACAGTTGAGGAAATTACCAAGAAAAGTGGGCAGATTTCACACAAGGTTACTTCATTGAAGCACTCTTTGCACTCAAACCCCCCGAAAATACACTCTAGCGGAGTGAATTGTGGCCTAATCACGGGAGTTTATCGCACAGTGCATTTATGCTAGAGAGATCTAAAAGAAACACTCTGGAGATTGTGTGTAAATAGTCTGTGTACGTGAAAAAAATGGATGGGGCGAATCTCACTGTCTGTCAACACGGTGAAATCCACCCGAAATTCCCACACTTACCACACGAATTCTCCCTCAATTTCATCACTCATCAGTTTATCACCACCTCTGCTACGCTTTAAACCACCCTTTGACCCGCACAGTGCTACCTTTCTCCGCGAAATTGCAAAATATTTTCCACTGAGCACATCAACTTCAGCACTCGCGGATCTTCATTGACGAATGGCCACTTTCCCCCGAGCAAAACCGAACTCTGACACTCGCAGTGCCATCTCGTGGAGAATTTAACCGCCATCGTATTGGGGAGGAATCACAGCTCTTGTAAGCAAGTCGGTAATTCTCCCATAGAATGTCTCAAAGGCACGAAGAGAAGTCAAAAAAGTGCATTGGCATTGACTGGTGATCGAAGGAGAATCACAAGTAATGCATGCCAACACAGCCTTATTATATTTCCCATGTGTTTTGTGTGTTTAGCAGAGAATTGTGTGCTGAATTTTCACAATTTCGTCTATTTTGTGGTTTCTACAAGACCACAACGTAGCCTAGTAAATAAATAGATAGTATTGTAGTCTATTCCCAATCTCCTGAACTGACCTAAAGTCGTAGTCTTCTATAAAACACCATATTTTACCTTCTTTTGTGATCATTTGCACACTTGAGTTAATGAAACGTGTTGGAAAGGAATTATCTCGCCTTGCTAAACATAAATCGGTCTCATTTCCGGGAAAAGCGGTGAAAAGGAGAAAAGTTAACAAGATGGGAGTTTCCACGGAAGTTGTCACCTACGAAGTCCCGGACAAATCCTTTTCAGACAAGAAAGATTACAGGTTAGTTTTCCCACAGTTTTTCAGCTCATCTTGCATCAGTGTTGATCATTTTTCTTTTCAGGATATTCTATTTGCCCAACAAACTGAAAGTGCTCCTCATTTCGGATCCCTCGCCGATAGCTGAGTCCGATTCCGATGCCAGTACAATCAACACATCCTCCTTGTCCGAGGAGGAAGCGTACGATGGCGAAAGCACTTCTTCTTCCGACTCGGACACTTTTTCGGGCAGTTCTCAGTATTCCTCTTGCTCAGAGGGTGCTGACGGCCAGGAGAAGATGGCAGCGGCTTCGTTGCTCGTCGACGTGGGATCATTCAGTGATCCTGCTGACATCAACGGACTGGCGCACTTCCTGGAGCACATGATCTTCATGGGGAGCAAGAAGTATCCAGGAGAGAATGAGTACGACAAGTTTATCCGGAAGCATGGAGGCAGTGATAATGCGACTACAGACTGCGAGGACACGATTTTCTACTTCGATATCCCTGAGAAGCATCTTGAGGGCGCACTTGATATATTTTCCAGACTCTTCGTTGAGCCTCTGCTGGAAAAAGACGCGATCACGCGCGAGAGGGAGTCCGTGGACTCAGAGTTTCTGACCAGGAGTAAGGACGACATGGCCAGGCTTGAGCAGCTGATAAGCTCTCAGGCCAACACTGATCATCCGTGCCACTTGTTCGCGTGGGGAAATCTCGAGACACTGAAGCACAACATATCTGACCAGGCGTTGCACGACAGAGTGGCTGAATTCCAGAAGAGACACTACTCTTCGCATCGTATGTACCTCACTCTGCAAGCCAGATATCCGTTGGATGAGCTGGAGAGAGTGGCGCGCAAGTATTTCTCCGATATTCCTTGCAACGATCTCCCTGGGACGGATTTCTCGTGCTGGAAGCACACGAATGTCTTCCAGAAGCAGTTCTTTGAGAAGATATACCACGTAAAGCCAATCGCTGCCATGAAGTGTCTCCACATAAACTGGTGTTTTCCTTCCATTCTCAATGAGTTCAAGTGCAAACCGCAAATCTTGGTGGAACACTTGTTCGACAACGAGCAGAAGGGCAGTCTTTGTGCGTACTTGCGGAAGAATCTGTGGATTCTCCATCTTAGTGCAGAAATTGACGAGTCGGATGGCTTCTGCAACAACTCCTTGTACGCTATCTTCAGCATTCAAGTGAACCTCACGGACAAAGGCTATGAGAACATCTCTTCCGTCATCGAAGCCATTTTCTCCTACATCAAACTGCTGCACGAGAAGGAGGACTTTAGGAAGATCTACGAAGAGCTTCAGGCAATTGAGGACGCTAAGTTCAAGTACTCCAACGAGAAAGATGCCGTAGACAATGTGGAGGAATTGGTGATCAATCTAAAGTACTATCCAGCCAAGAATGTTCTCAATGGCAGCAAATTGCTGTTTGAATACGACAAGGAGCAGATCCAGACCTTCATTGACAGACTTTTCAATGATCCCTGCAACATCATGATCTGGTGCAACGACGAGACGCCACGAGATCAGAAGGAGAAGTGGTTTGGCACGGAGTACAGACTCGAGGACATGTCTGAAGAGTGGAAATCGATGAGGAAGAATGTGGAAATCTTTCCTGAATTTGATCTCGATCAAACCAACAATTTCATCACCACGGACTTCACCATTCTCCACCCAACAATCACTCCGATGGAGTGCGCTCAACCGCCCAGTCTCATCCGTCAAGACAAACTCTGCGAGCTGTGGTTCAGGGAGGACACACGCTTCGGGCTGCCGCGAGCCTACATCAACTTCGGATTCTCCAGTGCTCTGCCTCTGCAGAGCGACAAGAACGCCGCCATGATGCGCTTCTATGTCTTGACGCTCAAGTACTTGCTGCTGGAGGAACTCACAGCGGCCAGTGTGGCTCATCTGTCGTTCTACATCATCTGTGGCCAGAGAAGTGTGGTCATCAAGGTCACATCCCTTCCTCCGCCTTCCAGAGTGGATATTAACGATATTTTTTCCTACAGGTGAATGGATACAACGAGAAGCTGCATCTGATTGTCGATGCAATGGTGAGAAAAATGAGCAATTTGGAGCAACTCACGGAAGACCTCTTCCAGACGCTGAAGACAGGAGAATTGGAGACTTACTACAACACTTTGCTGAAACCCAAATCGCTGAATGGGTGAGAAATCTCATAAATCACAATATCAATCAATGATTTAATTATAATTTGAATTCCTCCAGAGATGTTCGTGTGTCCATTCTGGAAAAGGCTTTCACACCACTTTACAAAAAGTACAACGCTGTACACACTCTGACTCTCGAAGAAATCATACAATTCTCCAAGGACTTCCTGAAAACGTTGAAGATTCAGGGCCTAATCCAGGGCAACATGACGAAAGAAGAGGCCCTAAGCATCACGGAGAATGTCGTGAGTGTGCTGAAGAGTGAACCAATTGATGATCTGGCAACGATTGAGAAGAGAGCTTATCAAATTCCGCTGGGCAACAATTGCGTGCGCGTGAAAGGCGTTAATCAAAAGGATATGAACAGCTTTGTGATGGTCTTTTACCAAACCGATGCTCCGGCGACCGAGAATGCTTGCTTTGTGGAATTACTGGTGAACATTCTTGAGGAACCGGTGAGTTTCATGTTGCCATGCATTGCAAGTAGATTCTTATAGGTACCATTTGACCTTCTCTTTTAGCTCTTCAACCAATTGCGCACTATTGAGCAACTTGGCTATGATGTGAACTGCGACTTCAGGGAGAATTGTGGCTTTCACGCGTGGACAATTGGAGTGAATTCGCAGGAGAGTCAATTCTCTGTGGAGCACGTTGACGAGCGCATTGAGAAGTTCATGGAGGATTTCGTGGGGATCTTGCGAGAAATGTCGCCTGAAGACTACAAAAATGCCAGAGAATCTGTGATCAAGACCAAACTCATGCCAGATGTTCAGCTGAGAGACGAAGTGACGAGAAACTGGGGAGAAATTGTTACTGAGCAGTACGTCTTTGACAGGATCAACAAGGAAGTTGAGATTCTGAGGAATATCTCGCAAGAACAACTGATTGAGTTCCTCCAGAAGTATGCTTTCGATGAGAAATTCACCCGAAAACTCAGCATTCACGTGAGGGGCAACAAACTGGCCAATGAGACGGATTTAGAGCAAGAACAACTTCCTCATGCCTTGCATTTGGTCTACGACGTTCCGAATGTTGGCGACACTCGACAGAAATTCATTGATGATGTAGACAAATTCAGGGAATCTTTACTTCTCCACCCGGCGGTCAATAAAACTCTTCACTGATTCATGCTCTGCTGTTTGTCCTTCTGCATCTCCTTGTGCTTGCTAACGAAGCTGGTAAAATTCTGCTCTTCCGCCTCTTCGTCTGTCGGTCCAACTGTCGCTTCTTCTGTGCCTTCGTCGTCGTCAGACTCTTCGTTTCCTGGGTGTTTCAGGTAAATGTCTGAGAGTTCTCGTCCGCTGGGCACGTGCGTGACGAGACCCAATTGAACTTCTGTACCCTCACCATCTCCAGCTGCTCTGGTCAACTTGTCCTTCTCACGCTGCCGCTCTTCCTTCTGCTTCGCATCACGCAGTCGAATGTAGTCCTTCTTGTATTCCCTAAAAACAAATTTGCAATGAGAATTTAGCTCTAGAGACGCACAAAATGAAGGCTCACTTCTCGTATTCCTTGACCGCTTCGCTGATGAGATCTAAGAAGTGTGCAAATCCTATTCCTGTCTTGGAAGACACTCCGCACGCTTTCAAATCCCTGTAAAACTCATCCAGAGTGAGAGACATCGTCCTGGTAAGCGTGCTTACGTAGGATTTGTGTTGCTCCAGCGCCTCCTGGAACACCTCAAAGTCCTGCATCCACTCCAGCGCAAAGCTGTGATCCTCCACATCGATCTTGTTCATCACAATGATAAAGGGCAGTCGAGCTTTGTACAGAATTGAGCATGCGTACAGCATGTTGGACATGAACGTGGTGGGATTAGTCGACCGCGGCACGTCCATGATGTAGGCAATGACTGTGGGAAAGGACGTGGCCAGAGCCTCGGTGATAATCGTCCCGGAAGCCGACCACGTGAAGACTTCAATCTGTCCTGGAGTGTCTATGATACACAAGTCGTGCTTCTCTCCCGCCTTCGCGATGAGATCCACGACTTTGCCGAACTTGGTTGAGAAGAGATTCAATGCTGTGACGATTCCTCCGTTGGGGCCCAGCTTGTACTCCTTCATTACCGCTTTGTAATTCACAGTGTCCCGGACGTCTGGAAGATGGGGATTTACAGTGTGCAATTTGTGTCTGAGAAGAGACATTCTCACCAATGTTGACGGGATAGGGGACTTCCTTGCAGGCTGGGTCCAGATTTATCACATAGGGCATCTTATCTTTGTAGGCGAATTGCGTGAGCTTCTGCACAAAGGTTGTCTTCCCGGAACCGGCCATTCCCAGGACAATCAGGCACACTGGCTTGTCTTTCACATCGAAATCCTTCGCCGACGGCTCCTGTTTACTCGTACTGGCACTTTCCTGGTCAGATTCCATGGCGAGGCTGCGAATTTTGGCGTAAACTCCAGAAAATCACCATCCAAACACTGCCACTTCGCATTGAGGTTAGGGCGGTTTGTTTGTGGAACACGTTCCTTCCACGGCCGATCCACAAGATTTTGGCGGGTAGACTGCAAACCGAAAGCATGGCCATCAGTAAAACGACAGTGCTTCTTTTTCTCACTTTTTATGTATTCTAGAATGTGTGTTGAACATTTAATATAACCATTTTCATGTAATCTTACTTCAAAACAAGCGCATAATCCAATTAATACTGGAAAAGAATCACATTATATCGAAATGCGGTGTGTGTGAGCACTTTTTAGGAGGTGTTCACAAAACGCTAAAATATTGCTCTGATATATATTTTTCTGTTAATATGTATGTTTGTCTCATTCAAAAGTTATATATACGTTCTGTAAATGCATCGATTATATGGTCTTGAGAAGGAGAACCAATATTGTAATGCTGGATGATATGAAGGAATGTGATTCTTCACACGAACGCGGAGTTTTACACAGTATATTTTCTTCACCTTTTTAATACAATTCATCTAACACAAAATCCCTTGTTTTCATGCTTTGTTCCTCTCACATCTAAAGTCTCTTTCGATCTAAGTTTCTATCCAGTAAAATGGCTTCATATAAAAAATAAATGGGAATGAAAATGAGAGAAAAATTCAGTGTAAATATCTTTTTATCTTCACTACAACGCTTTGTCAAGAATTTCCTCCTTTGGTTCTTAAAACTCCCAAATTTTCCTATGTACACGTACATAAAATCCACCTACAAAGTCTAGTAAACTCTCTCTCTCTTTCCTCGCACTACAAAAATAAACGGACGAATTTCCCAATAAAAAATCGTGAAGGATTTCCATTTCCTAAGGGAGAGAAAAGTGACTTTGAGAAAGTGAAATTAGTGAAAAAACTATATTTTTGTCTTGTTAAAAAGGCACCTTTCAACATACTTTTTGTGTGTATTGTGTGTTGATTTTTTTCTTTTTATATTGTAAGTCCTCCTCAAAATAACATCTTCTCTCACTACATTGTATTTCCACCATTTTTTTTGCTTTGCTAAATCCAAGTTTTGGTTGTAGAAGAATTCTTTTTTACACGACACTCATCTTAAGAATAGCTACAATATTAGCGAGACTCTCTTGGGATTTTGCATTTTTCCTCTTGCCTAAAATACTCTCATCATCAAATACAATGTTATTAAATAGAGTTTACGCCTTAAGTAATGTAATTTTCCACTATAGAGATTATAGTAATTCATTATAGTCAAGCTGAGATAATTAGGTTGCGCTGCAATAAGACATTCTTCAAGTCAAAATCATGAAATACTGTTGCGTTCGGAATAATAATCCCATAATCTCGAAAAGTTGTTGAGCTGCATTACACGGCTTTTGTGTTCTTCTTGCCTCCAAAATCAATTTGTATATCACAAAAGTTAGTGTAATCCTTGTTTATACCTTATCTTGTATACGTAACACACTTTTTAGCATCAATTAAACATCAATTATTTTGTCAACTACAATTCTTACTGATTATACATTACTTATCATATTTACGCTGTGTTTTTCCTCTGTTTTCAAGTTTCAGCATGGCTTTTAATACTAAATTGGTAATTATATAGTATATTATGGGTTTTTTTCTTTTTCTTTCTGTATAATGTCAAAGAAAATTGAGTTCTGTATGCTCAACCCTCTGCGCGACGCTCAGACAATTTCCTTTGCGTGTGCACAAGACTGCATTGCTTTCGCCTCGAAAGTCTCTCTTTATTGGCTCACAAAAAGCTCATTTGGTGGGAAATTTATTGTTATTCATAATAGCAAAATTGTCCGGCTGTGATGGCAAAAAGGGAGGAGAAAGTTGTGAAAGGAATCTCGAGGGTGAGCAGACATCATCAAGATTACAAGCAATTTTGGGAGCGCGATTCACTATTTTGAATATACATCGCAAAGTTGCGAATGGAATAAATTAGGCGGTCTTTCTTCTGGAAATCAGGCATCAAAATCATACATATATACATTTAAGAGTACTTAGAATTGGGTTCACGTAACTTAGTCTGACTTATCTTGAAAGCAAGTTGAAAAGTTGAGAAGGAAGTCCATTACTCAAAATGCAGATTTACTCCTCTTCAGAGTGATTTTCACTGGTCAGAAGAGTCTTGTTGTCATCGTTTTGGGACTCGAGCTTCTGCAGGTGTAGGGAAAAAAGCAGAGGAAATTATTCGATACTTCAAGATAAAGTTTAAAGCTCCTTCAGTCGAAAAGGCCACAAAGACTCACCTCAAAGGTGTTCCTTCCGTTTCTCTTGGCGCACGCCTTGCAAACTCCCTTGCGCCTCGCGATGACGCAGAGTACCACAATCAGAAGGACCAGCAGGAAGGCGATGCCCAGGATGACGGGTAGAATCACTCTGTCCTCCGTGTTGCCCTGCGGAGAGAAATGCCCGGTCAGAGAGGATGTCTGACGGGGTTTGGACTGCCCTTACCACCCACTGGAAGTACGTGGAGGGATCCACGTAGGGCCAGTGCGACTGCACCCAGTTCTTCTCGTCGAAAATCTTCCCGGAGGCGCTCTTCACGGCGATCTTGTCGTTCTGCTGGCTCACCACGACGATGGGTTTGCTGGAGAAGCGCGTGGAGTCGCGGATGCTGGCCACCAGCGGCTGCTTCCGCGTGTTGATGTGCGTGGGCGCGGGGGCGCTCGGTCGGCTCGTGGGGGCGACCGTGGTGCTCTTCTCTGTGCTGGTGCTGGTGCTCTCCGTGGTGACCGTCTGGGGCGCGTGAGGCGTAGACTTGGCGGCCAAGGCGTTGCTTTCGTCGTACAGCTTCTCGAATTCCGTGATGTTCAGCATGTCCGACCAGGCGGGCGATTGCGTCTTGTGTGCTTTCGCTGGCGCACTCTCTGCCGTCGGCGCTGTCTTGTCCACCTGGTACTTCACGCTCACGGGATTGCGCATCTCGCGCGCCTTCTGGGCTCTGTAGAACCACGACGCCGGACTGGGCATGAGGTCGCTGGTCACCATGAGTGGGATGAGCAGGGTGCCCGCAATCACGGCGCACACGAAGAACAACCCCACATATGCCACGATGGACTTCTTGCGGTTGTGCCGACACGTCCTGCTGCTCCTCTTCCGGCCACCGTCCGTCGCTCCGCCTCTGAAGTCGTCATTCTGGGGCAGAATTGTGTACTGCAGACTGTTCTCACCATGACGCACTGTCTTGTACATGTTTCAGGCAATTTCCCTCACTGGCATTTACCTGCAAATGCTAAATTTTGCACCCTCATCAGCAAATCACTTTGCCGAGGGTGTGAGGCGATCATAAATTTCCACTCAGGAGCTCCAAATTAAACTGCTCGAGGAAATTCACGATAGCACCTCACACACTTCCGACTTCCGCACTCGGATTTATTCCCGCCCCCCTTTTTCAGCCCTTCGCGGGCTCATCCGACGTCCAATTTGCCAATTTGCATTTACCTGTAGCGCTCGCGAGTCTCAGAGCTCAGAGAACTCTGCAGAAAGTGCAACTTCTGCGGAGAAGAGTGTAAAATCGATGGAAATGGGCGCCCGTGCAGAAGAGGGTGGCGTGTAATTTCCCTCTCGGAGAATTTGGGGCCACGCACACACACGAGAAATCCAGGACACTTCACAGCAACACTGCACAATTCGGCGCCACGAGCGAGTCAATCATGGACAATTGCGGACTCTTATCACCAGATTCCGAGCACTAGAAGTTAGAGACGTTGGAGCGCTCGAGAGAGGAGAAAATCCATCTGATGATGCCTTCCATGGGCTCCGCTGTACTGGCAAAATACACCACTTTTCTCTATACCGTAAAATCAATATTAAGTCGGGCCATGGATTCGGTGTTCTTCCATTTCTTTCTCACACCCTCGCGCCATTGCTTCGTCTTCTCACATCGTCACACACATAAAAGCCAGCGGGCGCGAGGGTGAGTGACTCCGCGGGGTGCTCGAGCGTGTGGCGCGAATTTGCATTTCCGTCCCGAAGATGACCTTTAAATCGACAAATAATTGGGCTTTTTCACCCGAGAACTATGAGAATTCCCGACTTATTGGGGTCTGGACGGAAACCTAACATAAATTAAAGTCTCTCATTAAAATCATGTAATTAAAAGTTGTCCTTACATGTTATCGGGTTTAATTTTATTAATAAAGAAATGCAAAATTGTTTTTGTCGTTTTTGTTGCACCGCAGAAATAATTGTTTTTCTCTCGAATGCTTGTTAGGCTTGTTAGAGTTTAATTGAATTTGCAGATCCATTCAAAAGATGACTTTTATAAATCAACAAATATGGAGATTGGGCAGCATTGCATTGGACGATTATTTCGAAATAAACACAATTAGGCGTACTATTATCATTAGCCATAAACAGTAGTTTTAAATTATTATTTAACACGAACAAATGATTTCGAATCGTGCATTTTTCAAGACATTTCCTATGTAGGAAATAAATCGCAAAGAAATACTGGAATCACACTTTTACTCAAAGTATTGTAATGTTGTTTGAATATGATTAAATTTTCAGTTGGATGATTTTTAAAATAACTTTTGTAATTGTAATTATCGTTTCATTTGTTTAACAGTCTTTAATTTATTTACTCTGACAATCTTTATCAACTGAGTACTAATTATTTAGCATTGTGCAATAGGTATTTTTATAAATAAATCGCAACAACTGCTCAAATGCTCACTTGCTCTCAAAGGTTTTAAATAAATTGCAGGGTTCGAGAAAATGAAAATTCTACTAGTGATCATGAGTGTTTTTCTGCTAATAGTAGGTAAATTTTTTTTCATTAATTAGTGAGTTTTCTTTCTTAATTTTGCATGATCATTTCAGGAATACAAGCCGTTGACTCAAGTGAGTAAATGTATATAGAAGAATGTCTTTAAATTCACCCAAAGAATGAGTACAATAATGTATTCTTCTAATTTTGCACTTAATTTTCTAATTACCCTTTTAGACAACAGAAGAGTAGTAAGGATGATCTCGAAGAACCGCGACAAGAGAGGTGCGAGTTGTACTGGACTATGCAGACTTATATTAGAACGAGTAGAATACGAGAAAGAAATAGATTACAACGATTACAATGAATATTAATCACCGGTTTATTATTAAATGTTAATAAGCGCATTTGCATTTAGGCACTGAATTCAAGATAATATGCATGTCAATCTTATACTTAAACTCACAGAATGACTTGCAGAATTGTGATTGATGGATTGCAATGCTGCTCCGCTCGCGGATTTGTGGGCGAGCTCGAGCGATAAAAAAGGAGAAACGATTTCCAGTGTGAGGAAGGAAAATTGAATTTTCGCGAATTTCCACACGGCACACGGGGAATTTTCACTGGCGAACATTATGTGGGTCAGTCGAGTGAATTTCAAATATGAGGAAATTGCGTGGAAATGATTGAAGTTCCTCTGCCCAACATCGATATATAGTCAATGGCTGGTCTATTGGGAGAGGATTATGGTGAAATATTAAATTCTATATAAGTCTGCCGCCATTGAATAAGTAAATACCTCGTCTTATATCTCTCTTTTCACTTTATTCGCTCTCCAATTCCCGCAAATTCACCTCCTCCTCCGCTTAATCTCCAGGATTGGAGTCAACGAGGAGGCAAAATGACTTCACGTGTAAAATCCTTAGCACAAAAGGCACATTTTTCAATATCAATAAAGTGTGTGTGTGTACTTAAAGTTTTAAGTAAATGCAACAATTTCCTTAACTAAATCTGCCGAGGAATCAATTCTCACATTCGCTGGAAGACATGCAAATTCTCTTGGGGCCAATTCATCTTCTACTTCATCGTCGGCATCGCGACGGCCGCTTTGGTGTGAGAGACATCAGTTTCGCGCCACAATTGCGTCACCGTCTTCGTCTGCGTGTAGAACTTCACGCCCTGCTTGCCGTAGAAGTGCTGATCGCCCAGGAAACTGCCGCGCGTGCCGGTGAACGAGAACATGGGTAGTGGGACGGGGATGGGCACATTGACGCCCACCTGACCCACGTCAATCTGATTCACGAACTTCCGTGCCGTGGCGCCGTTTGTGGTGAAGATCGCGGTTCCGTTTCCGTAGGGATTCGAGTTGATCATCTCGATGGCATCATCGATGGTCTCGGCGGAAAGACAGACGAGCACCGGGCCGAAGATCTCCTCAGTATAGCACTTCATGTTGGCCTTTACCTCCGTGAGAATTGTGGGCCCTACAAAGTTGCCCTTCTCGAAGTTCGGCACTTTGATGCCTCTGCCGTCAAGCACGCACTTTGCGCCCTCGTCAATGCCCGACTGGATCAGGCTGTGGATGCGCTCCTTGGACTGAGGCGAGATGACAGGGCCCAGATCCGTACCAGGTACGTGTCCAGCATTCACCTTTAGCTTCTTGGCGCGTTCCACGAGGTCTGGGATCCACTTGTTCGCCTCGCCCACGAAGATGGCCGTGGACAGAGCCATGCAGCGCTGTCCGGCAGCGCCGAAAGCCGCTCCTGCCAGCTGATTCAGCGTATTCTCCTTGTTGGCATCCGCCATGATCACTCCATGATTCTTGGCGCCCATGTTCGACTGCACGCGCTTGCCATTGCGACCGGCGCGCTCGTAGATGTATTTTCCCGCCTGATCCGAGCCCACGAAGGACACGGCCTTGATATCTGGGTGATCACAGATGAAGTTCACGGCATCGTGCGCCCCGTGGATGACATTCACCACGCCTGGCGGACATCCGGCCTCGTTCAGCATCTCCATGAGCATCATCGTGGCGCCAGGATCGCGCTCCGAAGGCTTGATGACGCTCGTATTGCCGCACGTGATGGCGACGGGGAACATCCACAGCGGAATCATGGCGGGGAAGTTGAACGGAGTGATGCCAGCCGTGACGCCCAGCGGAAGAGTGTAGGAGTAAGTGTCCATGTCCTTGGCCACATTGGGCAGAGTCTCGCCGAGCTGCAGGGACGGAATGCTGCAGCAATGCTCCACGACCTCTGCAGAGACAGAAAGATGCAATATGAAACGTTAGAATTTTCAGCTATTCCTCAGGAATAAATCTATTTTTAGCCCTGAACTTGATCGCCGACCAGTTTTCCCAATCATCTATAGCGATAAGAGATTATCTCAGCACTTACGCAATCCTCTCAGCACATCGCCTTCCGCATCGACCAGCGTCTTGCCCTGCTCCTTCGTGATGTTCTTCGCCAACTCGCCCATGTTATCCTTGATGAGGTGCTGCAGGCGGAACATGATCTGCTGGCGCGTGAGGATCGACGTCTGGCTCCAGGTCTTGAAGGCGTTCCTCGCCGACTCAACGGCCGACTCCATTTCCGCCTGCGTGCACTTTGGCACACGTGTCACGACTTCATTAGTCGCCGGATCTTGCAAGTCAATCCAGTCCTTTGTCTTCGACTCCACAAACTTCCCGTCGATGAACATTTTCGTCGTCGGCGCGCTGCTCGCGTACGAACGCCGAATGGCGTGCAGACCCTTGGAGAGAATGAAAATCGACATTAGCATGTGAACATGACTCCCAATGAGCCTCTTCATTGCTTCCCATTTGCCTTAATAGTGCTAAATTGCAAATTAAGCGCGCGCGCTCAACACACTCTCACTTTGGGGTCACGTTGGACAATTGACAAGGCCGAGAATGAAGAATAATCCTATTCTTATCTGCAATTCCCCAGCAGCGCCCCACTGAACGTCTTATCGGAAAAAAATCTCCACAAAAATAAATCGCCGTTACGTAAGAGACCACAAGACACTTTCCTTTTCATGATCACGCACTTTCGCCGCGCCCCCAAGGTCTCCAGGCCGGTTGGCCAGGAAGATAGAGCACTCACCTCGCTCCGGACAAGTCTCAGCATCGTGGCAGACATGCTCAGTGGGGTGAAAATTTGCAGAAAATCAGGAAAACTTGAACTGGACACTCGCACCTTTGCTGAGGATCGAGCAGAACTGGGCGAACGTCAATCGAGGTGTTGAAAATAACCCCACTTTGTCCGCATTTCTGAGATCGAAAGCGCTCAACTCTGCGCACTGCTCGCAGCACTGAGATTCTACAAGGAGAAATTCTCTTCAAAATAATCAACATAAATTGTAGAAGGGCAACAAGAACCTTTTCTATACCTTCTCTTCTTACCTATGAAAGAAAATGTGAAGATTTACTTTAAATTACCCAGTTGTGAATAATCAATGACAATGGAACTTCTTCATGATTTCAGACGAGTTGAGGCAATTATCACACACATTCGCCAATTATACACGCGCCGCATCTCACACTAGATATTTGATAACAAGCGATTGTGTGAGTATTTCTGGAGCTGTTTCCAAGTGGGACCTTCGAAAAAATCCGCCCAAGTGCGTCCCTGATCAATTGCCGGCTCAACATGTCCAAGAGGTTAGCACAGTTTCCCTCTGAAATCCCCTTACTAATTTCGCTCTTCTTTGTGCAGAGATCACAATCAGTCGGTGGATGACTTTATGCGGGAGATTCTCCAGGATCTCAATGGGAATCACCTGGACGACAATCAAGTGAAGTACAACGAAATCGCCGCTGCTCTGGAGCAAATAATCCTGCTCTCGAACAATGCGAGATTCCGGGAGAAGTGCTTCAGGCTTCTATTGGGCGACGGCGGCAGAGCGGACAATCTGAGGAACGCCATCCTCACGCGTCTTCATCAGCAGACTTTCAACAGGATGCGCTAAGGCTATTTATACGAAAAAATCAACTATCAATTACAGATTACTTCTTCGTGTCATCAGTCTCGGGCTGTGCGTCCAGCAAGGCACTCCTGATGCCCACTTTCTTCAGCTCCTCAATCAGCTCGCCGTTCTGGTGCATCTGCAGCATAATGTCGCATCCTCCCACGAATTCTCCATCGATGAAGACTTGCGGAATTGTCGGCCAGTTACTGAAGTCTTTGATTCCTGTTATGGAAAAGGTTTAGAAGCAGATCTTCATGCTTGAGACTTTTCTACCACACCTTGCCGCAGACTCTCGTCCGACAGGACATCGTAGCTATCGTAGGGAACTGCGTGCATCCTCATGACCTGAACCACAGCATTGCTGAAGCCGCACCGCGGAGCCTCGGGATTTCCCTTCATAAACACCACAACTTTGCTTTTTCTCACCATTTTATCGATTTGCTGCGATACTGGCGGGGCCGTGCAGTAGAATTGTGAGTAATTTGCCAGGTATTTCACAGGGAAACTCCCTGGACGAGCGATTCTTCCGAGAATATTCATTGTTTTCCTCGTCAGCTGGGCACCAAGTTCCCACTATTCCCACACGGTGGCGCTGCTGTCGACAAAAATTTCCAATTGGCATGCAAGTTCAGCCAACTTCACACAGCTCTTTGACACCTCAATCCCAAGCGTTCTCCGGAATTGTGTGTGCGATTCTTATTTGGTGTCTGAAATCTTTCTCCACTCCCGCGAAATCCCTCAATTTCTCATCAAATTAACACGCCAACTAAATGCTCGTGATGGAGAATCCCGAGGAAGTGCTGCAGATCTTGGAGCGCTTTACCAAATTGAAGCCAAAGGAGATTCCGCAGGAGCTGGAGGAGTATATTCGTCATGTAGCCAAAACGGGGGACACTGTGTACAGATGGCCAAATATTAAGTATTTATTCCGCGAGAAGTTAGTCAATGTGATCAAGCAATTTCACGAATCCACACCATCTATCGAAGGTGAGGAAATGCAAGTGTGTGATGTCATAGATGGTGAAAATGTGTCACCCAGACGCCAGTCGCTTAGATGCACGCTTTCCGGGCGGGATCTAATGCCTTTCTCCCTTGCAGATTTGCCTCAATACCCCAATGTGGACCCCTTCAACTATGAGACTATGAAGAATGGACTTCTCGAACGTCTGGACACTTTCAACGCGGCTCCTTTCACAATACAGAGGATTTCTGAGCTACTCTCGGATCCCAGGAAGCAGTATACGAGGATCGACAAGTTCATGCGCGCCGTCGAGAAGAACATCTTAGGTATGAAGCGTCCCTTTTTTACACAGTGTATTTCACTAAATGCCTGCTTTGTTGTCTAGTTGTAAGTACGATAGAGCCAGGAAGGAAAGCAACGGACAGCGAAAATGGCGACAGCCTGGATTCAATGGTAGATATCCAGAATCATTGCAAGCCTCTGGGAATCTCACAACTTTCCGTACTTTCAGCAAATCGAGTGGGAAACCTTGACGCCATCTGCAGCTGTTATCATGGCTGAAGTGGCGGCCGTGGCCAAGTTTGTTTCTAGCGCCTCAAAATCGCCCACTCAGGAAGACACTGTAGGCTTGCCGGACTCTCTTGAGGCGCCGGACATTGAGAGTGATGTCAATATCACGGACAGCTTAAGTAAGTTCGACGAGTCGAGCAACGACGCCACGCCTAAAGATGAGACCACTCAAGACGCGTCGACTTCCGCTCCACTGGTGGTGATCAAGCCTCTGGAAGTGGCTGAGACGGTGACCAAGGAAGCCTTCGAGGAGGAGGAGGAAGAGGAGGATGAGAAGACCACCTCTGTGGAGGCTGCTGAAGTGACGACGGCTGCTGAGAATGCGTCCGAAGAGCCTGAGAAAACCGATTCAGACAACACCAACGCCACGATTTCCTCCTCCTCGTCGGATGACAGCAACAGCACGGATGACAATGAGAGCCTCACGGGGCAGACTTCGGACGTTCCCGAGAGTTCCGCTGTGGCACCAGAAGCAATTCCAGCCGAGAATAGTGAGATTCAAGAGCCAGCAGCGGAAGAAACCTCGAGCCTCGCCGAGGAAAAATCGCCCGAAGTGACTGAAGAGCCTGTAAAAGCTGCCGAAGAACCACCTGAAGAGGCGCCTGCCGAGGAGATCGTGGAACCCGAAGCGGCTCCTGCGGCCCAATCGCCGCCAATTGCATTCCATCCGACTGAGGAAGAGACAGAGCAGGAGGCTGAATTGCGCGATCGTACGGAGGACGGAGAGCCGGTGTGCAAGAAGCCCATGGAGAGTGATATGCTGGTCGAGGTGCCGCCAGCCTTGCCTCTCGAAGACATCCCGCCGGCCGCCGTGGACGTTGTTTCTCAGATGGTGGCCGACGAGAGTCTCCTGATGCCGCCGAGTGAGGAGTTGCCCAAGGAAGCGACGGCCGAAGCTTCTCCGCCTGCAGAGGCGGACTTGATTCTGCCGCTCGAGGTAGCCGACATGGAAGTGGCTCCAGCGGCATCGGAGGTGTCCGAGATGGCGACTGAGGAGACCAAGACGGACGACGCCATGGAAGTGGACGAGAGCAGCATGGAGCCAATGGATCAATAAGCGTGCATCCAAGAAATTAACATAATTTTTACGTCTTAGAGATTACGTAGACTTATTGACCTTAGGAATAAAACCCAATATTGTAAAATGTAGTTTCGCTTGTACGATCAACCCATTGCAAGACATTTTCATCAAGTTTTAACCATTAAATAATGTCGCGCGCAAAACTGCTTTTGATTCCTTCCGCTACTGCGCTTCGGGCGCGGGAATGTCGAAGAGTTCAGCGATTCCCTCGCTGCCCGCGAGGCAGTACTTGAACGCCGTGTGCGCGGGATGATCAAGCGTCACGAAGGGAAGGTCAGCTGGCAAAAGATGAGAAATCAGTTGGGATTCTGGGCAAGATTACGGATAATACTCACTGCTGTACTTCTCAAAGTCGTGCTCCTTAAACCTATTGACTTCCTTATTGCTGTGATTCAGGAGAATTCGCGCTGTATTCTGGCGCTCCTCCAAATCGGACTCATCACTATCATATCCGGGTTCTTTTTTAATCCTCTTCACTTTCCTCGGACGTCCAGGACGTCTCTTGGGCGGGTCTAAAACATCGACTGTACTCTCATCGTCTTTTTTCGCGGGCATTCCGTCAGGTTCACACTTCTCGGCGGGCTCTTTCTTCACGACGACATTGGCAGCTGGTAAGGAGCTCTTTTGTACTAGTGATCTTCCCTGAGCAGTCAGCAGACGCACATCAATCGCCCTCATTTGCGAGGAGATTTGCAAGGCACATTCGGTCTCTTCCGCCTTCTTCCGCAGCGGCACGCACAGCTTCACCTTCTCCGGACACCGCAGCACCATCACTGTGTCCTCCGCGTAGCAATCGCGCAGGTCGTCTCTGGTCACGTAAGCATAAGACTGATTCACGGAGTCGCCAAGGCTGTTCCTCAGGTTCTGCCGCATGAACATGCAGTGCTCCGTGAGCTCATCCTCCTCCTCCTTCAGCTGACTCGCCACGGTTTGCAAGTGCAGCACCCGCCGGTTAGTCGTCGGCGCCTGAACGGATCCTCTGGAAAAGGACACCACATTTGAATCTGCTCCAAATTCCCCCTGCGCGGCAGACTTGCGATAGAGGGCGCCAAGAACCTGAGGCGCTGGCGGCCAGACTGAAAATTCTTTTTGCAACAAAAATGCTCATTGTACGACACTCACCGCCACCGGATGCTATTTTTGCTCTGCTTCTCGATCAAACCCACACCCTCCAGGACATTCGTGATGTCGTAGATCCGCCTCTTCTGCTGCACGCACAGCACTTCTGCCGCCTGCAAAAACATGTTCAAAACATGGCTGATTCGCGCGACTCCTGCATCTCCCCACTTTCCGCCCAATTCAAACACCAACGCCACGAGGAGCTCATGCACGCGCCTTCGTGCAGCCGCACGATACGACCAGGCGCCCCCATAAAGCGCGCCACGGCGACCGTTCAAGGTGATTGCCAAGAAAAACTTACATGTCTCAAATCCAGTGTTCCATCGTGACTGTCACGCAGGAGTTCCACAAAACGCTTCGTCAGCAATCCCAGGGACTTGTCATTGCGTTTGAACTCAAAGGAAGCCTCGTTCATCTTCAGCAGCAGCGATAAAAGGGAGTTTTAGAAAAATAGTGACAAACTTTTTAACCCTGCCGCCATTGAAGTATTGCCAGGTGGCAGCTGTCACAGTTTCGCCTTAAGGTGGCGCTCCAAGCAAAGCCGCGCTTTTCAAAAATGAATCACGAATATTCTTTTGGATTTTGTCTTGGATTTTATTAACAATATAATTCATTAAATGACCCAGCTGTTAAAACATTTCCCCAAAGGGTTTGATAGTCAGCTCGTGAATTTGAACGTGGGGAGGAGTTCCCAGGATGTACATAATACTATTCGATACATCCTCGGGCAGGAGATGCGGTCCTAGTTTGATTAAATCCCTGTGCTGTGGCAAGAAGAATTCAGTTCCCACAACTCCAGGACTCACTGAAGTCACTTTGATATGATGTTTGCTCCTGATGAACTCCTGACGATGTATTTCCGTTATGGCAGTCACGGCGAACTTACTTGGCGGATACATATTAATTGAAGGCTGATCGATGTTGCAAAGAACTTTGTGTCCAACTACGCTGTTGATGTGCACAACATGGGAATTTCTGCCGTGCTTTTCCATGGATTTATAAGCTTCGCGAGTGCAGAAAACCAAGCCCATCACGTTGGTGTCGATTATGTCTCGAATCGCCTCAGAGTTGTCCTGGTCGATCAAGGCAGTGTCCCGAATTAGCCCAGCATTGTTGATCAAAACATCAATTCCGTTGAATTTAGCATCGATCAGCTCGAAAACTCTTATGATGTCTTCTTCTTGAGATACATCACACTTCATAGCATGCAAATTCACTCGGAGCTTCTCTGGAATTTGCTTCTTCAGAGCTTCAACTCGTTCTACTCTTCGTGCTAATCCGACTGTTATCATTCCTGCCTTTGCGAGATCCACTGCAACGGCCGCCCCGATACCTGAAAAGCATATTTCTTTACTTATTTATTTGCATCTTTTATTGCAAGATGTAAGATCATTCACCTGAAGAGGCGCCGGTTACAACTGCCACTCGATTCTTCCACTGCTCCATTTCAGAACGAACCACGAAAGCTTCACGATTAAATGGTGAAATGATACTACATTTCTCCAAGTCTGCTCACAGTTTATATAATAGCATGGGAGAGGCTGATTAGATAAGGAAAGCATCGATGTATTGAATGGAGTGTCGATGTTGAATGGAAAAAGTATTGACCAAATTCGGAGGTGTTGCCTTAAATAGTAACAACTTTCCCTGAAATCTTGTCATTTTGTGATACGTAATTTTAAATTTGTGCTCTGTGGACAATTTAATTACGTTAAGATTAGCATGACACATTGAATAATTTAGGTAGTGTGATAAGGGCATTTATGTGATAATGACTTGTAAATTCCATTAATGCTGAGATATGACTTGATGAAATTTTTATGAATGTATATAAATTAATATGAATTTGTATAAATTTATTTGAATTTTATCATATGATTTATATTATATTTTATTTATTCATGATATCCTTTTCCTCGAACACATCACACTTCATAGCGTGCAAATTCAGTCTACTGTCTCTAAAAGTAACCCTTTAAGTGCTGCGACTCTATAGACTCTTTGTGCCAATCCAACAACTATCATTCCTGCTTTCACGAGATTCACAGCGATTACAGCTCCAATTCCTAATGTGAATTTTGTAATAAATAAATACTTAAATGTATGAATTTTACCCGAAAATGCGCCAGTCACAACAGCCCCTCGATTCTTCCACTACTTCTTTGCAAAAGTCGAGGAATAAACTGAACAAACTGAAAATTCTGCGCTAAGTTAAAACTATCTCATCTTCTTGTCTGCTTATATAGTACAGGAAAATGAATAAAATAAGGAAAACATCTGCTGATGTCTGGTTTTTATTGTTCTTGAAAAGTTTTTTCGATATTTTCCAAGTGCATAATTTCGACTAATTTTACTGCCTCTGTTTCTTATTTCATTGACATTAAATTTTAGAAATCCTTATTGTAAGGGGTACAATTTGTGCTGAATTTTTTTTTTTACTTTTCACACATTTATTCCGGAAACATCACAAATCTTGACTCTCACAAAATTGTGGCAAATCCAAATAACTTTACCAAGGTTCTCCAAATGATTTGATGGTCAATTCATGAATTTGCACATGAGGAGGAGTTCCCAGGACGTGAAGAACACTCTGTGAGATGTCTTCAGGCACTAGATAAGGGAGTTTTGATGTGTCATAAGAGTTACGGGTCATTTCAGTCTTCACGAGTCCAGGACTCACTGAAGTCACTTTAATGTGATGCTTGCTCCTGATGAATTCCTGGCGATGAATCTCTGTAATCGCGGTCACAGCGAATTTGCTCGGGCGATATAAATTGGAAGGTGCCACTGCGGGGTTGAATGCAATTTTATGTCCAGAAATGCTGTTAATATGCACAACATGGGAATTTCTGCCGTGCTTTTCCATGGATTTGTAAGCTTCGCGAGTGCAGAAAACCAGACCGAAGACATTCGTATCGATAACTTGTCGAATTTTCGCCGAATTATCATGATCAATTAAGTTGATTTTACTGTGAGCAACTCCAGCATTGTTGATAAGAACATCAATTCCGTTGAATTTAGCATCGATCAGCTCAAAAACTCTTATGATATCTTCTTCTTGAGATACATCACACTTCATAGCATGCAAATTCACTCGGAGCTTCTCTGGAATTTGCTTCTTCAGAGCTTCAATATTTTCTTCTCGGCGTGCCAAACCAACAACTACCATTCCAGCCTTCACCAGATCCACAGCAATTGCAGCTCCGATTCCTGATGTTAAATGAAATATAAAACATCCTTTTCTATTAATCACTTAGGTTAAATACCAGTAGATGCTCCTGTTACAACGGCTGTGCGATCATTCCACTGCTCCATTTTAGAATTTGAAAGGAATACTGAACATCAAAAGGCAAAATTGTTCATTTAATAGGCAGATTAAATAACACAGAAGAGGCTGATTAGATAAGGAGAATATCTGATAATATTTTATTATGACTTTATCTTGAAGAGTGTTTATATCAAATACAGCTTAAATTTGAAGAGAGAATTCCTCTAAATTACATTTCTTCTCCAAATGGTTTGATAGTCAGTTCGTGAACTTGAACGTGAGGAGGAGTTCCCAAAATATACAAAACGCTCTTAGACACGTCCTCAGGCAAGAGATGCGGTCCTTGGGCAACCATATCCTTGATATCCTTCTCAAAAATATCAGTTATAACTGCTCCAGGACTCACTGAAGTTACTTTGATGTGGTGTTTGCTCCTGATAAATTCCTGACGATGGATCTCCGTTATCGCAGTGACTGCGAATTTACTTGGCGGATACATATTGAAAGACGGATATTCAAGCAGACAAAAATGTTGTTGTCCTACAATGCTGTTGATATGTACAACGTGAGAATTCCTTCCGTGCTTTTCCATAGATTTATAGGCTTCTCGAGTGCAAAAAACCAAGCCCATCACGTTAGTGTCGATAACCTCTCGAATTAAAGATGAATTATCCTGATCAATCAGAGCAGTTTGACGAATGATACCAGCATTATTGATCAGAACATCAATTCCGTTGAATTTGGCATCGATCAGCTCAAATGTCCTTATAATTTCCTCTTCCTCACACACATCGCACTTCATAGCATGTAAGTTCACTCGTAATTTTTCCGGTAATTCTTTCTTCAGAGCCTGAACTTTATCAACTCTACGCGCTAATCCGACTGTTATCATTCCAGCCTTTGCGAGATCAATGGCAATTGCAGCTCCAATTCCTATTTAGCAAAAATTCTTTATAGTCTTTAACGGTGTACAAACTAGAAAAGACTTACCTGAAGAAGCGCCAGTTACGACCGCCACTCGATTCTTCCACTGCTCCATTTTATATTCCTTGAAAAAATATGTTCAAAGTCTGTGAAGTTATGATTGATACTGAAATATTTCGGCACCCGGTCACTATTATATAATTTTGGGCACAGATAAGATAAGAAGAAGCCATTCTTTATTACACAATGTGAGTTTGTATTACAAAAAGTGATTTAATAAGGCTCTCCGAAGGGTTTCACGATCAATTCGTGTACTTGAACATGTGGGGGAGTTCCCAAAACGTAAAGGACACTCTGTGCGATGTCTTCTGGTTCGAGAACAGGATACTTAGAGAACACATCCCTGTGTTCCGGCATGAAGATTTCCGTTTTGACCAGTCCAGGACTCACTGAAGACACTTTGATATGACGTTTGCTCCTGATGAACTCCTGGCGATGAATTTCTGTTATCGCAGTCACGGCGAACTTACTTGGAGTGTACATATTATAGGATATGTCATCCTGATAACAGAAGATTTGCTGACCAGCTGTGCTGTTGATATGTACAACATGTGAGTTTCTTCCGTGCTTTTCCATTGACTTATAGGCTTCACGAGTGCAAAAAACTAAGCCAAAAACATTTACGTCCATAACTTCTCGAATTGGCACAGAATTGTCTTTGTCAATTAAATCCGTCTGGCGAATAATGCCAGCATTGTTGACTAGAACATCGATTCCTTTAAATTTGGAATCAATTCCATCGAAGACGCTGATGATATCGTCTTCCTTGGTGATGTCGCATTTCACAGCGTGAAGATTTCCCTGAAGATGAGCCGGAAGATCCTTCTTCAGAGCTTCAACTTTCTCAGCTCTCCTCGCCAATCCTACAGCTATCATTCCGGCGTTGACGAGAGTTTTAGCAATGGCAGCTCCAATCCCTACGATTTGTGATTAAAACATCAGCTGATGTTGATATTTCTTTAGGCGTTTTTTACCTCCGGAAGCTCCCGTCACAACAGCAACTCGATTTTTCCACTGCTCCATAGTTCACGCACAAAATCTCTCCTCGTAGAAGTCGGAAATACAACTGATTCCTCTGAGAATCTTTCTTGTTTAATATACTCACTTATAGAAATGTATTCTCTCTCTCTCTCTCTCTGAACTCTATTTCTGAACATATGTGATATTTATTTTACATGTATTTCCACTTAATGTATGCGATGGTATTATATTATCTTTGCTTTTTATTGGCTCACTTTATTTGCTATGTCAAGTTCATGGGCCTTAGAATACACAGACAGCTTATTTGGTAATACAGTGATAAGGCAGAAGAACGAACTGTGTTTCTTTTTACTATAAAGCATGCATATTGGATTGTGTAAATACAATGTAGGCAGAAATTATGAGAAAAACGACAATATTTGAAGAATTTAGTAAGACTCGCCGAATGGCTTAATAGTCAATTCATGCACCTGAACATGGGGAGGAGTTCCCAAAACATAAAGGACACTCTGAGATACATCTTCTGGTTCAAGAATGGGCAGTTTGGAAAGCATTTCTCTGTGTTCTGGTATGAAAATTTCCGTTTTCACAAGTCCAGGACTCACTGAAGTCACTTTGATATGGCGTTTGCTCCGGATGAACTCCTGACGGTGGATTTCCGTAATCGCGGTCACTGCATATTTGCTCGGAGGATAAATGTTGATTGAGGGCTGTTCGATATTGCAGTAAACTTGATGTCCTGCAATACTGTTGATATGAACAACATGAGAATTTCTTCCGTGCTTTTCCATTGATTTGAAGGCTTCTCGAGTGCAGAAAACCAGGCCCATCACATTTGTGTCCATGACTTCACGAATGATGTCTGAATTGTCTTTGTCAATCAAAGCGGTATCACGATAAACACCGGCATTATTCACTAGCACATCAATTCCATTGAATTTCTCATGGATTCGGGCAAAGACGCTCACAATTTCCTCTTCTTTGGTAATATCGCACTTGAAAGCGTGCAAATTGTGTATCAATTCTGGCGAAAGATCATTCTTCAGAGCTTCAATTCTCTCCACTCTTCTTGCCAATCCAATTGTGATCATTCCCGCCTTCACGAGATCTTTGGCGATCGCAGCTCCGATTCCTAATGAATGCCAGACAATCCGCAGTGGCTTAATAAATGAATGAACTACCTAAAGTTGTTTTGACTTACCTGATGAAGCGCCAGTCACAATAGCAACGCGATTCTTCCACTGCTCCATCTTTTTTCTGTGTACGAACACTTAAACTGATGAAATCCGAAATCCAACTGAGTTCTTCCTCTCTCAAACATTCTGGTAAAAGCAGATATTTCTGAGTAGACAAAAAAACTTATATAACAACTTGCTCAAGGTTAGTAGGTCAAACACCTAGTAAAAAATGCTAGCCGAAATGAATATGTGGACGGGTGAGTAAATAAAATCTTCACACAAAATGATTTGACCAAAGAGCTTATATTCAAACTCAAATAGATTTACTCGTGAATGTATTTGTAAGCAGATTACTCCGTTGTTTGGTTGACTAATACTTTTGGCCACAAATTTGTAATGTTACACAGTTTTGAATTTTGAGTTTTTTGTCACATTTCGTGCATTTGGTGATGAAATAAATATGATAAGAATGATTTAAAAATTACAGAATTCTTTTTATTTCTCTGAAATTGTACAAATATATGTATCACTTTGTAGTACATTTGTTTAAAACGTTTCACCAAATGGTTTGATAGTCAAATCGTGGATTTGAACATGAGGAGGAGTTCCCAAAATGTGAAGGACACTCTGAGATACATCTTCTGGTTCAAGAATGGGAAGAGCGGCAAGCATTTCTCTGTGTTCTGGTAAAAATATCTCTGTATTGACCAGTCCAGGACTCACTGAAGTCACTTTGATGTGATGCTTGCTCCTGATGAACTCCTGACGATGAATCTCCGTTATCGCAGTCACTGCATATTTACTTGGAGGATACATATTGTTTGAAGGATATTCAAGCATGCATATAGGTTTTTGTCCTGTAATGCTGTTGATGTGCACAACATGCGAATTTCTTCCGTGCTTTTCCATAGATTTGAAGGCTTCTCGAGTACAAAAAACCAATCCCATCACATTGGTGTCGATTATTTCTCGAATCGGGATGGAATTATCAGCATTGATGAGTTCAGTTTGGCGAATAATCCCAGCATTGTTAATCAGGACATCGATTCCGTCGAATTTTGACGCAATTGAGGCAAACACTTTCACAACTTCATCTTCCTTCGAAACATCACACTTCATAGCGTGGAGATTTCCCTGAAGATGTGCTGGAAGATCCGTCTTTAGAGCCTCTATTCTTTCCACTCTTCTCGCCAATCCAACTGTGATCATTCCAGCCTTGACCAGATCCTTGACGATTGCGGCTCCGATTCCTGCCGACGCGCCCGTCACAACAGCCACTCGATTCTTCCACTGCTCCATTGTGTGGTCTTCACAACTCAGTTCTTCTCTTTAGAATTTCCCCAATACAACTGATCAGTGCGTCGACTCAACATCGCGTTTTATAGTTTTCTATATTATTTACATTATGTACAATATGCTGGCGAGCTTATGATGAAATTTGGATTTGTATTTTGCTGTGTGAGGAGGTTTTTTAAAACACGGTTAATGTATATACATACATATGTCTAGGAAGAACCACACACTTTTTTTTTAATAAAATCCATATAATTCTGTGGGTGGGTCAACACTATTTATTTCTATTCTGTTCTAACGTAGTAACATCACAATCGCGAGCCGAATGGAATAATGATGAGTTCATGGATTTCAACATGAGGAGGAGTCCCCAAGACATGGAGAACACTTTGCGAAACGTCTTTAGACTCAAGAAAGGGCTCTTCAGCTAGCTGTTCCAGGCTTTCTGGTGAAAAGATCTCCGTTTTCACCAGTCCAGGACTCACTGAAGTAACTTTAATATGATGCTTGCTTCTGATAAATTCCTGACGATGAATCTCAGTGATCGCAGTCACTGCATATTTACTTGGAGGATATATATTGTTCGAAGGATATTCAAGCATACATATAGGCTTTTGTCCGAAAATGCTGTTGATGTGCACAACATGGGAGTTTCTTCCGTGTTTTTCCATAGATTTGAAAGCTTCTCGAGTGCAGAATACAAGGCCCATCACATTAGTGTCAATTATCTCTCGAATCGGGATCGAATTATCAGCATTGATCAGTTCCGTTGATCGAAAAATTCCAGCATTATTAATAAGAACGTCAATTCCCTTGAATTCTCTATCGATCCAATCAAACACTTCAACAATTTCATCTTCCTTGGTGATGTCGCACTTCACAGCGTGAAGATTTCCCTGAAGATGAGCCGGAAGATCCTTCTTTAAAGCCTCGATTTTCTCTAATCTTCTTGCCAGTCCAATCGTTATCATTCCTGTTTTTACCAAATCTTTGGCAATGGCAGCTCCAATTCCTGAGGAAGCGCCCGTCACAACAGCCACTCGATTCTTCCACTGCTCCATTTTCTGTTAAACTCTTAGAATTCCCAAAAGCAACTGACTAGTTCGTCAACTCGATATCACATTTTATAGTTTGCGCTTAGTCACTGGGTGAGATGTGATTAAAATTTAGTGCGTCAAGTTAGTCTTTTACTGCGTAAGAATTGTTTCTTTAGTCGTGTTTATTGTACAAGAAATTACACATTTTTTATAAATTAGATTCACTGAATAAACACTATTAGTTTGTATCTGGTAATGATTTACAAGCATGTTTCAAGAAATCTATTATCATACAATGCAAAAACAAAATACGTTAAAAGAGTTAATACAAATAATCATTTTTCAAAATCGTTCTCCGAAGGGTTTTATGATGAGTTCATGAATCTGGACATGAGGAGGAGTTCCCAGAATATAAAGGACACTCTTAGAAATGTCTTCAGGCTGAAGAAAGGGAATTTCTCCATATCTTTCTCTGTAATCGCCAGGAACAATTTCAGTTTCCACAGCTCCTGGACTTATTGAAGTCACTTTGATGTGGCGTTTGCTCCTGATAAATTCCTGACGATGAATCTCTGTTATTGTAGTCACAGCATGTTTGCTGGCAGGATAAATGTTGTGCGAAGACTGTTGCATATTGAAAGGAATTTGATGTCCTGCAATGCTGTTGATATGAACAACGTGTGAGTTTCTTTCATGCTTCTCCATAGAATTAAAAGCCTCCCGAGTGCAAATAATTAAGCCTATCACATTTGTGTTCATAACTTCTCGGATTGGCCCTGAATTGTCCTTATCAATTAAGGAAGTTTCTCTAAATACTCCTGCACAATTGATCAGGACGTCGATTCCATCGAATTTAGCATCAATCAGATCGAATGTCCAAACAGTGTCTCCTTCATCACAGACATCGCAATACATTCCGTACAAATTCTCTCTTAATTCCTCTGGAAGATCCTTCTTGAGAGCCTCGATTTTATCAACTCTTCTCGCCAATCCAACCACTATCATTCCAGCTTTCACGAGATCCATAGCGATTGCAGCTCCGATCCCTGATAAGCATAATTTATTTTCGAATATGGCTCATTCATTGCACTATCTTACCTGAAGAGGCTCCCGTCACAACAGCAGTTCGATCCTTGTACTGCTCCATTTCTTATCGCCCCTGAACTAACGAAAGCCAAGAATCCAACTGAATCTTATTCTCCCCTGCTCATATTGAGCATTCTGGTGAAATACCATATCTGTTTCATATAATAACTCTTTGAGAGTGTGTCGTGGACTAATCACTGTTATGTAAAAAATATATACAGCCGAAAATAAAAACGAGAGTGTGCGAAAAGAAGTCAACACATTGATTTTGTGAGAATGTTATGTGCTGAAGGTCAAACCTAATGTAATGTTTCTGACCATGACAGAGATAATTTTGACACCTAAAGAAAACTCTTGTAATTTGACTAATAATTAGCTTTTTTTTTATTAAAATTTGTCACAAATCTTTTAAACCATTTCACCAAATGGTTTGATGGTCAATTCGTGTATTTGGACATGAGGAGGAGTTCCCAAAACGTGAAGAACACTCTGCGATACGTCTTCGGGCTCAAGGTAAGACATTTTAGAAATAAATTCCAACTGTTGAGGAAGGAAGATTTCCGTTCGAACGAGTCCAGGACTCACTGAAGTCACTTTGATGTGATGCTTGCTCCTGATGAACTCCTGACGATGAATCTCCGTTATCGCAGTCACTGCATATTTACTTGGAGGATACATATTGTTTGAAGGATGTTCAAGCATGCAAATGGGCATATGTCCGGCAATGCTGTTGATGTGCACAACATGAGAATTTCTTCCGTGCTTTTCCATGGACTTGAAAGCTTCTCGAGTACAAAAAACCAATCCCATCACATTGGTGTCGATTATTTCTCGAATCGGGATGGAATTATCAGCATTGATGAGTTCAGTTTGGCGAATAATCCCAGCATTGTTAATCAGGACATCGATTCCGTCGAATTTTGACGCAATTGAGGCAAACACTTTCACAACTTCATCTTCCTTCGAAACATCACACTTCATAGCGTGGAGATTTCCCTGAAGATGTGCTGGAAGATCCGTCTTTAGAGCCTCTATTCTTTCCACTCTTCTCGCCAATCCAACTGTGATCATTCCAGCCTTGACCAGATCCTTGACGATTGCGGCTCCGATTCCTGCCGACGCGCCCGTCACAACAGCCACTCGATTCTTCCACTGCTCCATTTTTTCAATGAAATTCACGATATTCACAATAACTTCTTGGAGTTTCTTAACCAAGTTCTTAACTCAACTGACCATTGTGATGTTCGGTTGTCGAGTTTTATAGTTTATGTCTTATATACTTAAATAGTGATGATATTTCAGTTTGTCTATATACATGTATTGCTCAGACACTGAAGAGGAAGTGTGTAAATAAGATTATTGTCCGCTTCTAGAATGAGAAGATTTTTTTCTAAACGAAATATTGATATAATTTGAAGCTATCTCGTAATAGTGAATGATTTTTTAAGTGTTTCGCTTTGCATGTCATTCTTGTGGTAAATAAGCATCAATTAAGAGTAATACTTGCGAGTCATGGGAATGATTCAACAAAATATTTACCACTATCTATGTGTTGTATTTCTTTTAATAAGTTTGCAGGTTTATAAAGTGTTAAAACTCTTCTCCGAACGGTTTAATAGTCAACTCATGGATCTGAACGTGGGCAGGAGTTCCCAAGACGTGAAGTACACTCTGTGAAACGTCTTCAGCTTCTAGATAGGGCCATTTCGATAGTTCATAAAATGCTGCAGGAGCTATTTCTGTCCTTACAAGTCCAGGACTCACTGAAGTCACTTTGATATGGCGTTTGCTCCTGATGAACTCCTGTCGATGGATTTCCGTTATCGCAGTCACTGAATATTTTGTTGGACCATAAATGTTCAGTGATGGAAATTCAAGTTTGCAGAAGATCTGATGTCCTGCAATACTGTTGATATGAATAACATGAGAATTTCTTCCATGTTTATCCATTGATTTAAAGGCTTCTCGAGTGCAAAAAACCAGGCCCATCACATTTGTGTCCATGACTTCTCGAATTAGGGATGAATTGTCTTTCTTAATTAAATTTGTCTGTCTAGAAATTCCAGCATTATTGATTAAGACGTCGATTCCATTGAATTCTCTATCGATCCAATCGAACACCTTAATAATTTCATCTTCCTTGGTGATATCGCACTTCACAGCGTGAAGATTTTGTTGCAGATCGGCTGGAAGCTCTTTCTTTAGTGCCTCGACTCTTTCTGATCTTCGTGCCAGTCCAATCGTTATCATTCCTGCTTTTACCAGATCTTTGGTAATCGCGGCTCCAATACCTGAGGTTGATAAGAGTCTTTTAACCTATTGCGAACACTAAATCACTCACTTTCTCACCTGCAGAAGCGCCAGTCACGACAGCCACTCTATTCTTCCACTGCTCCATTCCGTTCCTAAAGACCTGATGCTTTTGTGACACACAAAAAGAAACTGACGCTTTACAATGTCATTCCCAAAGTTTATATGTTCATTTTTTATCAAGAAAAGATATGATAAGCGGTATCAGAACTTATGTAAGCGTTGTCATATCGTGTAGGGTCATATAAATAAAAGAATCAACAGCAAGTCATTCATTTATTGTTGGGAAATCAAAAAGATTCTCCAAATGGTTTGACGATGAGTTCATGAATCTGCACATGAGGAGGAGTTCCCAAGACGTAAAGAACACTTTGTGAAACGTCTTCAGCTTGAAGAAAAGGTATATCCCCGAATCTCTCTTTAAAAAACTCATCGGAAACCATTTCAGTTTTCACAGCTCCTGGACTCACTGAAGACACTTTGATGTGATGCTTGCTTCTGATGAATTCCTGGCGATGGATTTCCGTGATCGCGGTCACAGCGAATTTGCTCGGAGGATATATATTATAAGAAGGAATCTGCAAATTACAGATAACATTGTGTCCTACGACACTATTAATGTGAACGACATGAGAATTCCTTCCATGCTTTTCCATAGATTTATAAGCTTCACGGGTGCAAAAAACCAGACCGAAGACGTTTGTGTCAATAATTTCTCTAAGTGGAGTTGAATTGTCACTTCTGATCAACTCAGTTTCACGAATAACACCAGCATTATTAATGAGTACATCAATTCCATTGTATTCCTTGTCGATCCGATCAAAAACCCTTACAATTTCGTCTTCTTTGGTAATGTCACACTTCACAGCGTGAAGATTTCCCTGAAGATGAGCCGGAAGATCCTTCTTTAAAGCCTCGATTCTTTCCACTCTTCTCGCCAATCCAACTGTGATCATTCCAGCCTTGACCAGATCCTTGACGATTGCGGCCCCGATTCCTGCAGAAGCGCCCGTCACAACAGCCACTCGATTCTTCCACTGCTCCATGTTTTAAGAAAATCACGTTTGATTTCTGCGAGAGACAAATAATGACTGGAGTTCTTCAAATGTAATTCTCAATTTTTATTCTCTTTCTGCGTACATGATAAGGTGTTATCAAGTCTTATGTAAATTTCTCATGAATGTGTGCGCAATTTCTCTATATTCCCTATATTCCGACTATATTCAAATTTTTACATGAATATATTCAGCAGTTAAAATGATTCTCCGAATGGTTTGATAGTCAACTCGTGGATCTGAACGTGAGGAGGAGTCCCCAAGACGTGAAGAACACTTTGTGAAACGTCTTCAGCTTGAAGAAAAGGTATATCCCCGAATTTTTCCTTATAATCGTCAGGTACCATCTCAGTTTTCACAGCTCCTGGACTCACTGAAGTTACTTTGATGTGATGCTTGCTCCTGATGAACTCCTGGCGATGAATCTCCGTTATCGCAGTCACTGCAAACTTACTTGGAGCGTAAATGTTACTTGAAGGCATTTGTAAATTGCGAATAATATTGTGTCCAACGACACTATTAATGTGAACGACATGAGAATTTCTTCCATGCTGTTCCATTGATTTGTAGGCTTCACGAGTGCAGAAAACCAGACCGAAGACATTAGTATCTATAACTTCTCGGATTAGTTCTGAATTATCACTTTTGATCAATTCAGTTTCACGCAAAACTCCAGCATTATTGATTAAGACGTCGATTCCATTGAATTTCTTCACAATCCAATCAAACACTCTTACAATATCATCTTCCTTACTGATGTCGCACTTAACAGCGTGAAGATTTCCCTGAAGATTTGCGGGAAGATCCTTTTTCAAAGCCTGGACTTTCTCTAATCTTCTTGCCAGTCCAATCGTTATCATTCCTGCTTTTACCAGATCCTTGACAATTGCGGCTCCGATTCCTGCAGAAGCGCCCGTCACAACAGCCACTCGATTCTTCCACTGCTCCATTTTCAGACAAGAACTGATCTAATGCTTCAAAGGAATGTGAGATACTGATTCCTATTGTATGCCTGCTTACTTATTATATACTCTCGATGTGGTTGTATGTAATCATAACTTATATCATGACTGTTATTAATCACAACCTTGTTTTAACCATTTTGCGTTTTAGGAGGAAAGATTTTTATAATTATGCTCTCATTAGAGCTCTTTTCAGTGCTTCCTTAATAAATATGTCTCTATTTGTGCCCATATTCAATTTGTATTTTCCATATGCTTTTTTCTCGCTCTCAGAATAATATTTATCTTTACATTATTTCTTAGATTCTTTTCACATCGAAGGGTTAAGTGCTATTTTCACCACGTTTAGCGATCTTTTTGCTTATCATCTTGCAGTGTGGACTGTGGAGGCATTATAATTATCTGAATATGATAAGAAGGGCTGACGTGATGTTAGAAATTTAGATACTATATCCTGTGAGATTCCAACTTGATCATGTTCGTTGGCGCGAATCTTGTTGGATAACTTCAAATTGCTTATCCGAGCGTGATGCGGCGAATTCGCCTTGTTCGCCGTACTTCCGTTTTCAATTGTCACGGGCTGTCACAGTCACAGGAGAAGAGCACGCATTGGTTGGCTGCGATTTTTCCCGTCTGTTTTCCCATGGAAATTCAGTAGCTGCTGCTCGAACAATGTGTCAGATTAGCCAGAGCAATTGTTTCTAGCCGCTGTGCGAGAAAAGCAGGTGAAAATGGCCGAAGTCGTGCAGCGTCCGCAGAGATTCTACTGTCATGTGTGCAGCATCGAGATCGAGAACATCTCGACGGTGAGTTGTGAAAATGACAGCGAACGCCCATCCCTTGACCCCGTGCGTGTCTTGCAGGACTTCACGTGCCCACTGTGCTCGGGCGGGTTCATCGAGGAGCTGCCGTCCGCCGCCGCGGAGCCCTCGAGTGCCGACGATGTTGAGATGTCAGAGTCTTCGGACGCTGTTTTCCCGGAGATCAATCATCGCTTCAACGATGAACTCCTGTCCACGCTCTTCATGTCAATGACCGGCGCCCGGCCGCTGCCGCCGGATGGTGGTCCGGGCGAGGGTCAGAGCACCGCCGGGCGCTCCCGGAACCGCTCCAATCGCAATCCGCAGCGCATTGGCGTGCACAGCGTGAATCTGGACAACTTTCTCCATGATTTTGTGATATCGGTGATGGGCGCCGGCCCGGGAACGCCCATGTTCTTCATGGGCAATCCCGGCGACTATGCGTGGGGACACGAGGGCATCGACACGATAGTGACGCAGTTGCTGAACCAAATGGAGGGCACGGGGCCGCCGCCGCTGGCGCGTGACAAGATCGCCGAGATCCCGAAGGGCGAGATCTGTCAGGAGCAGGTGGACACCAAGCTGCAGTGCTCCGTGTGCCTGGAGGACTTCCAGCTGACCGAAGCTGTCAGACAATTGCCATGCTCGGTAAGCGCTGCTTTTCATTCGATTGCCACGTTCTAATGTCTTGTCTCCGCACAGCATCTCTATCACGAGAACTGCATTGTCCCATGGCTGGAGCTGCACGGTACCTGCCCAATCTGCCGGAAAGCCCTGTCGCCGGAGGCTGAGGAATTCACCCGGAGTAGTAGTTTAAATGCCGCTGCGACTTTGGCAGTGAATTCGCTAAGTGAGTAATCACGTCATTCCCGAGCACAGCATTTCTTTATTGATCTTATCAGCTGCAAATGCCTTCGCAATAGAGTTGTGCGCCGTCATCATAAAAACACAACTTTTACCGATAATTGCAAGTCAAAGAAAACAGAATGAAATCACGAGCGAAGGCAACGCTAGAATCATTCAAAATGCAGTTGATCTCTGTGGTTTTATGTAAACATATGACTAAAATTGCGCGAACACGATCTGTTTTCAGGAAATACACTCTACAGAACTGATAACGAAGGCCCAGGATCGTCGACTAGTCAACAGAGCCAGCCGCAGACGTCCACAAATCCGTCGGAAAGCCGCCAGGCGGATCATCAGGCGCGCAGCCAGCGGCGGTACGATGACGATGATGGTCCGCCACAGTTTGATTTTGACTAGAGTGAGGGACAGAGGAAATTTTGGTGAAAAGACGCCCCAAATCCCGTTTTGTGTTGTGAGGATAGAAAGATAGCAAAAAAACAATCTGTTTGCGGTTTCACTGAACAGAGAGAGAGAAAGAGAGAGAGAGGGTAAGAGAGAGAGACAAAGATAAAGAGAGAAAAGTCACACACTAATTTTCCAAGTACGTAAAATCGTTTATCAAGAAATTTTTTGTAAGAATAATCTCCATAATTCTCACACATTTCCACGAATTTGATGATTAATTGAAATTCCATTTGTGGGCTATTGAATGTGCACGGTTGTGTTTTGGTTTTCTGTGGAGAGGCTTTGTTTTTCCATTTCGCGCCACTGTGCAGAAAATGTGCCGGAATTCGCGATGCTCAAATTCAAAATTGTTAATTATTATAGTCCTCTTGAACCTACAATATTGCAGCCAATGTGTCAGTCAGTATTCCTTCCTGTAACCGACTATGAAGTAATATAGAGAGAAGAGGAAGCATAACAATGGTGTTGACACTGAGTTTGATTGTAATGTTGATATTGTGCGGCCCTCGAAATTTCACAACTTTTCCTTTCTTCGTGTGTGAGAGATGATAAATAAACTGAGAAAAAATACATAGAGAAAAAGAAGAGGAAATTCATAACTATAACTATATAGCTTCAAACAAATGACATAGGTAGGTACTAAAAGATTCGCTTAATTTATCCACAGTGAAAACACGATGAATGATACAGATTACGTGGAAAATATAACAAAAAAAATACCAAGTGTGAAATCTCTATTAAACAGAGAGTGAATAAAATATTTCTCACAAAATCGTGGTTTTCTTCAGAGAGACGCCCAGTGAAAAATGCTGAATTTGCATTGTTTTGTCATATTTATTTCGTGTCTTGATCCACATTTTAAGTACATTTTTCTCCATCATCTCCTAAATACAATGAAAATCTACTTTTGGGACGGAACGCTTCTGACAGCATTTTCTCGAACCAATTCAACAATCTGCAGAAATTATGATACTATGAAAATACCATTCTTCATACTTTATTGTCATGAAGATATGTCGTCTCGGAAACTAGATTTAACTCTTCCCCAAAATCACACCTCAAATTACATGTCTATACTAAAATCAATCACTTACAATAAGGGAAACATAGGGAGTGATTAATAATGCATCAAAAGAGAACTTATGTCAATATTTTATGGCAAGAATAAATTATATATTACTTGAAAAAACAGTCTTAATCATTAGTAAAACAAATTGTTCAGACATTAAGAGAGAAGAATAAACAAACAACGCATAGTAAAGGTAATAATATTTGGTGTAAAAACGTCTTCTTGATCATGGAATGTTGTTAATGCTTGATCTGTCGCTGGAAATTCACGCTCTTCACGTGTGCTTTTCATAGTATAATTGTAGAAATTGTAAGAAGGCCTGAAACTTTGATCCCAATTTTCCTCTACAATTATTGTGCAATCGTCTCTGCCTTCGGGCAGAGAAAGAGAACAATTCGCGTGATTAGATATGTTGGGACAATCGCCTCTCAGGCTCTCTATAAGTTGGAGTCTCCCTCGTCCAGGGACTTGTTCAGGTCCGCCACCAAGTTGGTCATCACGTCGCTGTACGGCGAGTTGGGGCGGAAGGCGGTCTCGAGGAGTTTGTCGTCGCGGAAAAACTTGAAGATCTCATCCACCCTGCCCAGGCTCTTCTCCGTCAAGTGCCTCTTGATCACGGACTTCAGCAGGAATTGGCACTCCGCGAGTGCCTTCTGCAGGTAGTTAATATCGAAGCTAAAATCCACTTCATGGAAGGAAATTATAGCCATTTGAGTGACCTGCAATGCAAAGACAACCACTCATTATTATTATGCCTCGCAGTGACGCCAGTTCACTGTTTATGTTGCCTCTTCGTGGAATATTGAAACAGAGCACAGAGTTGCAGAAACAATTTCCGCACTTGTTCTTTGGCGAAAAGTGATGTAAGTACTTCTGAAGGCTATTAGAATACAATTGTCAAAAGTTATGACAACAGAACTCTTATTTAACGCATCCTTTCAGTCAGCTAAAACATTTTAACATACTTCCTGATTATTTGTTTTTTTTTATTTGAGGATGATTTCTTTTTGAGTTCGAAACCTTTTCACACAAAAATTTATATCCAATTCAAAACAAGAATTGATAGATATCACAAGAAACTCGAATAAGAAGAGGAAAGTAAAGTTTAGGCCATAAATAAACCATGTGAATTTGCGAAAGACCATGAATTTTCACATTTCTTTACGATATCCTACAAGAACTGAAAACCAAAGTGATTCAGAAGTTCCACGGCGTTTAAGATTCTGAGTAATGCATGTTAAATTGTTAGCAAATATTAAACTCACCTGAAATTTTTTGCGAAACTTTTCCGCTGTTTGCAATTCCACATCATTGAACTCATCATTGCGAATGAGAACGCCGATTTTTATTACAATCTTTATGATGTTCTTCACAAGTTTCTCAGCTTGCTTCTTATCGGTCTGCAAGAAATTGGAAAAAGGCAGCAATAAAATCTCCTATCTTATCTGCAAAGTGTCAACACTCATCAAAAGTGTGTGTTTTTGCTTAATGAAAAAGCTTAGCGACGCAAAATCAATTAATTTCCCAGAGAAAATGCAACAGAAGAGGATTGTTCTGTTCAAGACTCACATGAATCTTTGCCAGACGATAGATGTTATCGAGCAGCGAGGCTGTTGTGTCATCAATGAAGGATTTCGCCACACTCTTCGTTGCCATTCGCGAAAGAATCTTCTTCTGTGCGCGAAGACCAATGTCTCGGGCACGAAATGCCGACGCTGAATCACTCATGACTGCAAGCGAAACATGATTCAATTAGTCGCGCTGTGACGAGGAAAAGCCAATTGATAAGGCGAGACGCATTGCCTCGCATTTCTTTTTAATTACATAAATATTTCATAAGTTTCCGAATTTTCGCCGGAAAGTAGAAAGTTTATTTCCAGGTGATAAAACTTTTGTGGGCTGTTAAACTTGAGAAATCGTAATGCATTTTGGCGCGCTTTAATTACTCAAAGTAAACAACAATTTTCCGAGACATGATCGTGACTTTGTGCAAAAATTGGAACATAAATTGCAAACTCATCCAAAAAATATCAATATAAAAATCATGCAATACAAAAGACAGCGTGAATCATGTTTTCCTGATGTGTGAATAGATTTTGTGATTCAGACAACTATAAATTATATTTTACACGTGGGAAAGATGAAAATAAAGACAGGTGGAAAATTTTCCGATATAAATCAATGTAATCTAAAAATACAAGAAAATCAATGGTTGTTCGAGGAGTGTGAATAATTCAATGGATTTCATTGTGCTGAAGGAAATCACACATTTCTCAACCCTTTGCGTCGTGAGAATGTAGGACAAATATGCTTTCTGCTTAGATTTAGACCTCTTCCTATAACTTTAGATGGAATATCTTAGAAGCCAATTGCAAGACTCCAAAGTTAATAACAAAATATGACGAGATTTGTGTTGAATTTGAAGAAATAATGCTTATTAACTTTTCTTCGCACTCCAAACAATTTTGAGTCTTCTAAATGGAATTGTAAGCATCATTTTTCTAATCACATTAACATAATTAATCATTTTCTATGCGTCATTGCTGAATTTTGCCGAATTCACTGTTCCAATCGATCACACAAAGAGCCATGATGTGAAATCCTCGCGTCTATAGAACCGCTGGACTGACTTTGTCCCTGAAGAGAGCGTCTTTATCGCCAATCCACCCGCTTTTGCGAGCGAGGGTTGATGGCATGTGCGTGCAAATGAGCCGCGGTCAAGTTTAATGAAAGCCACATCAACCTCGAAACTTTAGCGCTTTGTGTTCTGGCGTCCCTTCGGCCTGCGACAAGGTTACCGGCGGATCGATAGCCTCTTCCGCTTCTCTTCAATTATAGAGCAGAGAGTGCTATCACCCACCCAGCGCTTCACCTTCTGCTCGCCTCCTTGAGGACTCGAGGAGGAGCGACGACACTCCCACTCGGCGGAGAGCCTTTTGAGGGCAGCGCAGAGGCGATTCGGGGGGACAAAGAGTGGCCAAAACGCAAAGGAAGCGCGAAATGAGTGGGAGTGGTGGTTTTACCTGTGATCATCACACTTTGGGGAGGTGACAGAAAAAGGCCAACTCAAAATCCACACAGAATGCAAATTAACAGATAAACGTGCCACAACTCAGACCATCAATAATAGCTACAAGGCGAGGCCAAATTGGCGATGGTGTATTTCTGCAAATAAAATATTAATTGATAAATTAAGGCGACAATTGAACTGGAGAAGACTGAATGAATGAATATGAGCAAAAATGAAAGTTATCACGCAGGAAATTGCATTCATGAATGCAGATTATGTTTTGCACTTGAGGAGTCGCACTTACAGAGGCAATTTGCGCACTCAACTGAGACTTTTTGGTACATTAGCCAAGCCTGAAGTTCCACCAAGTTCGTGGTCGCCATCCTTTTTCTCACAGTGTAAATCCACGGGAATTTCCTGAAATTCAAGTTTACACCAATATCAAAATCCAGTGCATGTTGCGTGGCATCGGAAATCATCTCGCAATCGCGGATCAAAGGTGAGAAATTGTGAATTCACACACGCACTTCCATGACGCGTCCGAGGTTCATTGATCCACTTTGCGAGACAATTCCTCTCCACGAGCGCTGATAAACTACCTGCGTGTAATTCTATTAACTTAATTCCTCGCTGATAGTCGCGATAACGGGATAACTGATTGATTTCCACGGACAGAAGCGCAGAACAAGAGTGGTTCTGCAGCGCCTCCGGAAGTGAAACTTTCCCAATCACACTCTTTCCATCGCGCTTTCTTTGGGGTTTGAGACACTATTGCGACTATAGTGGGGCTCACGAGCACCGTCTCGGGGAGCAGGAGCGCGGATGGGAGCGACTTTGGGGGTGTTGCAAAGGAGAGCCCACAAAGAGGAGAGAGAGCGAAAACTGCCACACCGCCCAAAATCCGTACGCGAACTGAATGTTGTGTAGAAAAACGGCAGCGCAACACATCTTCGAAGTTCGAAACCCTGCCGAAGATGCTCGAACGCTATTCGCGGATGTATAACAGTTTGTGGCGCACAATTCAAATCAATCCGTTGATATGAATGAATAATTGAAGGGGTTATTAAGTAAAGAATTAGAATACATTTCAGATTAGAATTGTCAGGATGAGTAAAACTAATTATTTATACAATTACATGCATTAAAAACTTTTTGCCGTCAGATTAATCATTCAATATGTGTACTTGATACAGTTTTACAACAGATTTGTGCAGAAAATGTGAAATCAATTAAGAAATCATCCCGGAGGTCCTTTTTGACGATTTCAAAGCAATGTTCACTGAACACCATTCGAAAAGTAAAGCAAATACAACTAAATGGTGTGAGAGAGACGTTTTGTAAACATAACATGCGCAATATATGTTCTCACTGAAATAAATACAATAACGTGTTGGTTCATTCACAACAGTTGTGTTCAGATATTCCACAAAGAAGCATTCTGTCCGCGGCGATTTCAGCGACGCAATAGAATGTTGTTCTTATATTTAATTTTTACGGCCTTGGCCGCTCTGATTTACTACATTTATCAGTTCGGTACGAAGAATGAGAATATCTTTGTGGAAAAAGGACTCGCATTTCGCAAGCCAACATTCATCTTTGGCAACAGCATCAAGTTGTGGATGAGGCAAATCAGTGCGTTTGATTTCGTAAAGGACATCTCGAAGGGATATCAAAATGAAAAGTAAGCTTTTAATGCAAATATTTTTTAAGTAAATATGATTATGAAATAATGAATTTTGCAGATTAATGGGATATTTCGATTTTCGTGATCCTGTCGTCTTGATATTTGACCCAGACATCCTGAAGCGTCTTGCTGTGAAGGAGTTTGAGAGTTTCCCTGACCACAGAGTATTCTTTTCCGAAGATTTTGATCCTCTTTTCGGGAATTCCATCTTTTCTCTCACGGGTCAAAAGTGGAAGGACATGCGAGCTACATTAAGTCCTGCCTTCACAGGAAGCAAAATGCGTTTGATGTGCGATTTGATAGTGGAAATCTGTGAGCAAATGGTGGACTTCTTGAAGACGGAAGTTGACGAAAAAGGACTACAAATCTATGAGACGAAGGAATTATTTTCAAGATTAGCTACAGACATAATCGGAACGTGTGCTTTTGGCATCAAAGTGGATTCTCTAAAGGACAAGGACAATAACTTTTATGTGACAGCAAAAAGGATTTTTACTTTTACTAATATCAGAGTTATAATCACGTTTATGTTGTACAGAATATGTCCTTGGCTGATGGAGTTACTCAATATTCCACTATTTCACGCAGAGAGCAGGAATTTCATGAAGAATTTGGTTGTAAACACAATGAAGACAAGAGAGGAACAGAACATCGTTCGTCCTGACATGATTCATCTTCTAATGGAAGCTAGGAAAGGCAATTTAACTCACACCGTAACTGAAAAGGACTCTGCGGGATTTGCCACCGTTGAAGAGTCTGAAATAGGATTGAAAGCTTCCAGAAGAACATGGACAGAAGATGAGATCGTTGCTCAGTGCTTTGGCTTCTTCCTGGCAGGATTCGACACTGTTTCCACTGTCACGGGCTTCATTATTTACGAAATCATGGTCAACCAGGATGTTCAGGACAAACTGTTCGAGGAAATTTCAGAGATGCACTCAAAAATCGGCGGAGAGTCTATCAAATATGAATCTCTGCAGCACTTGAAGTATCTGGACATGGTGATATCAGAGACTCTGAGGAAATGGCCTGCAGCTCCTGTTGTCGACAGGATCTGCACTCGCGACTTCACACTGAAATACGACAATGACAAGGAGTTCACATTCCACAAAGGTGATGTTTTCTGGGTTCTGATTGCTCACTTCCATCGAAGCGCTAAATATTTCCCAAATCCTGATAAATTCGACCCTGAGAGATTCAGCGACGAGAACAAGGCTTCAATTAATCCTGCTGCTTACTTGCCTTTCGGCGTTGGTCCTCGGAATTGCATAGGTAAAGATTATCATTTTTCCATATCTTTTCTCCTCTAATTGCTCGTGTATTTCAGGCTCCAGATTTGCCTTGATGGAACTAAAGTCGATCATTTACTATTTAATCCTGAATTTTCACATCGAGACCACGGAAAAGACTCAAATTCCTGTCAAATTGGCGAATCAATTCTTCGGTGTGCAAACTGAGAAGGGAATTCACGTACAGTTTCGCCCAAGAAACTAAAGTCAAGTCAACGTGTGATAAAAATAATGTGTGTAATCTTATCAGTACATAAGTGAAAGTTTAGAATTGCGTTTATACAAGCTTTGCTGACTTTATTAATAAAAACATGATACAATATGCGTTCAGTCGGTTATTCTTTCGCTCATTCATTTGGCCACGACCGTGTGAAGGTCACATCGGTGCTTTTGTGGGAGTCGAGATGTTTTGGTGTTGTATAAAACGCGATTGTATGAGCTGTGGCTGAATATGTATAAACTCTCCAGGGCCATCAGACAGTGAGTTCAAGTTGATATTTCAGACTCGGAGTCATCAGTGTATTTCGGGCAGTAGTGAAAGCTTGTTATTCGCCGGCCGGAAAAGTATCATATCAGTGCTGATAATGCTGTTCATTTTTCTCCTTGTCACGGCTTTGGCCGCTTTGATACTGTACATCTACCGATTCGGGACGAGGAACGAGAACTTCTTCCTCGAGAGAGGACTGAAGTTCCACAAACCGACTTTTCTTTTTGGGAATTGCTACAAGATGGTGAGAAAGCAAGATTGCTTGTACGACTACATAAAGAACCTCTCGAAAGACTTCCCGAACGAAAAGTAAGGCAAATTTGCATACAACATTTTTGGCTTATATTAAAATGATTTTACCTTTGCTCATAGGATGATTGGACACTTCGAATTTCGTGATCCCATTGTGATAATCCTTGATCCTGAATTGGTGAAGAAACTGGCTGTGAAGGAGTTCGAAAGCTTCACGGATCACAGGAATGTGTTTTCTGAGGAACTGGATCCTCTCTTTGGCAATTCAATGTTCTCCATGAAAGGACAGAAGTGGAAGGACATGCGATCCACTCTGAGTCCAGCTTTCACGGGCAGCAAAATGCGACTCATGTGTGATCTCATCGTGGAGATATGCGAACAAATGGTGGATTATTTGAAGAAAGAGGTGACAGAAAAGGGGCCGCAAACGCATGAAATGAAGGAGTTTTTCTGCAAAACAGGCACAGATATTATTGGCACGTGTGCTTTTGGCATCAAAGTAGATTCATGGAAGGCGAAGGATAACGATTTCTACGTGTCAGCTTCGAAGCTCTTCAGTTTCTCTGGATTTATTGTCCAAATGAAGCTCTTATTCTACAGAATGTGTCCGTCAGTAATGGAATATCTCAAAATTCCACTCTTTGATCAGGTGCACAGAAGCTTCATGAAGAATCTCGTTGTGGACACAATGAAATTGAGGGAGGAGAAGAACATTGTTCGTCATGACATGATTCATCTCTTGATGGAGGCACAGAAAGGCAATCTAAAGCACACTTCTTCGTCTGAGAAGGATTCCGCAGGATTCGCAACGGTTGAGGAGTCTGACGTTGGACGAGCTGTGACGAAGAGAGTGTGGACAGAGGATGAGATTGTGGCTCAATGCTTCCTCTTCTTCTTGGCTGGTTTCGACACATCATCGACTCTATTGAGCTTTCTCGCGTATGAAATAACCGCCAATCCTGATGTGCAGGAAAAACTCTACCAAGAAATATTGAAAGTGCATGAAAAGCTCGATGGAAAGCCAATAAAGTATGACAATCTACACGAACTGAAGTATCTGGACATGGTGATATCGGAGAGCCTGAGAAAGTGGGCAGTGCCTTTTGTTGATCGCGTCTGCACTCGAGATATCACAATCAAATATGATGGCGATAAGGAATATACATTCCGCAAGGGAGAAGCCTTTTGGATTCCCATCGTAACTTACCATTACAATCCTGAGTTCTTCCCTCATCCGGAAAAATTTCTACCGGAGAGATTCAGTGATGAAAGCGATCGTTTGATTGATCCTGCTACTTATCTTCCTTTCGGCATTGGACCGCGCAATTGCATTGGTTTGTTCAATCAATTGTTTATGCTTTGCAACACAATTAATCTTGAATTTCTTACAGGCTCACGCTTGGGCTTGATGAAGATAAAGTCCTTGTTCTACTACTTGATCTTGAATTTCCATCTGGAGGCAAATGAGAAGACTCAAATTCCCATTCAACTGGAAAAGAACTTCCTTGGATTGGTGCCTGAGAAGGGAATTCACGTGCAATTGCGCTCCAGACATTAATCTTCACGGCATTCAGTCTCAAGTTGATACTTAAGGAAATATAAATTTCCCATAATTGTGAAATTATATGTCGCTAAGCTAACACTGCAAACATGTTGTGACATTCAAACCAATATACTTAACATGTTAATATTTTTATGCAAGATTATGATTATTACTGACACATTTTAATCAACAATAAAAGTTTAACGAAAAGAATTTTCTTCTATCGCTAGACGAAGACATCAATTTACATAAATTCCCTTACAAATTCATGCCATATGTAGAAGATTTAGCATAAAGTGAAGTGTCAAACACTTAAGACATTGTTGAGGCTTATCAATGTTGTACTCGAAATTAATTACTATATAAATTCCTAGCAATTCACGGTCAATTTCACAGTTGCGTTAGACAATTTATCAAGTTTGGACATTAATATTTGCAAGGTGATTCCGAATAAGAGTGAATGAAAGTAATTTGCTTGATTTAAGAAAGTGAGATGAGCATCTTTTGGTTGTTGGTTCTTGTAATAGTCATACTTTTTTGTGTCTATAAGTATGGCATGCGGAAGGAGCATTTTTTCCGAGATCGTGGTGTTAAATATCACAAAACATTGCCTTTCGTCGGAAATTCACTGGGAACTTTTCTTCGCAAAGACAACATCATCAGTCACGTCCTGAAACTGTGCAAGACGTATAGGAATGAAAAGTAAATTGTTATCATATTCCTTTTTCTGGTAATAACTATATTATTATCTATAAATTTGTTATAGAGTCTTTGGTGCTTTCGATTCAATGACGCCAACTTTGGTTATTCAAGATCCGGATTTAGCCAAATATCTGGCCATCAAGGAATTCGATCACTTCATGGATCACGAGCAAATATCCTCAGCAGACATTGATCCTCTATTTTCGCAATCCCTGTTTTTACTTCAGGGCCACAAATGGCGCGAAATGAGGGCCACCTTAAGTCCTGCCTTCACAGGAAGCAAAATGCGTTTCATGAGTGAATTTATCGTGGAAATCTGCGCGCAAATGGTGGATTATTTGAAGACGGAGGCTAAAGAAAAGGGACCTCAAGCTCGAAATGTTACTGATCTTTTCTCAAGACTTGCTACTGACATAATTGGAACGTGTGCTTTTGGCATCAAAGTGGATTCCTTGAAGGAGAAGAACAATAAGTTCTTCACAAGTGCTAAGGAAATGTTTGATTCCTCATCAATTTTTATCTTGATTAAACTAATAGCATCCAGCGTGTGTCCTTGGCTGATGAAATTATTTGGAATTACTATCTTCGGTGAACACAACAGGAGTTTTCTTAAGGATCTCGTTTTAAATAGTATGAAAATTCGCCAAGAGAAGAACATAATTCGTCCTGATATGATTCATCTTCTGATTGAGGCACAGACAGGCTCTTTAGATCAGACATCAACCGATAAGGATTCTGCAGGATTCGCGACTGTTGAGGAATCGCAAATGAAATCTGTTGCTAAGAAAACTTCCTGGACAGATGATGAACTTGTCGCGCAGTGCTTTATTTTCTTCCTAGCAGGATTTGACACCGTGTCAACTGTTCTCACGTTCCTAACTTATGAAATTGCCAAAGACGATCAAATACAAAAGAAACTGTATCAAGAAGCCACAACTGTTCGTGATGGACTAAAAGGAAAGCTTTTGACTTATGAGAGCCTACGAAATTTAAAATATCTAGACATGGTAGTTTCCGAAGCATTAAGAATTTGGCCTCCAGTCCCTTCTTTTGATCGCATTTGCACTAAAGATTTAACGATAGAGTACAATAAAGGCAAAATGTACACCTTCCACGAAGGAGAAATGATGTGGATTCCAGTTGCTGACTATCACTTCAACCCAAAATACTTTTCCGACCCGAAAAAATTCGACCCTGAGCGATTCAGCGATAAGAACAAACATTTGATAAATCCAAATACTTATCTTCCTTTCGGTATCGGACCTAGAAATTGCATAGGTAAATTAAGTACATAATGAAGTTTTATAACAACACTCTAATTCTTGTCTACCTTTTAGGGTCCCGTTTTGCATTGATGGAGATAAAGTCTCTTATCTACTATCTCATCCTAAATTTCCACTTCGACATGTCGGACAAAACGGAAGTTCCAGTGGTTCTCGTGAGTTCTTTTGTTGGATTGAAAGCCAGATCAGGAGTTTGGATAAAGTTTCGTCCCAGGGAATAATTGATAAAATACACTGTAAGCTCATCGTTGTTTTGTAACAGGCGCCCACCTAATAATTACACAATAAATATTGCAATCGGTTGTGAAATAATATTGACGTACAAAAGTCTGTATATGTCTGTATATCAAAGCAAAAAATGGAAGGAAATTTTGTTATCACACAACGTTTAAAAATAAGGAATTTTCTGCCACACAAACTCACAAGATAACTCCATATCAAATTGCCAACTCATGATTAATATTCAAGAATCGCTGATATAAATGCCAGCAGTATGATTTTGGGGGCAGTCGCTTTCTAGCAGACCTCGTGTTCAGTGAGAAAGATAATTAAAGTGAGTTTCGCCATGGCCTTCGTCTTGTTACTTCTTTCCGCGGTGATTTTGTGGTTTTGCTACAAGTACGCGTACGCAAATGAGAATTTCTTCAAGGGACGTGGAGTTAAATTCATCAAACCTCTACCTTTCTTCGGGAGCTCCTTTGGATTTATCACCAACAAGGAGAACCTCATCAGTTTTGTTAACAAAATTTGCAAGAATTTTCGAAATGAAAAGTAATGTTTTGTGTGATTTACTTTTCAGACCCACAATAACGTTTTCAATATTTCAGGGTCTTCGGTGTGTTCGATTTCAGAACTCCAATTTTAGTTATTCGTGATCCAGAAATGTGTAAAAATTTGGCAATCAAAGAATTCGATCACTTCACTGATCATCTGAACATTATCCCGGATGATTTTGAGCCAATGTTTAGTTCGTCTCTATTCCTGCTCGGCGGGCATAAATGGCGCGAAATGAGAACAACCTTAAGTCCTGCTTTTACAGGCAGCAAAATGCGTCTCATGTGTGACTTTGTTGTTGAAATCTGCGAGCAAACGGTGGCATACGTAAAGAAGGAAGCACAGGAAGCTCCAAAACCCAATGAAGTGAGGGAACTTTTCACCAGAGTTGCCGCTGACATGATCGGAACGTGTGCTTTTGGCATCAAAGTTGATTCTTTGAACGACAAGAAAAATATGTTCTTCGAAAGCGCCAATGCTATGTTCGATCCAGCATCATTCAGCCTAACTCTTAAAGTTATTGCCGCAAGAACAGTTCCATGGTTACTGAAGTTGCTGAGAATTAACTTATTCGACGAAAAATATCGAGGCTTTCTTAAAAATCTTGTTCTGGAAAATATGAAGACTCGTCAGGAGAAGAATATCGTTCGTCCGGATATGATCAATCTCCTGATTGAGGCGCAAAAAGGCACTCTTGAAAATGCATCATCAGAATATGATTCTGCTGGATTTGCGACAGTCGAAGAGGCACAAATGAAACCGGTTGCTAAGAAAACTTCCTGGACAGAAGATGAGATTGTTGCGCAATGTTTTATCTTCTTTCTGGCTGGTTTTGATACATCTTCAACGATTTTATCTTTTGCGGCGTATGAAATCGCTAGATATCCTCAAGTGCAAGAGAAGTTATACCAAGAAGCCAAGATGATCCGTGACGAATTAAAAGGAAAACCCATCAAATATGAAACTCTGCAGAAGATGAAGTATTTGGACATGGTCGTTTCTGAAACGCTTCGTATGTGGCCTGTGGCACCATTCGTTGATCGCATGTGCACTAAAGAATTCACGATGGAATACGATAAGGGCAAGAAATACACTTTCCACAAAGGAGAAACTTTATGGATTCCAATTGGTGACTTTCACTTCAACCCAGAATACTTTCCCGACCCGAACAAATTCGACCCTGAGCGTTTCAGCGATGAGAACAAATATTTGATCAATCCAAATACTTATCTTCCCTTCGGCATTGGACCCAGGAATTGTATCGGTAAGATTAAGAGTAAACTTAAGATTTATGTGTTTTTTTTTATAATATTACCAATTTATTAGGGTCTCGTTTTGCCTTAATGCAAATAAAATCCCTGCTCTACTCCCTCATCGTGAATTTCCATTTCGATTTATCGGACAAAACCGAGGTCCCTCTGGTTTTGGCCGGTTCAGCTGTCGGACTTAAGGCTCGATCTGGCGTCTGGATTAAATTCCGTCTCAGGGAGTAGATTATTGAGGAAAAATATGGCACAATCCCGAGAAAAATCGTCTCCAATGTTTCACTGTAAAAATGTTTCGTGAATTTTGGATAATACAATTGCAATGGTAAGTTAATTGTAAATTGCCTTTGGTTAAAATTAATTCATTTCATTTTTTGCAGCTTCACTGGTCGGTTGAAGAATTTGCAGAAATTTCTTTACTAATAATTTCTGAACTTGTTTTTGGAAATTATTATAAAGAAGATCCATGCGAGACTGCATGGAATGCACGAAGGAGAAAAACAACGAGTTTTATCAAGATGTTCATATCTTAGTCTTATCTTTGAATACATTGCTTAATTGTAAAAATGTCATCTAAAAATATTTGTGGTATAATAAAGGCAAAAATCTTCAACATGCTGTAGTAGAAATTTTCCATCTGTTTGGAGACCTTGACAATCATTCAATCCTAAACATTGAAATATCTCATTGAAGATTTACGCTTCGTCATGTTTTATTTTCGACACTCCAGATTTTCGCAGACAGTCGCCTAAGAAATGTTCAGTTGCTTCTTCACAGCGATCGCGATCAGTCGCTTAAAAGCTGTCGAGAGAACGCGTGCCAAGTGTGCGAAAGATAAGTGCTTATCAACTAATGGCTCTGTGGTTGTTGCCTGTGTTTGTGCTCTTCTTGTGGGTTCTCTACAAGTATGGATTCCAGAATGAATTCTTCTTCCGCGATCGCGGGGTTAAATTCATCAAACCTCTGCCCTTCTTCGGCAGCTCCTTGCCCTTCTTCACCAATAAAGAAAACCTTATTGACTTTGCTCTGAAGCTTTCCAAGAAATACCGCAATGAGAAGTACATTTATTGAAGCTTTAAGTTACATTAAAGATGTTTCCTAATTTGACTGAATTTCTCACAGGGTCTTTGGAGTTTTCGACTTAAGGACACCAATTTTAGTTATTCAAGATCCAGAACTCGTTAAATATCTCAGCATAAAAGAATTCGATCACTTTACTGACCATCAAATTCTAGCGTCCAAAGACGTTGAACCTCTCTTCTCGCAGTCCTTATTCTCCCTTGAAGGTCAGAAATGGCGCGAAATGCGAGCGACCTTAAGCCCTGCCTTCACAGGAAGCAAAATGCGACTAATGTGTGACTTTATGGTGGAAATCTGCGAGCAAATGGTGGACTATTTGAAGACAGAGGCTAAAGAAAAAGGCCCTCAAACACATGAAGTGAAGGAATTCTTCTCACGTATCGCCACTGATATAATTGGAACGTGTGCTTTTGGCATCAAGGTGGATTCCTTGAAGGAGAAGGACAATAAGTTCTTCACAAGTGCTAAGGAAATGTTCAATACAACATCCATAACACTTGTCTTTAAATTGGTTGCCGCTAGAGTGTGTCCTTTGGTGATGAAACTGTTCGGAATCAGTATTTTTGATGAAAAATATCGTGGATTTCTCAAAGATTTGGTTCTAAATAATATGAAGACTCGCCAAGAGAAGAATATCATTCGCCCTGATATGATTCATCTTCTGATTGAGGCTCAAAAAGGAACTCTTGAAAACACAACAAGTGAAAAAGATTCCGCTGGATTCGCGACAGCTGAGGAATCGCAAACAAAATCTGTTGCTAAGAAAACTTCCTGGACAGACGATGAAATTGTGTCTCAATGCTTTATCTTCTTCTTGGCGGGATTCGACACGATATCTACAGTTCTCACTTTCGCAGCATACGAAATTGCTAAAAATACAGAAGTTCAGGAAAAATTATATCAAGAAGCAAAAACTTTCCGAGATGAACTAAAAGGAAGACCATTAAAGTATGAAACTGTGCAGAAGATGAAGTATTTGGATATGATTATCTCCGAAACCCTTCGTGTTTGGCCTGCAGTTTCGCTTATTGATCGAATGTGTACCAAAGACTTTACAATGGAATATGAACCAGGGAAGAAATACACATTTCGGAAGGGCGAACTTTACTGGATCCCAATTGGTGACTTTCACTTCAATCCAGAATACTTTCCCGATCCGAACAAATTCGACCCTGAGCGTTTCAGCGATGAGAACAAACATTTGATCAATCCAAATACTTATCTTCCCTTCGGCATTGGGCCCAGAAATTGTATCGGTAAGATTAAAATGGTTGAGATTTACCCCTTAAGCATATTTCATAATGCTTTTATCTTATCAGGATCTCGATTTGCCTTGATGGAAGTGAAATCTTTAATTTTCTACCTCATCATAAATTTCCATTTCGATTTATCGGACAAAACCGAGGATCCTCTAATTTTGGCCGGATCAGCTGTTGGACTTAAAGCTCGAAACGGCGTTTGGATCAAATTCCGCCCCAGAGAGTAAATCTGCAAAAAATGTATTGTCATCATGAAATAAAGTAATCTAATCAGCGACTTTTCATGTCGGCTTTTGGAGAAACCAAAACACAGCGTTATCTATGTATTCCGCGTTGGTGTCGCATCACGTCAATTGGCTTAATTAAGAATTTTATTCACATCCACGATAATAGTCTCAGTTCGTGTGCCACTCAACACTACACAGATGTGAGTTCGGTTTATTCTAATGCGTTTTTCCCACTTTTTCCATCGAAATATTTTTAGCTTCGGCCAATGTGAATTAATTTTGTAGAAACGACGTGGGATTCAGTCTCGCGTTGCGCTCGAAGTCGGAAAGACGTACTTTTTTGGTCTATAGAAAATCGATAAAAGTCCCCAGAATGCTGGTGTATATTCTCCTCGGCCTTGTGGCATATTTTGTGTACAGATGGCTTACGGACAATCAGAACTACTTCAAGGCTCGAAACATCCCAGAAGGAGAGAGGAATTATGGCTTTGGAACTTTCTTCAAGATTTTCCTGAAGCAAGCTTCAACGCAGGAGCTTATTATGGAGTACTACAATCGATTTAAGAATAATCAGTGAGTTTACCATAATTTAAATTCTATAAGGATGCGATTGAAGAATTTTTCTTGTAGAATTGCTGGTCTTTGGGAGATGAATCGGCCATTTTACTTCATTCGCGATCCCAAGATTGTGAAGAAGATCACAGTGAAATCTTTTGACCACTTTCACGACAAGGTCAACATTATCGACGAGCATATGGATCCTTTCCTGGGGAATTCTCTAGTCATGCTCTCAGGGCAAAAGTGGAGAGACATGCGAGCGACTTTGAGTCCGGCTTTTACCGGCAGCAAAATGCGTCTCATGTGTGAATTGATAGTGGAAATTGGCGAGCAAATGGTTGAGTATTTGCGAAAGGAGGCCAAGGAGAAAGGACCTCAAACCTACGATATGAAGGCATTCTTTTCCCGTGTCGCTACAGATTTAATTGCAACATGCGCATTTGGCGTGAAGGTTGATTCTCTTCATGACAATCAGAATTCTTTCTATGTGCGCGCAACAAAGCTTGTGGATTTCACAGCGCCAATAAAGCTCCTGAAGTTTATATCCTTCAGATCAATTCCAAGAGTGATGAAAGCCTTGGGAATTACACTCAACACGCGAGATGATATGGAATTCCTGCGGAATTTGGTGATAGACGCAATGAAAGCGCGAGAGAAGAACAACATTTTCCGTCCTGATATGATTCACTTGTTGATGGAGGCACAAAAGGGGAAGCTAACACATACTAAAACCGACAAGGATTCCGCAGGATTCGCCACAGTTGAGGAAGCCAGTGTGGGTTGGAAGAAATCAACGGAAAAGTGGTCAGAAATTGAAATTGTCGCACAATGTTTCCTCTTTATGATGGCAGGATATGAAACCATTTCAACTGTGGTGTCCTTTGCCGTCTATGAATTGGCAATTAATCCTGATATCCAGAAGAAACTACACGCAGAAATTCTCCAGGTTCACAGGGAATTGAATGGGAAGCGCCACAACTACGACACTTTGCAGAGGATGAAGTATCTGGATATGGTAGTGTCGGAAGCCCTGAGAAAGTGGCCTCCGGCTCCTTTCACCGACAGAACGTGCACCGAAGAGTTCTCAATAAACCTCAATGATGGACAGAAGTTTACATTCGAGAAGGGAAATATAATGTGGCTCCCAATTCATGCCTTTCATCGTGATCCCAACTTCTATCCCGATCCTGAGAAGTTCGACCCTGAGCGATTCAGTGATGAAAATAAGGACTCAATCGACCCAGATACTTTCATACCATTTGGAATCGGTCCAAGGAATTGTATAGGTAATTCAGGAAATGCTTACTTAACTCAGAATTCAGGTTAATTGAGTGTCTATTGCAGGATCTCGATTTGCCTTGATGGAAACGAAGTCTGTATTGTTTCATCTGCTGCTTAACTTCTCCATTGAAGTCACTTCAGAGACACAAATTCCTCTTGTATTGGCCAAAAGACTCGCTGGATTGCAAGGAGAGAAGGGAATTCGCCTTCAGTTCAGACCAAGAGATTTGTAATATGCATTTCTTCTTGTGCAATAAATGTGTTTCATGACTTGTGATTTTGCGAGCCACATGTTCTCATACCTTGATAAGGACAGACTAAAGACCAAAAGCGATAACTTCCAATATCTATAGATAAAACATCCACAGTTTTGGAACTTAAGCTTCGGGAAACACATAAATTGTGTGTGTGTGGTAATACGTAACTATAAATACATTCCGTGGGTTCTTAATTGAAGAGTGTGTTTAGATCAGACACACAACTATTATTCCGCAGTACAGTGAGAACCATCGGAGACTTCGGACGTGTTTAGCAAGGTTATCTCGCGAGTGTATTTCTACATAATGATTTGGTGGTTAGTGTTGATTGTTAGTATTGTGGCTTTTATAGCCCATAAGTTGTTAAAGAAGGAGGAGAGGAAGAGGAAGTTCTTCGAAGAAAGAGGCATCAAACTTAATAAATCGATGCCCTTCCTTGTTACGATGTACAAACTCCTAACAAAGCAGATGGGCGTCGTGGATATGATTCAAAGCCTCTATAATGAGTTCTCTGATGATGAGAAGTAAGTGAGAAGCATTGCGCAATTTCGCAGGCACTTTAGCATATCCATAATAATTATTTCGCAGAGTTGTTGCTTTCTATGATGGAGACACTCCGACACTTATACTGAGAGATCCTGAAGTTCTCAAGCGTTTCACCGTGAAGGAATTCGAACATTTTCAAGACCGCAAAGATTTTATCAATGAAGAAATGGATCCTCTTTTTGGCAATTCTCTCTTCGTCCTGAAGGAGCAGAAATGGAGAGACATGCGAGCGACTTTAAGTCCCGCTTTCACTGGCAGCAAAATGCGCTTGATGTGCGATTTTATTGTGGAAATTGGAGAGCAAATGGCAGAATATCTTCACAAGGAAGCAAAAGAAAAAGGTCCTCAAGTTTACGAGATGAAAGAGCTTTTATCCAGAGTTGCTCACGATGTGATTGCAACTTGTGCTTTTGGCATAAAAGTTGACTCTTTAACCAATAAAACCAATGAGGTTTATCTGGCTGGAAAAGCTCTCTCAGACTTTAGTGGAATCGGAACTATGCTGAAGTTCACGCTCTATAGAATTTCGCCTCATCTGATGAAAGTCTTCAACATTAGTGTGTCGCCTTATAAAGAGTCAAAGTTCTTCCGTAGCCTCGTCACAGATTCAATGAAAGTTCGTGAGCAACAGCATATTGTGCGTCCTGATATGATTCATCTCCTGATGGAAGCCAACAAAGGAAAGCTAAATCATCAACAAAATGAAGGAGATTCCGCGGGATTTGCCACTGTTGATGAATCAAGTGTTGCTTGGAAGAAATCAAGCAGGGTTTGGTCAGAAACCGAGATTGTGGCACAATGCTTCCTATTTCTTCTCGCAGGATTCGAATCAATATCTTCTACATTGAGCTTTGCCACCTACGAAATCTGTGCCAATCCTGATGTACAGCAGAAATTGTACGAGGAAATTAAGTCAGTCAATGACGAACTGAGAGGAAAACGGATTACCTACGATATTCTCCAGAAAATGAAGTACTTAGACATGGTTGTGTCAGAGACTCTCAGGAAATATCCACCCAGTATCGTTATCGATAGAGAGTGCAATAAGGACATTACTCTGGAATTGTATGACAACTTCACCTTTGACTTCAAGAAGAAGCACGCTGTCTGGGTTCCGATTTACGCTTTTCATTGGGACCCGAAATACTTCCCTAATCCTGCCAAATTTGACCCTGAGAGATTTAGCGACGAGAACAAGTCATCGATTAATTCCAGTGTTTATATTCCTTTCGGTATCGGACCCAGGAATTGCGTGGGTAAGTTAAGCGATAATGTGAAGTGTTGCATCAGATACAGTAATCTGATTTCGTATCTTATCTTTAACAGGTTCGAGATTCGCTCTAATGGAACTCAAGTCCATTATCTACTATCTAGTTCTGAACTTTTCGCTGGAGGTCACGGAGAAGACCCAGATTCCTCTGAAATTGGAAAAGTCCTTTGGAGTTCTCGCTGCTGAAGGTGGAGTTCATGCTAAACTACGTCCACGAAAATGATTTCATGAAGATTTGATAAATAAATTAGCATTTATTATATTCCAAAATAATTGATTTGTCGTTTCTAAGAGTTTCTCTTATTACCGGTCATTTTGAATGACGCGCAGCGCCTCTGGTGACTGATCACGTGAATCACCATCAAATGTCAAAATAGCCGCAAGAGTTTGTGTGTTTGTGTTTTCCCACAGAATTCCCGACAAATCCTCCTTTTCTGCAGCATTTCATTAGATTCAGTGAAAATGTCCCGCGGAGATAACTTCCCGATGCTGAAGAAAGCTCGGGCGAATTCAAATTCCACAATAACAAGTCTTCTGACATCGCAAAACACCACGCAACAAGTGACTGGGCACCACTTTGCATCTGGATCGGATTCTGGGGAGTACCTGCCGATCTTCACCCCAGAAATCAGCAGTATTATGCGGGGCTTCGGCGACTGTGAGCACCCACTCAGGGAGTCTGTGGTGCTCGTGGAGAAAATAGTGTATCAGCAGATGCGAGGAATTCTGCAGGAAGCGATTGACTGCGCCGTGGCCAGAAAGGGTATTGCGTGTCCCAGTCAGAAGGACTTTGAATTCCTGATGCGCCGGCAACCCGTGAAAATCTTCAGGCTGCAGAAGCACTTGAGGTACATGAAGCAGTATCAGCGGTATCAGGACATCAAGGAGGGGCGCGTGAGTGCTCTGCAGAAGGAAGTGGAGGCGAGTCCCGGATCAAATTCCGAAGATGACAGCGATCGGGATGTTCCTGAGAGATTTGACGAGGAGAAGACGCGTCGGATATTCCGTGCAGACCGCATTTCGCAGATGCTGAACGGAGATCAGTATGAGTACTTCCACGCAGCCCGCCGAACGTCGTTCTATGGCAACAATTCCGTCACAATGATGACCAAGTTTCGCTCGTGGCTCAACATTCCAGCAGAGGTGCAAATCACCGCGGAAGTTTTGAAGATTCTGGCGTATTTGGTGCACGAGACAATTGCCGTCCTCGTGGACTACTGCATCCTGACGCGCTTGAATTCCAGCAACAGAATAACTGAGCCCTACAGTCGAGTGACGTCCGGATCCACTTATGGGATGATCCACCTTTGTCCGGACATCACTCAAGGCAGGGGCGCCGACGGAGTGAAGCCCATCACTGTGCAGGAGATCAACGAGGCGATGCGACGCCACAATCTCATGTCCTCGAAGCCAATGGGACTGTTCAGGAATGTGAGAACAGGAACAAACTATTTAGCTATTTAGTGAGCAAGAATTTTAAGATAAGTTAACTGGAATATCACTCTAAATATTGCTTGTTTGTTTGTTTTTTTTTAGATAAGAGTCTCTGATTTTCGGTCATCGGAATGGAACAGTATAGAAAGTGTTTATTTGGCAAAAAGACATCACAATTGGCTCTACAAATACGATTCTTCTACAACATCCTTTATCGTCTCCTCTTCATTTGTTGGCTTCGGCGTGCAGCCGTAGTACTTTCGAATGATGGGTGATATTAGCGAGGCGTCAATGAGGTGAGGATCATTACCTCCCAGCACCAAATTGACCAGAAAAGCCACAATAATTGTGGATATCGCGCCCAAGGCTGTGTACCACATGTAAGAGATCCTGTAGAGCGGCATAACACTGGGAAAATGAGAGAAGATTTAGTGATTAGGGACACGAATTGCTTCTTAATGAGTACCTCGATTCTACATCAATTGGAGTTTGTGTGGTGTAGATTGTTGAGGTGTAGTTGAATAAGTAGTTGCATCCGTCGACTGACATGGGTTTCGTGTCGAATTTCAGAGATCCCGAAGCAATTGCCCATTGCGCATTGAGGCTGATCCAGCTCATGAGAAGCACGCCAAAGATTCCGCCAGTCAGAGCGCCCTGAAGTCGCACAGTGAGTTAAATTTTCTTGTCACACTGTAGAGAGATTTCCTCACCGTTCCGTTGATGGAGGGCAGTAGAATGCCGATGGTGAAGATGCCCAAGAGGGGCCCATTCGTGATGGCCTCCAGGCTCATTGTGAGCTGCAGCACAGTTCCCAGCTTCTCGACAACGAACACCAGACAGACGCAAAGCGCCCCCACGCCAACCACCACCGAGCGCATGATCCAGATGGTGGCCGTGGTGGAGAGCGGCGTTCGTGTGAAGGGCTTGCAGAAGTCCTCCAGCACGACCGCGGACATGGAATTGAGGCAGGTGGAGAGGGAACTGAGCGCAGCACTGAACACTCCGGCGATGAACATGCCGGACAGTCCAGGCAATTCACCCAGAGTGTCCATCACGAACAGCGGCAGGAGCTGATCCCTGGCCTTGGCGAGCTTCGTGGTCAGCGGATCGCAATCGCGATATGTGGCGAAGATTAGGAGGCCGTTGTAGGCGCACAGAAGCATGAGAAGGATCACGCCAGTGACGAATATCCACACTGCCTTGCGGCTCTCGCGCAGCGACGGAAGCGCCAGATAACGCTGAATCATGTTCTGGCTGTTGGCGTTGGTCTGCACCCAGTAGAACAGCCCTCCGACGGAGAGACACCAGAAGGAGTGCCGAATCGTGGGATCAATATCGAATCTGGTGGCGAGAAAGAAGAGCATTCAAGGAAACGATAAATGGATTCCAGGGATTGTCTTACATCGGGGGCTCGATACGATTAGTCTCGAGAGCGCTCTTTAGCACAATTTCCGGCCCATTTACGTGGAATGTCCCCTTAACGGCGACCAGAATCAAGGCGGTGAACATGAGTGAACATTGGACTACATCCGTCCAGACAACGGCCTTCAAACCACCCTGCGTTTAGTGGGAAAATCAAAAGACATTAATTGAGTAATTAGTTAATCATGGCGAAAATGTGGATGGCAAAAGCATAGTTTAAGTGATTCTTGTGTTACTCAACAACAAGAGGTTTAAGTTAATTTTATAGGGCTTTAATGCAAAGTGACTGCGTAAAATGACGCAACAGAAGATCAGACTGTAAATTTAGCGAGAAATGATTAATATAAACTGATTGAGTATGTAAAAATATTTTGGCTACAAACCACGCAAGTGTAGAACACACAGACGACAACAAGCATTATTGAGCAGATGTGAATATTGACGCCAGTTACTAAACCACATTGAAGAGATTTAATTGAATATCCTTGTCAATTAGCCACAAGACGGAGGCTTCGCGCGTGATTTACCTTGATTGAACGCTATGCTAGGCACATAGATCACAATTGGCAAGTAAGACACATTCATGATGGTGAACATTATGGATCCGTAGAGTCGCAGGCGTCTGTCGAAGCGCTTCTCCAAGTACTGCCGAGAGTTAATGGGTTAGCAAAGGCGGAGGATCACTTGTGATTGACTTGCCTGATACATGGATGTGATGTGGAGTCCCTGGAAGACGGGCAGATACACGACGGTGAAGGTGATTCCCATCAAGAGCACCCCCGAAATCACATACAAATACTGTATTCCGTAGGAATAGACTTCCGTTGGGAGGCCCAAAAGCGTGATTCCACTGATAAAACTTGCAATGAGACTTAATGCAATTGGAAACACTTGCATTTGTCGACCTACACGAGAAATCACACACATTTACATCTCTGCATAGAAGATTCGTCGCTTTATTAGACGTGATAAAAGTGATAAAGTGAGGAGAAAAAAAATCATGCAATTGTCGAGTTAATTGAAAGTCTTCGTCACATTATGAGGAATTAAGTAGTTTAAGATATTTCGTCACTTGAAACACCCGAAATAGCACTTAAAAGAGCATTTTCGATTGCTCCTCACCACCAACGAGATATTCGGATTCCGTGTCGACATTCTTGATGAAGCCAAAGTAGATGCCAATGAGGATGCAGAAGAAGAGCATCGTGACGAAGACAAGGTAGTCCGGAAGGGAGAACTTCTGCGAGCGCAGAATCAAGTCCTCGAGACTCTGCATTTTGTGGCCAGGGAGAGTGTGCGGGTCTTGAAGTCGGGTCCACTGCACGGGAAACAATCAACGACTGGCGCGCGCGATCTCACGCCAAACTCTGGCTGGGTGGCGAATAAACCCATCACATCACTCTTCCACATGTACCAAATTACATTCGTGTATTAACTTGTCGCATGTAAATTGGCGATCTTGCATAGCGACACTAATAAATCCACCGCCGAGGCTGACGGTGTGATGTGCACATCATGTGTTGGTCCGGTCCTAACTGTATCATCGTTCTTGCCATGTGGTGGTTCGCACAACTCACAGATTCCCTACGAATCTACATCATATCCCTCGCTCTTGATTGAATCATTTCGCGGTCAATTGGTGCAGAAGCGCGTGTGAGCTTTTTGGGATTACCAAACTCTGAGTGTGTCGCCAAATTGTGTCGTCACTGATTCAACTGTGTGACATCAAGATGATCTTGACGCGAATTCCCTTAAAATAAGAGTGTTAAATCAGATGCGAAGTGAACAAAAAGCGTCTCTCGCGAAAGGATTTACTCTAATCTAAATGACTTTATTGCATTTATCTCAAGTGATGATCTAGATTGAATTACTCTCTAACAGTCCGGTTGTGAAGTAATTAATTAAATGTTCACTCTCATCAAGTGAGTAATATTTATGACGCTGACAGAGGGATCAAATATGAACAGAATTAGCTTGATTTTCTGACATTCTGAAATTGAAAGATATTATAGGACTTGAATATTGCAAACATCGATTTTATCACATTTCTTTAGAGCATAATTCCTTAACTCCATACAAATAAAGGCACTGGAAACTGGAATAAACGGAATAAACAGATATTGAAGTGTTCGAACAAAAAGTCTCGTGAGTTATGGAAGATTTCCAAGAAGATTTCTTTAACTGCTTAATAACGAAAAAATTGTCCCTAAACTCTATTATGATGACCAATTAGGGGAATTTTTTTAAAGTGTGTACTTTTTATAGTAATGTTTTCACGTGAAATTTACAACTTCTCAAATTTTCATTAGCATTCAGATGTCGAAGTGTTTTCAGTGTAAATTTCAGGCAAATTCAGAGAAGAAAAGAGAATAATTTTCACCAGTAATGAATTTATGGATCTCAAGAGTTGCGATACAATTCACTTTAGTCCGAAACCACGTCTATTTCATCATCTTCAGCGCCCACGAATGCTTCGTCTTTATCAAATGTGCTCCTTTTGCTGGGGCAATTCTTCTCCTCGCCGGTGTGTCTCCACTTCATTCTTCTATTTTGGAACCACACTTTTACCTTGATCGCCAGAGAATGTAAACAAAGATGGGCGAATTAGTTTTGCGAACAGCGATTTGGCGCGCGTATCTTCACTCACTTGTGCATCCGTGAGTCCCAGTCGCGCCGCCAATTTCCGTCGGTCGGGCTTCGTGATGTACTTCTGGCCGCCGAACGCGATCTCCAGGCCTTTTCGCTGAAGATTGCTGAAGACAGCCCTCGACCAGGAGCGCTTCCGCTTCGTGGAGGACGAGGCGGCGGGACTGGCGGACGTCGAGGCGTCGGGAGTGTCCATGGCGGTGACTGTGGACCTCAGCGGCGGATTCTGAGGAGGTGGAAGGCCGTAGAAGGATCTGTGGTGATTGTAGGTTGGCGTGAAGAGATGTGTGAAGCGCATTATCGACGGGATGACGGGACTAGAGTCTCCGCAAGGCATTCCTGAGTGGCGCAAAGCAGTCTTACTCAATTTCACAGATCAATGAGAGAGTGTGTTAATATGAAAAGTGATTTTTTTTGGCTTATTGATCGCCTTTGTGGCTGTCCGAAGACCTCTTTTCTCCATCAACATTGTGCCAATATGAGTGGAGAGAATCCCGACAATTTACACTCCAATATTGTGAATATTTTATTATATATTTGATCGTTTTAGTTTGTTTATAAGAAAACCTTATTAAAACCAACGTATGGTTTTCGTTAATCAACAGAAAAATGTGTTCATTGGGACAATATTATAAACAATACTCGAGCACTTCAATAAACAAACTGCAATGACTCCTTTTTCCATACCCAAAAGCCCAGTGTGTTGTATGTGTACATCTTGGTGAGATTTTACTCGTTTACAATTATTAGTATATACACAGATTTGGCATTTTTGGGGGGTTTTTGGTGTGATAGAGAACATTTAACTGAAATGAAGGAGAAAATCTGTGTTTTCAGCTGAGATTTTCTCAAAAAAATCTCACAGATATTGTATGTGAAGAGGAAGTTGAGACGCTAGAAGATCTCTAAAAGGCTTGAAAATGTGTATTTCGTCAATGATTCAGTATCAATGATTGTATGTATAGGTAATTCACATGGAATTATCACTCTGTTTTCTGATATCGTTTCGCAAATAATTAACATTCACATCCATTCGAGCGACATTTGATCCACAATCCTCTCAATCTCGTCTGCATACTCTTCAACTGTGTATCTTTCTCAAATTGTTTCATTGAGAAGTCGGTTCCGAATGTTGCCAGTAATTTTCTGTATCTCATTTCGAGCGAGAGAAAGAGAGAGAGAGAGGCAGAGGGCAGTAAAAAAGGGTCTTTAGTATTTCATAAACAAATGACAAGTGCCTCGACATAAATACAATGTTGTGTGTTCCTCAAATCTCTGCCTGAATCCTGCACACGACCGAGGGAATGCGATCTTGTGCGTGCGCGGAGTTGGAAAGGAAATCGATGTGTACACTCAATATAAATGAGTTAGGATTGTGTTTGGAGGAGAGATGTTTGGTAAACTTGTGATAATTAACATATGGAGTTAAATGCTATTCAACACGGAGTGCAATCATCTCTTATTTTATTTCAACATGATCAAAAGGATGCCTATTCTTGTCGGTGCGCTGTTTATTTGGGCTATTCAATCACACAGATTATCTGTACCTCGATGATCGCGTCCCGCGCCCGTGATTCTAATTGGCATGGGTCGGATGACTCTGTTCCCGGCGTCGTCCAGGCTGGACACGTCGTCAGGATGGCACTTGGAATTGTCACTGAAGTCGCGGTCACACGACAGCAGGCGGTCGACACTGAAATTGAGGGCATTCTTGGCCGGATTGGCGGATTCACTTGTCACGATCATACTGTCACTGTTGCAAGATGTCCTTGCGACTGAATAGTCCATAGCTTTCGATCACCAATCACTGAGAGATCCTCACTGTCGATCGCGCGAAGAGTTGACAATGGGAAGAGAGCACGGGTGATCGAGATCAAGTTAATTTGGTTACTGAAGCCTCTCGACGCTTCGCTGAGCAGCGATCGAGCATGGACCACACAGCATCGCCAATCGGGCGGAGTCAGATCTCAGCGGCAGTCGTGGGATTGGTAACATCTCACTGCGAGAGTGGTGGAGAGCATGGAAAAGGAGCAACATTCTCGCTGATGGCCTGAGTTTTATTGCCTTCTGCCTCACTCTTTCGCGTTGTTTTGGCTCCGCGAGAGACTCAATCGCAAATCAATCAGACGTGATTTGAGGTTGTGCCACAACTGATCGTATGACTAATTGTATATTCATAGAGCAATTTCCTCCACATTGAGAGTGATTTATCTTCCGATGTATATTAAATCAATATTATAAATGCTTAAGCACTAATTGATCCAATAATAAATATTGGTATTCATTTTTCACCAGAGAAGTTATGCTGAAGAATTGATAGAGAGTCGAGAGAAGGCGACTCGAGGCACGCAGAGGTGTATATAAATTTCACACGATCGCATGATCAAGCGAGAGAAGTTCTTATATTTCCCTTCCTTCATCATTCACACACAAGAATGGGATAAATTTGTATTCATTGATATCAAATGAAATCCCCTTGATCATTAATTAGCTGTGCTGCTCAACATGCAGCAAACAAGAGCATGTCTATGATCATCTCACAATGCGCGACAGCGTTTTGTCGCACGCGTCTTCTCTTCCTTGGCATGTTGAGGGAGGAGAGACAGCGTATTAAGCTCAAATCCATAGGTGGTGAGCCAACAGGTTCAGAAAAATGTTCTACAATAAATCAAGCGCTAAACGATCTTGAGGATCGCACTAATAGATGATAAATGAGCTCTTGGCATAGAAGGGAGCACACTTCTGAATATTAATTTTCAGTCCTGGTGTCTCACTCATCATTCCAATGCCGATTTTATCCCACGGATTGTTCACGAAACCTCAGTGAATCTCCCAAATTGGTTGTCGTGCAGAAAATTTTAAATGATTACATGTGACAAAATATATTTAGCGATCGATTAAATATTAAATTACAGTAGGTGTTTATGGTGGATTCCTCCTGCGAGATTTTCGATGCAAAACGAGAGAACAGAATGGTCATAATATTGAGCAAAAAAGATGGTTTTTAGTTACATTTGCCGATGTAGAGGTAATATAAAGAATTTTGAATCTTTTTATTGAAATCCCAATACTTTAACGTGTTAAATTGACTCAAGTGTTAGCAGAAATTAAGAATTTTTTTTCCAGTTTATCGCACTATCGCGTGAAATATTTATCTAAGTTCATTTAATGTGCCCCAATTTCACACATTATATGTTCTGTTACTCCCCAAAAATTCTGCAATTCTATTGTTCGCTGTATTTATTTCCAAACTTCTGTTACACATATTCTCTCTCTCCCAAATGTGTCTTCTTCACACGTGACAAATATCTTGACAATCTGCCAGCAGCACGAGTGTAAATAATGTATTTTCACATGTAATTTAACATGAGTGTCTCCAAGAGTGAGTTATGCTGCTGAGTGTATTCCATGTAAATTTAAATTCAAGTAGAAAGTAGATTGAAATCTTGTGAGGAATTATTACAATTGTTGTTAACAAGATTCTTAGCAAGTGGGAAATTGTTCATATCGAATTATCGATCAATGCGCATGCAGCGAGATCAGCATCAGAAGTAATCTCACTCCGGGCGCGCATTCCGCATAATATGTTCTATGCGCGAATGTGTCGTTTTTCTCTGTACGAACATGAAACTCATTGTGACGCGGGATATTTTGTGAGAAGAGCCCAAGTATTGTGATTTATGTTCCAGAATCTCTTCTTGACCTGTTGTCCGTTTTTTTCACGTGTGTGCGGAGAGAAACGTATTATTCGATATTATATATTGAATTTGGTGAGAAGGAGGAGAGAAAACTCAAACATATTTTACCACCCGCCGCGCTTCAGGACATGTTTATTGACTATTTCACGCTATTTGACACAATTACGGACCTCAAGCCTTGTTATATTAACGAGTCTTGGGCGCGCAATAATTAATTTCAATAAAACACATTACTCATATATTAAACATTTTGCCACGGCGCGAGAGAAGACAATTTGAGAATTTGTTCAACGACATCTCGTGCGCTAAGTGCGATGATGAAGTGCAGAATAATAGATGGTCACGCGGCGGTGGGCCCACTTTTTTTTGTTGTGGTCTACAACGCAAGATTGTCTTCGCGGAGCATGTTGCAATGTGAGCAATTTTGTACCTCTTAACTGATTACACTGACAAGTTACAATGCATCCTGGAGAGGAGAAGAATACATAATGGTTTTCGGGGTGAAAGAAAAGTCAGTGCAATCATTTCCACACGCCTCTGACTTTTGGCGGCACAAATTGTCTCTTAAGACGCACTGCAGAGAGACATTGCGATCTTCTGCTGCTCATTGTTGCACTGTCTTCCGTCGGAGGAGGTCCGAAACTCTCACTTCCTCGTCATCCAGTCAAGATGATGGTGCACAGAGTGATTGGTGAAGTGATCTTTGTGATACTCCTGCTCCAGGCGATAGTCAGTGGCTCGTCAGACAGCTGGACTGGGAGGAATTCCCCTTTTGGCGATCTTCCTGCTGACGCGGCGGAGAATTTTGCCAAGAATCTTTATCCGGAGCGCCTGGTACAGGATCCGATGGAGGAGAGGCTGCAGAGTCGCGCCGAAGGAGGGCAGAATCTCATCTCGAGCAATCTTCTGGGCGGCATCATGCGCATGATGGGCCTGGACAGTGGAAAGCTGGGCGCTCTCGTGATCAACGGACTGATTTTCATTGCCCAAATGGTAAAGAATGGCACAAAGTACTTAACGACAGTGGCAAAGGATTGGAAGGTGACTTATGAGAAGGGCGACAAGCAGAAGGAGGACAAATTGACCACCACCGGATTCACTGGAGTCTCGGTGTATATAAAGTCACAGAGTAGGAAAAAGTAGAGACAGACTAGTCTTTTAAGTCTTTGGCAATGTGCAAGCAATTAGCTCAACTGTAATTCTCTAATCTTCTAGTCCTTTTCCTGTTAATGCGTGTTACCTGAACTTTTGGAGTTAATAAATTGTGTTGAGGGGAATTAATGTGTCTTTTCTGTCTTCCACCGAAAGATTGGCAAGAGTTTGGCCGCGCGGATGTTCCCAGCAGCTTCACCTCTGACCGATCCGCCCACTCAGCCGCCCATGGGCAATTACCATCCCGCCGAGGACTCGCAAGCGTCAGAGTCGATCAGACAGCACGAGTTTCGATCGACAGACGAGCCGAAGGTTAGCGTCACGGAAGAGAGTACGCGATCAGGTTCACCACTGGATTGGATCTTAACTAATTCCTCACCACACTTGAACAGACTCATGATGGATGCGCGCCACAGCAACCTGCCGCAGCGCCTGGTGGAGCTTGTGGCCGCTGGTCAGAGCGGCTGGACTGAGGGCGAGTGCATCTTGCGGCTGCTGTGCAAGACCTCGCCCTTCGTGTGGGCGATGCAGCGCGCGATCGGGGACAGAATCGACGGTCCGGCGGAGGACAATCAGACGGAGAATGAGGGCATCTTGGACACCATCATGAAGCACCTGCCGGATGGCAAGGAAGTGGATCTGCACGGGGATGCGTGCGAAGAGAGATATCCCAACTGCAGAGTTTACACCTGAGCATCTTTCCGCTACTCTTCAGCACTCCATTATACTGTTTGTTTGCACAGTCTATTGCTCGAAGTGTTATTCTGTGAGTGTGTTTCTTCCATTATGAACAAAATACAATATTTCTCCCATTATCTGGAGTTTTTCTTCAATTGTGACTTGAATTGAGCAAGAATCACAGCTATAGTAAGAACGCCGGGTTTGTGATGTTTCTTTAGTGTAAATAATGGCAATTTTTCTCGTATTCTGGGCATTTCTCGGCTCTCTTAAGTTACAGAACCTGTTAATTGAGCTGTGTACACCAAGAAATCCATGTGAAATGATTAAAAAATACATCAAAATATTAGAATTAATGTAGTTCGGCTTTTAGTGCGATAAAGTTCAAATTTCTTTTAAAAATTTCACTGTGTTTTGTTTTTGTTTTCACTACTTTCCCCGAGAATTCGCCAATTTCATAGCAATTTAAAATTATTTTAAGTAAAAAACATGTAAAAAAATTCACAGTATCACCTAATCTTTCCTCATTTGTCCATTTTTTATTCCATAAATATCTTTCTTCCTTGGGTTAACTGACAATCTCTTCGCTTACAAGCAATTCTACGTTGAGCAATTGATTCCTTCGTTCACATCGCAGACTAACTACCGCATTTTCTATTGTCTGCGGATCTGAGTCTGCCCAGAGGCGTGTTTTGGTATCAATGAGCATTTCTCCTGCTGAATGAAAAAAAGAAGATTGCACAGAAGTCATTGACGAGGCACAATGTTACGTAAAAATTGCGGTACTGCGCGAGAGATGATGAGGGAATCTGAGCTTCCTGAGATAACTTTACTGGATCGTGATGACGATGAGATTTCTTGGCGGATCTTGGCGCGCCAGAAAGATCACAATTTTCTCTAATTAATTTACTGCGCACAGCAAAGTTCCATCGTTCTGGAAATCCCCTTTCACTGAAAGTATTTGCATAGCGCTGTGACTTGACTCTCTCTTCTCTCTTGCAGAGCGTCTCCTAAGAACGTCGGAGGCCTATTTAGTGGTGGAATCTCGCTGATAGCTGATATGGCGGGGCAAAAAATCGCGGACTTGCAGAATTGAGTGGTTATGAAAAATCGGTAACGGAATATTCCTGTTCATCTTCACGGGGGCATCAAGAGGCGCGTGTGTGTGCGTTGAGCAGGTAGAACTCTTCCAATTTGTGCCTTCAGCTCTGAAAGCACTCCGTGTGGAATGTTCTCTTCGGCCAGCGCATCGGAGAGAGAGAGCCTCGCTCGCTCTCTCGCCAATGAAGAGCGTGCAGATGATGAGATCGAGCCGCGATGGAGTAGGAAAGAAGTGGGTCACCGTATATAAAGACAAGTTCAAGGCAACTTCAGTTCCAGAAGTGAAGATAGACTTGCAGTGAAACGGTGAATATTTTCCACAGTGATCTTTTTCCTCCTCACAATCTCATTTCTTTTCCTTCTTGCATTCTGAGTCATTTCCCTGCTCTTTATCTGTGACACACGGTGTATTTCTTCGGTTGTGCGATAGGAATTCTAAGTGGAAAACGTCTTTCTCGATTTTATCTTTCAGATAAGAGAGTGAAGAAAAAGAGCGAAATTGCAGAGGAGAAATTTGTTCAGTTGGAAGAACTATTTTCTCACTCACGCCCACACAAAATCCACCTTGATCTTCCTCACCGATTTTCGCAACGACAACGAGACATACATTTGATTTCACCTCGAAGGGCACGCGAAGAGTGATCAGGTATGTTGGCTTTTGTACTGTAGTGAAATCTATCCTCAAAACAAGCATTGCTTTTGAGGTTTCGACTGCCATTTTTTCGTGTGTTGGATTGGAAATACGTTGTTTTTTCTCTTCCATCGGCGAAGAAAATCACTCTCTTGCAATCTGTGCGCAAATTGATCGTCTTCGCATTGTGTGCACTTGTGTATTTGACTCTCCATCAACATCTTGCGGGGCAATTTAAATACAAATCCATAAGCATAGAATTCAAAATATGCGACCTCAATTGCCAAAGTGTCGAAAAGTAGGTAAGAGAGCGCTCAATATGTGAAGAGAGAGACACAGAAATTGGGTGGACACCTCAATAAACTCCCAAATGGGCGAAGCACAGAGATGGACAGGAAATACCTCTGGTGCAGTGGAAATTACTCACACGGCGGCGGAGACTTTCGAAGCGAAAAAATGTATCGGAAGATTTGTGGCAATGGGTGTTCATTGAGACGACGAACCTGTTTCTTTTCTCAATCTCTCGAGCGAAGATATGTTGAGGGAAATGAACAAGAATCTTGAGCAGGATCAGTTCTCTTGCAGAGCCGCACTCAAATCGCTGAATCGCGGATGCACTATAAATGCATGAAGGGCAGAAGATTGGCGAGATCATTGTACTTTTTTCACATCATCTTCCATTTATTTTTTTCTTGTCTGTAACTGTGCATTTAATGCCCACTCTAATTAAATACAGCCAATGTTCTCATCGCCAAATCACACGCTATTGCTCTGGGTGAGAAATTGTACGATATTGTTCTCGCGGTTAGGAATCAAGCACTTCCTGAGTGCCAAATTATCGTGGTCATTAGTGAAAAATATTTCCAAGGAAAGACACAACATTGGCGTAACTGTTGCACATGTGAGTAACAGGAATTCTTCGGCACTAATGTAAAATTAAATACCATCTATTAACGGTGCATCAAAGTTTGTTTGTCCATCTGTGTTCTGCCGTGTGTTGAAATGTTTATTCAGCAGCGAGCCGAAAGGTGCTAAGAATTGTACCGTCTGACGATACACTTTTGCTGTAATTCGAAAATTAGGGTAATTCTGCTGAGAGTTTCACCGCAGACAGTCGCATTCTTGCGGAGGAAATAAAACTGGGTGATAAATTGTAAATAGAGCGCAATGATATTCGCTCAAAAATTTAATTTACAGCCACAAAATATTGAGAACGTGAAAGAATTGTAATCACGTAATTTCCAGAAGGTTCTCTCTTCGTGTGTTTGTGCGAATTGACGCATCAAGACGCATCATTGTGAAATGTTGTGCAGATAGAAAGTCTTGTGGCATGATTTTTGAAAATTAATTTAACCAGTGAAATGAAGCATCAAAGGGGAATCCCAGTGATTCATGGCAAAACTCACTTTTACTAGTGCTATTTTGCAGCCTCTCGAATTCACTTTTCAACGCAATTATCTCACATAATATCGCACTGGTACGAAGGTCTGGAATGAACCACGACATAGTCTTGGACGTTAGATGGTAATTTCGTCGTCATTTTGTGTTATTACTTCCTCTTATTCGTGCTACGGTCGCTTCAGAACTTTCTTTGTCATCTGACTTTGTATAGCACGGCAATTGAGGCTTCATTATGTTTAATTTCTAATTGCGATCTTATCCGCAAATACACTTTAGTATAAAAATTTAATTTTAATTTGTACATAACTCTACAGTTCGGATTGACTCTTCGGACTCTTCTAAATCCAAGATGTTCATCAAATATGCCGTACTTGAAAGCTAAACAAAATAATATGAGTATCAATGTTTTTATTTAATTTTAAATTGCTCAGAATTCAACATGACTTTCGTCTGAAACACTTTGAGTCTTTAATATTGTGGGGTCAATAAATTGTGGAGTCAACTAATAGACTGGCATATATGTAGATTTTCTTGAAACCCGTCTTCTGAATTTAACTTCTTATTTAATTCCTCAAAATTGTCTTCAAATGTCTTGCAGCAGATATCTATATAATTTCAGTGGTAATATTTCAAGAAAGTCAGACGCTATTAATTGCCGCAAATTAACAAGTAATAAAGCAAAGCCGTGTTGATGTGTGAATTTTCGGGTGCTTCGCCCTGAAAAGCACAACATTCTTTTGCCCATTTGCAAGCCATGTGCGATGTCGATGGATTCTTAGCCAACGCCATAAATCATGAGTGCACGCGTCGCGGATTGGATTACCGGACGGATCTCGTTCATATTCCGCTCTCGGTATGGCTATGTGGAATTCTCTGCGAAGGCAGAAGATTGTGACCCACTTGAGTGTAATTATTTGTTAGCGAACGACAAAATGAAGAGTCACGAAGACACGGAATGGATTTTATGGGGCCACTGGGCCACACAGAACTTTTACACTGACTATTCCAAGCCGCGCGCGCTCTTCTCTCCACCCAATTAACCAACTATGCCTAATGAGTTGGATTATTCTCGCCGGTCGTTTTTTGCCCAGCACTAACTGTTCACCAATTTTTCACACCTTGCAGAATGCTGAAGACACAGGTGACAGGATGGTGCTTCTTTGCGCTGCTAGCGGCCAACTGTGTGTTCGCGCTGCCCAACTACATTCCGCGCGAGGTGGTGGCCAGTGAGCGTCGCGTGGAGGCGCCGAGGGTGGCGGCGGCGCGCCCCGAGGGGCGAAAGTACGCGGAGAAGCCCAACGCCCTGAAGAAGGTGCATCTAGATGACATTGACGACGACATCCAGACGAACCAGATCCAGGAGACAGGTCTGGGCTTCTCCTGGACGAACATGCTGAGCACAATGCTGCAGATGCTCTTCCCGGCGGGCGGCAACAACAGTCCCACCAAGAGTGACGACATCGACAACAATGTGGGCTTCACGCAGTCCCCGTGGGCCAATCTGCTGTCCGTGGGCCTGAAGATCCTCACGGCCATCCTGGGCGGCGGCCAAAACAACGACGGCATCGACAAGGTGGACAACGGCGGCGGCGGATCGCCAATGCAGGTAATTTGTCTGATCTTCAGGCGATTTCCCCCGAAAGTTACTGTAGCAGATCCCTGAGACTTCTTAATTCACCCTGTAGTGTTTTTATCTTTATCTTTGGCTCCTCCCCCGCTTATTAATGCTACAAAGCCAGTCAGAGTGAAAAGATGTGTATATAATAGTAGTGTACAGAAGTAGTACGTTTCTTTTCATCTTACATCTTGGCAATTGGTTTCTGGCAATGACAGGGCATCCTGGCGGCTGTTCTCTCAGCAATGTTGGGCGCCAAAGATCCTGAGCAGGTTAACACGATGGCCAAGCAGGCTGGTGAGGTGAGTGTGGATTGTACAGAAAAAAAGAGAGCGAAGGGAGAGATGTGTGTTACTTTTATATGGTGTGTGGGAGAGAAGTGGGGCCTGCAATATTGTGTTTAGAGCGCACTCACCCAGAAAGATCTGCGCTCACTGGTGCATTTCCTCTCTTTGCAGTTCATCCATATCGTCATGAATCTGCTGGACGCGCTGAAGACATCCTTCTCGCATCGCTCGATGAGGGCTCGCGGCATGGGCAGGAAGGACTCCATGAGCGACGCCGCCGTGGCGGGACTCAGCATGCTCAAGGGCTACGTGAAGACGTACAAGAACGCCGACGACAAGTGCATGCAGAAGTACCTGTGCGAGGCCAACACGGAGTGCAACACCAGCATCGGCGGCAGTAGCATATTCTGCCAACTGGGCACCTACGCCACGAGCTTCGTGCTCGAGCGGACCACCAGCACGGCCTTCGAGACCTTCTACGAGGCCGGACGCCAGGGGAGATCCGGCGTTGACTGCCGAACACTGTATCTGGAATGCAACGAAGTCTAATGTGTGACAAGACACTCCGCGTGACAAAGTTATTAAGTATAATTTATATACAATTTCCCTTATGTAATTTATTTATTTATATCCTAGGGTAGAGTGAAATAAATTGAATGTGTGTGTGCTTAGCTCTTATAGAACGACAACAGTATAAAAACGATCTTTTATTGCCCATCCGGAGGAAATCTTTCTTTCTCTCCCATAAAAGAAGCATTAACTTGCTGATCTCATTTCAATCAATTTCTTCTGGCCAATAATTAATTCTTCGGAGAAATTTCATGATCACACCAAGAGATTAAGCTGAGTTGAAATTTTCTTACTTTTCTCTCGTGTTTGTTACAAAAAACCGCCGAAATCTGAGCATGAATTCGAATTTCTTGATATATCGATTAATCGAATACATATCGAATCTTCTCCGGGTTGCGTAACCTCACATTTATAGTGTTTTGGTTTTGGAGTCATGCCGTTCCTCACAAAACTCCTGAGGAAATCTCTCCTCCAGTCCTATCAGGGCAGAGTGTCGGCGGTGCGGAGTCGTCTGGATGGCATTACATTTCCCCAGAGATTGAAGGGGACAATAGTGGAGAAATGGGCGAACTACTGGAGACAACTGCTCTTGGACTATCAAGAAGTGATTGTGAACGTGGGGAAAAATGCCCGGGATAAGCCGCTGAAGGCCTCAATCATTGCTGCGACGACAGCTGGTCTGTACTACTGTGGTAAGACAAATCCCGATGAGGAGAGCTTCCTGCAAGATCTGCGGCGCTATCAGAACGAAATGAGCCTCGTGCACGAATCTCTGCACAATCCCACGTCCAAGGAGCATCTGCTGATGGTGGAGCAGAACCAGAACTCTGGCCAGTTGCGGTGTCTGTCCCTGGGAGTGATGTCCCTCATGTGGCTGCATGATTTCAGTCCCGACACAGCTACTTATCGCGCAACTTGCGAGTACTTGCAGCCGGAATGGTCAACATTTCACCGGCGAATCATCGATGTGGGCTTCTTGGGACAGTGGTGGAATTTCAGACGCAAGATGACCAATTACGACATTAATTATTAGGTAAAATCAATTAAAATTACACTTATTAGAATGTTGAAACTAGGACTTTTTGAGATTGTCCAGTTCTTGCGTGACTTCCTCGAGTTGGTCGAAGAATTTGGACAATTGGATGTGATTGCACTGCATGGCAACCAAGTCTCCGGTGGATATCTTCATCTGAATGACCCCCACTGGGTTCTTCTCCTTCTCCCTCGCTTCTGACGCCAGGTCAACTTCCAAATTCCACGAAACGTCCTCCAATTCTTTCGTCTGTCCCGATTCTGTTCCCAAATTATCCAAGATGGGCTTTTGCACCTGCACCCAGTACTTGATGATCGCATCTGCCTTTTTCTCCTCGAAGCCCAGCACCTTGATGAGATCTACGTGTAGCGAAGTGGGCTTCATGATGAACTTCAGGGCTCTCTTGAAGACGTGAGACAGCGTCTTGATGGCCATGAGAAGAGATTCATCCTCAAGCTTCACAGCATCTTGCAAATCCTTGAGGGCCTCCTCGACACTGATCTCTGGATTAGGGACAACTTTGCATTCGTAAACAAAGTTCAGAATCTGCTGGAATGTTTCGTCTTCCTGCTCATTTATCCTCTGGATGCACTCGAGGAGCCTGAAATGAGTGGAACTGGTGAGAATATTCCGCAATTCCCCTTGTGTTAACTTCCTCACGGCTTCGAGGCTCGAATCCAAGCCATTTCACTCTGACAGCCACCCGGCGACTGGCGCGCCATCTGCAGCAGCCGGATAGTATTCACAAAATCACTTTATTTTTCTTTAATCTCCTCTTCGCACTCACATTGCACACAATATCATAGTAATTACGTTAGATTACATATTTTCTGACTAGACAGAGAGATCATGAGTGTAAATATAGGGTAATAGGGAAAAAATAGCATGTCTTTCTTTTGATTTCACATCCACGGGAATGAAGATGATCACCAGTGGTTGCCTAAGTCTTCTTATGTGCAGCAGTGGTAGGAATTTCTCGAGTTTATGCCGGAATAGTAGGTGTCCTTGGTGCCTTGCTGGTGGTTCGAGAAGGGGTGCTGCTGCGTGGTGCGGTGGCACGAGAATCCCTGGCCGAGGTTCTCCTTCACGGGCTGAGCGTTGGGCACTGTGGGAAAGCAGCACCACAGGATGAACGCCACCAGGGCCACTATTGTGCCCGTCAGGAGGATGAAGTCCTCAATTGTCTGTGGGAATAGTGGTGTCAGATTCAGTGGGAGGTCCTTGAGAGCGAGACCGCGAGGATCTTACCGGATTCTCACTCAAATTGAGCAGGTATGCGAAGTCGTCGAAGGGCGTCATGGTCACGGGTTATCCACCAAGTGTGTGCGAACGGGAGGAATTCACAAGGATTTGCCCACAAATTGTGCAATCTCGGGTTTGTTTTGACTTTTTGCATGCACTCCTACGCAGTGGTGAGTTCAGCAAGGTCGTTCACTTCGGGATGTTTACAATGAAGGGTGTTCGTCAAGGGGTAGCGAAGGATTATTTCATTATTCTATAAAGATTGGCGAAAATCTCGTTGTTGGAGGTTCTTCAAAGCTTGGTGATTTGTTAGTGCTTTGCTGAAGCTGGAAAATCCAGTGAAGAATCTAGAAGAACAGTTGTTCTCGGAAGTCAGGAGGGTTGATCGGAAAAACGCGCCAAAATATTCACCGCATTTTCACCATCCCCAAACATTCAAATATTATATCGTTGAATTTTTCCTAAAGAACATATTTTATTGCAATTGTAATACTAATCAAAGCAATAAAAACTTCACGTGAAGTCATTTGAAGTTTATATGAATCATGTGGAAAGTTTTCAATGAATGAAAGAACATTTTAAGCCAGAATATCACAAAAAGTTATTGAACTTGCAAAAAGAACAATAATTTTCTTCATACACAACGTTCACAACAAATTTGATTTACACCAATTAAATTTTTTTGTTAAGGATTTCTTTCAATGAAGTGAAACGAAAACATCCAGATGCTTTAAGTAATGAAAATGTACGAATTAGTGCAGAAAACTTGTTTGATAACATGACGTAAATAATTTTTTTTAAAGTTACATTGTATTGTCGAGCCTTATTTTCTTAAAAAAAAAATTAATGATTACTTCAAAGACAATACGTGACTCACGTGTAATTAATCTTCAGCAAGAAGTGGCAAAAGTTTCCTTGCACGAGCGACATAAAAGCCACGCGACGAATGCTTTTTGGAGTCTTGACATGGCAAAAGTGTGTCCTTTTTTATGATAAATTCTCCTTTTATTGCGACATCGCGAATATAGCAAATCGATACGAATGACTTTCCCAATCTTTTAACACCACATTACAAATTATTATCCTCAGCAGTGAAGAGGGAAAATTAGTACTGCGAATTGCGTGGGTGTGCAATGAAAAGCAATAAAATCCGTATTAGCATTATCAACCCTATTAACATGGCTTTCAGCCAGAACTCTCCGTTGCGCAGATAAAGCGATGAGTCATGGTGATGATGCTGCCTCAGGAACTCCAACAAGTTGCAGCTTTGCCAATGAAAGTTTTCGGCTAAAGCTCGTGGAATTTTTGAGGCACACTATCATCATTTGCACGGATTATATTAAACCAAATTGCGCCGCAAGAGGGAAACTTATTCAGGAAAATGGGAGAATGAATAATTTAATGTGTAGCGGAAGTTTAATTGTGTGTCTTTGACACTGAATAAATTGCTATTTATCTTTCGTCGTGGTGCATTTTGCAGTCTTGCATGGAAAGCACGTCGCAAGCATAAGAGTGAAGTCGGAACTTTGCCGCATTATTCCATTCAATTAGAAATCATCAGTGGAAGTTTTGATAGCAAATACTCCAATTTGTGACTGGATTTGCCAATGAAAGAATAGTGGATTTTCTTTGTAAAAATTGTCACTTTAATAGAGAGATGGTTGCGGTGGGGATTTGTGGGGTTCTTTGGTCAGAATGAAATTCCCTGTGTATTCATCCCAGCCAGTGGGATGCTCCTTCTCTTCGCACTTTATTCTCATGTATGAGTTTCTGATAAATTCAACACATTGCACATCAATCATGGATGTGTTTGAAGAGCAGCACTCTTGATCGTCTCGCTGTGGACTCACTCTTTTGTGAGGAAATTGAAAAAATGTCGGATAAGTTCTCGGTTGCGAGATGTGGAATCTTCCGATATGGATTCATCTCGTGGTCACATTACATGCGTCTTTCGTCCTCGTCGTCGGGCTCGATTGTGTTCCACGGCTGGATTTCTCCGCTGCCGAGTAGAACGTACACAAGGGCGGATCCTATGTAAATGGCCGAGCCGATGAGGAAGACGTAAATCCAGTTCTCAAAAGTGTTCTGTGAAAGGAATTCTCATCAGCATTGCAAAAGGATATTTTGACTATGGTCGAGGGGCAAACAACTCGCAAGTTTGGCATGGAGAATATGAAAAAAATCAAATTTGTTTAAATAACTTGTACTTTTCATACCAGTTGGTAGAAAACCCTCCAAAAGTATTACTAAAACACGAGTTTTCTTTCGCGTTTTTTTTCTGAGTATATAGTCTTTGTCGTGCTTGTCGTGTTGTTTGCCCCTTGCCTATGGCTTACATTATCTTGGGTGAAGTAGGAGAGCACGAGCGGACTTATGATGCCTGAAGTTGTGGCCACAGTATTGAGAATGCCATAAATACTGGCGGCAAAGTTGGGCGCCAAATCCTGACAATTCTGCATGTTGGTCAGGACAGAAGCTCCGCTGAATGCCATCGCCACTGTCAACAGAGCGATGCAAGTGTAGGGCCCTCGCACAAAGCAAAGCCCCACAAAGCACAGTCCAGGCAGAATGTGAGCTGCAATGAAAGGGCGTTTTTCACTTGAACTCTCGCCAAAGTTACCATAGTTTCGGCAACTAACAGAATATGCAGAAGAACTTCCTCATTTGCGTGATTGTGAGCAGATTTCGCCTTCTCACTGCGTCTCCAATGATGCCGAAGATGAAGCTGAATATGAGGCGGGCAGCGTGTGGCAGAGACGAGTAGACGCCAGTCATGCCAATTTGGAAGTTGAGAATCTCGCTGAGGAATTTCGGCGTGGCGGCCAGCAGGAAGAACAGGCCCCACAGGCTGCCATAGTGCAGCACCAGCAGCGCCCAGAACGGGCCCGATTTTATCACCCTCAAGTATGGTGGCACTTTCTGCAAGATATCGCGCTAATTAACTTGGCGCCGAGCCATGAAATCGGGCACAACATCAGCAACTATCGTACGCTCTTTCTTGTTCTGGATTTTTTGCAAACCTCTTATCAGGCATTTTGAGATCTTGACTTCATTTTTCTAGCACACTTCTTAAACAAACACGATTTTTACCAAAAATAAGGCAACTCTTGAGATTGTGCGCCGAAAAAATATTTGATGATGAAATTCCTATGACAACAAGTGGCGCAGAAGAAGTATTTAGAATTCTTTCTCGCAAATACTTAAGTGGTTTAAGGACACTTAAGTCTTACTGAGCTTAAGAAATTACCGTAGTGGAAAATGGGGCACTTTTTGCGGAATTTTTACAAGCAAAACAATATTGTGTTAATCTTCCGCATTTCTCGAGGCAGTGAAAAGAAAATTTCTGTTTTTTTCTCATACATGAGTAGCTAATTGAGCTGACGAAGGAAAACTCACCCTCTTGTTGGATAGAGAATCCCCCAGAGATGATTCGATATAGTGTTTCTCCTCTGGCGTTATTCTTGGGTGTCTGTCGGGTGAATCGAAGACCAGAAAGATCCAAAGGATGATGCCAAATAGGGCAATTATGGCTGGGATGTAGAATCCGCCCCACGGCCATCCGACAGCCTCCACGAGGAATCCAATCATCTGCCACGTGAATATGGTCCCGGCGGTGCCGCCCTGCAGGCACGCCATGTACTTGCCCTTCTCGTCCGGCGGGATCCAGCGCGAGATGAGGTTGTGGAAGCAGGGAAACAGCGGCCCCACCAGGAAGCCAACCACGATTCGGGCGCCGTAAATACTGCGGAAACCATGGTGGGCCGCCAAGGGGCACAGAATTGTGATGAGAGCGTTAATGAAGAAGGCGAGTTCAATGACTATCTTGGCGCCTATGCGCTCCGCGAGATAAGCACCCGGAATCGCCGTGATCATGTAGCCCCAAAAGTCTGCGCCGAGCAGGAGGCCTTGCTGCGCCATGTCCCACGGGAATCTCTCTCCGTAGCTGGGCAGCTTCTCACCATTCTGCGGCTCCACCATGGCGAGAATGCTGATGGACATGTTCACGCGCAGGAGATAGATCAAGAAGCACCCCATGAAGATCATTATGCCAATGTTGAGCCGTGCTGGAAGTCTCCCTACGGAACAGAGGATGAACGAGATTCAGAGGAAGATCCCAAATTGACAGGAATTCCCTTACAGAACACTCTGGCTAGGCAATCATTCACTTTTCGCCGCATTTTTTTCTTTCAATGGAAAATCACTTTCTTCACCATGAGTCGCACGGATGCTCCCCAAAATCACACTGTCGCTTTCTGGCAAGATTGCTAATCAACCTTACGCTAATCGCCATCAGGCACTCTCGACAGCCTAGTAGAGCTACATGAGATGCTTATTCGCGATAAGATAAGATAGAGGCATTGTACTGAGATTTCAATTTATTGCCTTTTTCAATTTGGTCGCATCGCTTGTCCTCTTTGGGGCCAAGGAAATTCATCTTCTTCCCACATGATAAGACTGGAAAGTGCTCAACTATCAACACTGTTGTCTCAAATAAATCCCACTTAAACCATATTTTCTAACCGGAACAGACAAAGTTTTGTTTTGTTCTCTCAGTGGAGTGAGTTCGGAGTGTTTCTGGTTTTGCTTCTCCAATTCTCAGTGAAGTGCTTAAGTTTGTTCAGGTATTGATTTACTTTTCACTGTCAATTAGTTCTTGGCTACTATTCGAAAGTTTTTAGGTCAATTAAGAGAAACTTACCTTTTGATCTTGATGCAAATTTGGTAGTGGAAAATCGAATTTCTGGGACATCTTCATCTGAATTTAATGCTGATTTACTGTTTTTAGTCGATAAAAGATGGCTCGCTGCGGTTAGGACAATTTTAGGATCTTGTTCGACCAAGTGTTGAGACATTTTATGAAGAATACACTTTAATCTTAGCAAATTCTACACGTAAAACGTCTTGACCATCAACTGGACAGTCTACGAATGCTTCATAATATAATTTGGTTTGGTTTTTCAATTCTCAATTTCAATGACATAGTTTTAAGTACCTCAACATAGGGAATGGCACTTAAAATTACGCCGAAAAACAACATTTATTGCTCACTACTTTGAACGACGTGAGAAGATGAATTTAAGAACTTAACTTTGAACACTTTGAATTACTTTAATGATTTTAATTATGATTATGATCTGCGGAACACGATGTTTCTTTAGATATGAGAAATTTCTCAAGAATGATTAAATTAAATTCTATGGTTAAAAGCGGGCTCTTGAAACACTTGAAAGCTCTGACCTGAAGATATTTACATAAGCTTTCAATATTTATTCTGCTCTCATATCCTGCCGAGTTACTCAGTTTCAATCGTTTCTGCATCAAATAATTCATGTTAAATCGAGAGAAACAGCGAAAGTTGAGACTGGAAATTTCCTCCTCTGGAAGGAACTTGTTGAACACTTCTCCAACTTGGGGAGGTTTCCAGTCGATTCCAGCAGGAGTCACTGGAATTGAGTGGAACTCTGGAAAACCCCCTCAATTTCCCCTGAATTCTACTAATCTCTCGTGTTCACAGATTGAAAATTTATTATGCAAATCCTGTGCTTTCGAATGCCTGCATTTTTAAATTGCCATCATCCTACTTCTTCTTCTTTTTGGAATGTGCAGCAGCATCAACAGCGCTGACGACCGAGTGATTATGCACCTTCTGGGAAATCCTGTTGACATAGTAGAGCGCCAGAATGGAGAAGATGATACTGTAAGACAATACTGCGTGAATATCTCCCTCAATAAACACCCCAATCCTGAGAATACTGACCATGTTGTGGCGCACACCCGGTGAACCATTCCGGAAGCGATCAGCGCGCTCACGAGGCAAAAGGCCACTTCGGGAAAGAGCTTGGCCTGGAAGCCGCGGCCTAGCAGGAGTGTCTCCAGATTGGATATCGCCGTGAGGGAGAGAATGAAGAGCCACGAGCCGACGAATCCGCCCAGAAGAGTGGTGGCTTGCGTGGAGGCGAGGAAAGGCCGGTAGATTTGCATCCCAGAAAATATCAGCACGCACGCGACTGAGGAAAATACCAACGACAGCATCGTGGGAACAACTGCAAAGGCATTCGGAAGTTAGTGGAATTCCTCTCAATTGTTCGATATTATCCTCAATTTACCCATTTTGCTGCGATGTGATGTTTACAAAATATTGCCACGAGCACGTCACTAAGCCGACTGATTCGCACCTCAGCGCTGAACGCGACATCTACGAGGGAACTTTAAAGGCACTGCAGTGCCGACATGGGATATTTCCCCGCTTCTTCCCCAAGTTCGAAGAAAAAGACCGCGAAGATTTGAATGCACAAGCCGTTGCAAAGTGCAGTGTGAGCCAATTGAAATTCATCTTCACTGTTTGCTGCTTTTTGTTTTTCTCTGATATTAACAGTTTTGGTTTCTCTTCTAAATCGATAATTGATTATGATTCTCAAGATATTTTTAAATCGTGTGTTTTTGCATATTTTAATTATCTGTTCTGTTTTCTCGCATGAAAAACTTGTGTTTGCGTAATCCGAGTTTAGCCTTCAATTTTATTGCCGTAATTTAAAATACTCTTCTTTTCCATTATCATAAAAAGAAATACACAAAATACCTGTATTTGTACGATACTTAAGTTTTATTTTCTAATCTTTTTGCACATTTTTTCAGACAACTTTTTATTATGTACTCCAAATCTTGCACGGATGCTTTCACGTCACCCTGTGCTGCTCGCTCTCTCGCAAACATTTTCACATCGCAATTGTTGGGATCTCTCAAACGCTGGCCGTTCAGTTGGTTTCTTTCTCTGACTCGGAGTGGAAGTGTGTGCAAAGTGGAGCGGCGCAATTGTGAGATTCAGTGTGACTGAGGAAAATTGTTGCTTTTCCCACTCAAATCGCACTCATATCCAATCATTCTTCGTCGCGTAAGACCAAAAAATAGCAGCCAGTGTCTCTTTCGACCTTTCGCGCGGTGCTCACTTGAACTTTAAGTGGTCAATTTTGGATTTATGCATACCTCTACGCACTTTTCCCATATTTGGACGGGAGGAAGCTGGAAAACACGCCTAGTTTTCAATTTCTCACACTCACACGGGCGCACTGAGGCGTCCGTACGTGTCAGGAGGGGAAGCTGAAGGCACATGCACAGTGAAATTTATTGATTTTCCTCTACCCTTCTTGTGCCGAGGAAGAAAGGACTCCGTATGGATTTTTCTTTCCGGTCTGTCCATCGCTTCCTGCGCCTTTTTTCTCCAAAAACACCTCTGTTTTGACTCACACTCTGGTGGCCGGCCGAGGAATGCCGTGACAGAGTGAATTAAGCAGGCCGTGATCGCGAGCGGGGTTATTTAAATTTTCACTTCGGTCCTCCACTGTGTGTCTATTTTTGTGTCAAATACAGTCCCCGCCTGGCTCCCCGGTCGCCTATATTGGAACACAAAAAAAATAGCTGACAAGAGGAACACACTGGGAACAACGGCAGGGGAAGCGTATTCATCATATCTCCTAAGCGAACACAATTCAGAATTCATCCAATTGCGGTGCACAGTTTCATCGGGGGAGAATGGATTCTTAAATTCACGACTTGTTCCGGTGTGCATTAACGGTGTACGCTGCACAGTTGAATAATAATAGCAAAACACTCCACCAGACAGAATAATTTAGGCTTTATGGTGGAGAAAAATGCTGTGCACTGACTTAAGACTTTGTAGTGTGCTTGAGAATGCATTCTACAATGGAAGGGCTTGAGAGACCAAAATATATTTCAATATAATACACACTGGAGAGAAGTTATTTTGAGGAAAAATGGGGGAAATGATTTTCTAGCTTTCTGCGCTAAGCAGCTATCTATCATAATGACATCGAATTTGATATTCGCATTGCGATTACTGAATGATCAGATCGATCAAATCGATATATTTGCAGTTATTGTGCGAGGAGGTGTAATCAAAACTGTAAAGCATATAAAATATGTGATTTATCGTTACTTGCAAGATGTTGCAAAGGTTGAAGCATACAGAGAACATAAACTACAAGTATTATAACAGAACATCAGACAATTTTCCTCTACTCATTCATGTTCTCTATTCGTCAATTTAACACACGAATTTTTCACTCAGCGTTCCGAACGAAATAGCGGCGAGATGCTCTTCGCCACTGTGCCTGTAATTACATCAAATTACTGGAATTAATTGCAATATAAATACAATATTGACCTAAATAGTGCATTTATGACCCTCACTCCAAAAGCACAGAATGCTATTTTTAGCAGGAAAAGAACTTTACCCCGATTTCCTCTGTCGATTCCTGCGGAGTGATATAAATTCCGGCTTATCGATTTAATAGTTCGCTTGCCGCATTCCTCAGGCGCTGGGCTTCCAAAATGCCCCACATGGATTGCAGGCAGTCAGTGGGAAGTGGAACTGAAGACTTGTTGTCCATTTTGCAAGAAACACCGCGTATGGTTTCAATTTACCACATGAGCGATTTTGCAACTTCTTCGCATGACCCAGAAGAATAGTTCTTTTCTTTATACTGCCAATACCCAGCACACGCACACAAATATTTACCCCCGTTTATTTTCAATTCCATCTAATATGAGATATTCACGCCAAGGGATATTCACTCCCTGCGCTATGAAATTTATGACTTGGGGAAGAAAAACAGTGAGTGAACTAAGGGGTGAATAATTTATCGGCGGCAGCATGCTTATAATCTGGAGAATTTAATTCATAAACACGAAAATTGCTTCACAAGTGTGTGCCCAAATGCGAAAGAGAGGAAAGTGAGAGTTTCACATGAGGAGAAAATGCGTGGTTTGCGGCCAGTTTGGGCATCCTATGGGAAGAGATGAGTCGTCAATTTGTGAGATGAAATCACTCAGATGCGCTTAGGAGGGGCTTCTTTATCCAATTACACAATAATCCCATCTGAGTCGATTGTGTGGCCTTTGCGGGCAGAGCTGAGATCAAGTCAGCGATAGATGCAAGAATACTCTTCATTCAATTAGTCAATCGCTATATCGTGGATGAAAGTGTAAAAGATGAGCAGCTCTGCGTTGTGTAAAGAAAACGCAGTGCAGAGAGCCGAAAAAATAAACTCTGCATTTCCATACAAGTGAGGAAAAGTTCCCCAGACGCGCGCCGAAGAAAAAGAAATTATTCAAATTGAGTGAAACTAAGACAAAAAGAAGCTTGTTAATCGTCATGTGAAAACACCTGCTCATAACTATTGTGTCTCTTCTGCTGCGAACTTGTTTCGCCCTTTTTTTCTCCCTCTGCGATGCAAAATATCGGCTGCAGAACACACACACAATATTGCACTTGAGGTGCAAAGCATGTGGGGAATTTAAACAACTTTTTTTTTATATAATTGAATATTTATGGGTAGAGCAACATTCTCCATTTTCACATGAGTTTCAGTCATTGAACTTGAACTCCTCGTACTACGTATAGTAATTTTATACTTCACCACTTCAACTCTGCTGCACAGCGCGATTCTAGGTGAGGTGAGCGAAGCAATCGAGCGAAGAAACTGTTTCAAGTGATCGTTTTTTACATAATAGTGCACAATCACTTGCAAAAGACACAGAAGTTGAGGAGTTTTCTCAGTGTTCAGTGTTGAATTTCCACACGCAAATCATTGCTCAAGTGTTTTGGCATCAAGCGGTGTGTCTTTGAGGGATTTTAGATGGCTGCACCTGTGAAGAAAGTCCCAATTCACCTTCAGGTAAGTGAGACAGTTGACCCACAATGTTTGTGACACAGTGTTTGAGTTTTCCAGTGTCCTCCACCCTTCAGCACACTGATAATTGGCGATAATTTCAATGGCAAACACGACTCTGCTTATCTCCGTTCCCTCCTCATGAGCGCGACTGATAAGTGCACGAGTGAAACTCACTTTATGGCTTATGCTTTGGGGGCTCATTTCGTCACATTCTTCCAAATGTGCCACACTAGATAGGAAGGAGTGTGCTTTAATTGGCCAAAAGTCTCCGCGTGGCTGAAAAAAATGGTTCAGGTCTACAAATTTTACACCTGAACTGGTGGAAAAGATGAAAAAGTTGGCGAAGAACTTTCAATTAATTAATTCACACTCATTTATGTGGCAATTAAAAAGAGAGAAAACCACACATTTGTTCAGGAGAGTGACTCAAATTTTACCTAATATTTCCGGCCCTGTCTTCTATGTACAATCCAGCAAAGATCATTGACCGAAATTTCCATGCGATGCCAACATTAAAACCATCTCGCATTTCATAACTTGCGCACACCTTCGCGGGCGAAACAAAAAAGTCTTCAAATGCGTCTTATGAGCGCCTAGAGGCGAAATGCAGCATTGTGTAATGCTGATACATTTGCTCTCGCTTCTTTTCTATTTGCTGTGCGAGATTTCTCGTGCTGATATGACAAGACTTGGTCAAAAAACACATAAATGAAATGCCACCAGGAGAAAATCGAATCTTATCGCAAAGAAACACGCAATGGAATAATCAATAAAGTCAACGTCTTCGTAAATAAAGTGCCGCACTATAAATTGCGATAATCCTCCTTGACTTTCCAAGGGAATATTTGTCCTACATTGCAACAGAAGCAAACAAACACGCAATTGGCGAAGGGTAAACGCTAATTCTGAAGTTTAAAGTCCTTCTTAAGCAGTCAATAATTACGTCAATATGCTTCTTGTCTAAATTATTGCTACAATTTGCTGTGAAACACTTGAGGAGGAGTTTATGAATGTTTGAGAAGTTTCCTTGTGGATAAAAGCTCACCATCTGGATCCTTATTGCAAAATCAATATCACAGAGAGTTTATTACAGTCCTTAAGTTCACCAGCTAAAGTATAGTTTTGTATTTAATCACTGGAGAAGGGTTTATTTTGAGAAACTTTAATGGGAAATATCGATTGAACAACTTAATTTTACCTCTTGGCGCAGTTTATACAAACATATGAATTGATTTTCTCATTTCTCACCAAATAAAAAGCAGTCTTTAGTGTTAATTTATGCGTTTCGATTCCGGACAGACGATTAGTACGAAAGCGAAAGTTATCTTAAAAGAAACGACTCTGACTATTGGAGTCTAATTGAGATTTATTTGTCTCATAGGGAAAATTGAGATTTGGATATGCCAAGGGACATGCTTGAAAATTCCCCTCTTTTGTTTCTAGAAATAGGATCATTTTATCTGAAATTGTTCGCACAGAGGCTTATCAGCTTTGTTTAAGTGCTTTTGCTCGGGCAAATGTTATCAGAATTTATATTTATACGGCAAAATTTTATTCTTCATGTGTTTTGAAAGTCATCAATTTGACACCTAAAAATTATTCAATAATCAATCCAGTAAGGCAAAATCCAGAAACGATTCTGGAAAGATGTTTTCTCCGGCTTTTATGTAATAATTTGCTTGTAGAAATGTATTCTTTTGTAAGCAAATGAATCATTCTGTCTTTAATCCTGGCTCAATTCCAGAATTTGATGCACAACACTTAGGAAAACTCGTGCACTTATCACCGTAAACCTCAGATTTACTGCAGAAAAATCCATAAAACAAGCCCATATGTCTGGAATGCCCTAATTTTGTCCTTTCTTCCCTGCAGAGCTCCCAGAATCGTCTCTACATCAAGCGCGGCCAAGTCGTGAACCATGACCAGATCTTCTCGGCGGACGTTTACGTGGAGGACGGGGTGATAAAGTGAGTGTAATTCTGGCCAATTGCCGGACGTACAATCATTAATGTGTTTTGTGTGCAGATTTGTGGGCCCGAGTGGCGAGTTCGTGGTGCCCGGCGGCTGCCGCGTGATCGACGCCGCGGGGCGCCTCGTGATGCCGGGCGGCATTGACCCGCACACGCACATGCAGCTGCCCTTCGGCGGCACCGTGGCCGTGGACGACTTCTACCAGGGCACGAAGGCCGCCGTGGCGGGCGGCACGACCATGATCCTGGACTTCGTGCTGCCCAACAAGGGTGAATCCCTGCTGGAGGCGTACGACCGCTGGCGCTCCTGGGCCGACCCCAAAGTGTGCTGCGACTACGGGTTGCACGTGGGCGTGACGTGGTGGTCTCCGTCCGTGGCCGAGGAGATGAGGATCCTGTGCGAGGAGCGCGGCGTGAACAGCTTCAAGGTGTTTATGGCCTACAAGGGACTGTATCAGCTCACGGACTCGGAGCTGTATGAGGTGTTCGAGGTGTGCCGCGAGCTGGGCGCCGTGGCGCAAGTGCACGCCGAGAATGGTGACATCATTGCCAAGAACGTGCAGAAGCTGCTGGGCTGCGGCGTGTCAGGACCCGAGGGGCACGAGTTATCGCGCCAGGAGGAGATCGAGGCCGAAGCCACCTATAGAGCCTGCGTTATCGCACACCAGGTAATTTCTTTAGCGCATTTTGTGTGAACATTTCAGGGCCAATCTGATGTCATGTCATCGGCGCTGATAAGCGGCTTCCAATTCAGTCACTAGACAGGCACTCGAGCTAATCTTATCACTTGAACGTGTCTGAGAGTAGAAAGCTAAGGGAAATTTTAGGTAAATCATCCGGTCAGCGGGTAATTTCGCTGCGCGAGAGATTGAAAGTTAAGCCAGTATTTACATGCTGAAGTGGCTCTCATCAGACGATGAGTGATCCCAATTAAAATGCTCCCAATTTGCGCGCTGCAAAGCAGAGAGGAATGACTCGCTATATCCACTTCACTCTCCTCTCCCCATGTGCCATCCCAATCCCAGACGAAGTGCCCGCTATACGTGGTGCACGTGATGAGCAAGCAGGCGGGAACGGAAGTGGCGCGGGCGCGCGCCCGATACGGAAATGTGGGCATTTACGGGGAGACTCTGGCCGCCGCCCTGGGCTCGGATGGGCGCAACTACTACCACAACTGCTTCCACCACGCCGCCGCCCATGTGCTGAGTCCGCCGCTGCGTCCCGATCCCGACACCCCGGAGTACATGATGAAACTCCTGGCCCAGTAAGTTGTTGTCTTGTGTCTCGCGGACAGGGCTTCATGCGCCACTCTAACAGCTCATTCCTACGCTCCATAACCCACTAACTCATCCGCGGGCGGTGTATATGTTTGTGTACAGCTTCTTGTCTCACCCACTAACCACCATGTCATCCTCATGCTCACTGTCCAGGCCAAGAGTGCGCTGTATGTGACGCGCGTGTCCAGCAAATCCGCCGCGGAATCTGTGTGCAGAGCTCGTCGTCAGGGCGTCACGGTGTTCGCTGAGGCGCTGGCTCGCTCTGTGGGCATCTCTCTGCACGGCATGAAGGCGGCCTCGCTGCTCTACTACGCCACGAGCCCACCGATCCGCCAAGATCCGGAAACGCCTCGTCAACTCATGAGACATCTGGCAGCGTAAGTCCGCAAGGCCATTGGTAGCATTCCATCCGGTATTGGCTCTCTGTGCACGTTGAAATTCACTACTAACGTCTCTCTAGCATTTCCTGACGCCGACCAGAAGTCACTGAAAGACTCTAATTGGGCTTGACTGTCTTTCAGGGATGATCTGCAGACGACGGGCAGCGACAACTGCACGTTCAACAAGGAGCAGAAGGAGCTGGGCAAGGGCGACTTCTCCAAGATCCCCAACGGCGTGAACGGCGTGGAGGACAGGATGTCTGTGGTGTGGGAGAAGGGAGTGCACCTGGGATTGCTCGATCCCAGACGCTTCGTCGCCATCACGAGCACAAATGCGGCCAAGATCTTCAACTTGTACCCCAAAAAGGGGCGCATCGAGGTGGGATCCGACGCTGACATTGTCATCTGGAATCCTCAGGTAAGAGAAGCTTAAAGTAAACTTTTATCTTCTGAATTGAGTTACTGAATTATTCTACTCATTTCAGGCCACCAGGACGATTTCGGCCAAGACGCACCATCAGGCGGTGGACTTCAACATCTTCGAGGGCATGACGTGCCACGGAGTGGCCGAGGTGGTCATCGTTCGCGGCAGAGTGTGCGTGGATGAGGGCAATTTGCGTGTGGCCGAGGGCCAGGGCGTCTTCGTGGAGACGCCCACACATCCGCCCTTCGTGTACGACGCGCTGGCCGGCAAGAAGACGGAGGAAGCGTGCAACGGCGTGAAGAAGCTAGACATCACGCAGAATCTGGAGATCGAAATCCCCGATCACGCCCACGATGTGGCACTCGCGTCGCGGGACTTCCTGATGTCTGGACAGTCCGTCCCACTGCCTGGAGACTCAATTCCATGCACGCCCTCGGGCAGAGCTCCGCGCCAGGAGGGCCAGCGCAATCTCCAGGATACCACGTTCTCGATAAGCGGTGAGTTGGGGAGGATTTCTGGCCTCGATTCCCTGTTAAACTGAATGTGTGTGTCTTTCGCAGAGGATCTCGACACTGAGCATCGCACGTGCATCCGCGTGAGGAATCCGCCGGGCGGGAAGTCATCGGGCTTTTGGTAATCCGCTGTGCAATCTGACGCCCAAAGCGATCACATTGAAATCACTAGTAAAAACATTTTAGAGGGCAATTGAAGATTGTACTTCATCGCAAAATAAGTACTATTTAGTGTTACTTCTGTTTTTACCAAAAAGAAAAGTAAATTTAAAGTTCATATTAAGTACCAAAAAAAGAACAAGAATATGAAAGAGAAAATCTACCAATAACTAATAATGTAGGTTATATTTGATGAGATGTGGAAGGGACATTTTTACTAAAAAAAAAGAAGAAATTTTAAAAGTAATGCTACTGTGTATTTGTACGAAGGCGCTTTAATTGATATGATATCAACAAAATTGACAACAAGTCAGCATTTATTGCAGAGATTTGTGTAAAAACTCCTCAATTCGGTCAAGACGCACACATGAATGTGCTCTTATTTCTCATGTAATATTTTAGTTACACAACTCAAAAAAACTGTCTTTTACTTTGTGAGTAACAAATAAATAATGGAAAGTTTTTATGTATAGAAATGGTGTATTTTTTTTGCTGGGCCTTTTGCTGGAAATCAACGATGAGGTGATGCTGCAGAATGAAAGACTTTGGGTAATTTTCTCACTTTTATTTTTTGAGTACTTCTTATGTACACTAAAGTTTACTTGTTTTTCTTTTTCAGTATTCAGACATTAATAAGCATTTGCACAATTATAATACCAAACATGAAAATGTTCTTTTAAATTTCATTTTAATTTCTATGATTCCACTTTTTCCTCATTATCATATCAAATTGTTTAATTCTTTTACATAGTCGGTGTGTATTTTTTTTTTAGCTTTTCTCCTCCCTTTCTCTCTCTCTCTCTCTTCTCAAATTTATTCGTGCGCTCGCTAAACTGGTAAATTTTGAAGGTTATTCGCGGAAAAAGGAAGTGAAAAAATTGGGAGGTGTGAAATAAAAGAACACTCATTTCCTAACGGTTTTTTCTTTTCACTTTTCGAGATGCCACAGAAGGGATGATTTGCTATTTGTTTTGTCACTTTCCGCTGAACTACTGAAATTTCTCCTTAAGACAAATAAAAACCTACACTTTTTTCTCGATACAGTACAAAAGAAAGAAATCATAAATTTCATGCTTCACAATCGCGCGCACTCACATTCTTCAAATTCACGTGTTTTTTTTTTATTTCTTTTACTGCTTCATTTTTTCTTCTTTCTCTGCATTTAATTAAATTAGTAACTACATAATTATTTTAATAGTAAAATCAATAATAGTAAAAAAACAATAAAATTATCAATAAGAGCATATTTATCATCCCGTTTTTCCTCATTTTCTCTCTCTTTCTCTCGCTCAAGTAGCACTAAAACTTATCATTGTAACTTTATAACTAAATTGATTACTTTAAATAATCGTTGATTTTTTTTACATAGAGGTTTTTCTTCTTCATCATCTTTCTTCATCTTCTTTTGCTTGTCTTCTCAACCGCATTTTGATATCATCAATTCTGAGATGGATTTTCATTTGCTTATCTTCACTTCTTCGTCAGCTTTCTTTGTTGCCTCTCGAGAAAGTGATTCATTCCAATATTCACTCAATTTTTATTGAAATTCATTTCCATCTCATGAATGTTTTTCTTTTTCCTATACAATTTTTCTTCCTTTTTGTGACACATTTTATTGGCTTTATCGAAAAAAATCGTTTCACACTCATTTCTTCTCTTATTTTCCGTATGTTTTGTTTTTCTTCATGTTTCTCAATAATTTAATAAGTGATATTTAAATACATACTTTTTTCATTTTTGCCTTTTCTTCTTTTTAAAATTGATTATACATAATAATTACTTAGTTCACCATTGAATCTTATTCTTCACAATATTACTTAAAGTGAGTTGGCGATTTCTTATCTTCTTCGTAGTCATTTTTTTTAAGTAGGTTCTCATTTCACTGCTTCTGGTCACACCACAATATTTCTAGGGTTTTCTTTTCATTTAATTTTACTTATATATAAATTGGTATATAATGAAGTTTTCTCCCACAATTCTACCTTCTTCTCTTCGCCCACCTGTCAAAGACCCCAAATGAAGATCGCCCAGAAACTCCGCCACGATGTCTCCAGACGCCCTTCGAGCTCTTCCCGATTAATTGTTCATTCGCTAAAATGTGTGAATTTCTCTTTCAACTAACAATCAGCATTTGAATGCAGCAGAGAGGAAAAGTCCGCCACGTCTTTTTTCCCTCCGCCGAAAACGCCTAATCATGCACTCTTATCAGTTCCTCTACAGAGTCTCAGTGTTTGAAAACTACTAATCATAATCATTAAGTTATATACAAATTCTTAATATCACTTTTCTTTCATCATTTTTCATCATCTTCATTACCGTTACGCAAGAAAGAGTAAGAAAAAAAGAGAACCTATAAATTGTTAATATATATATTATATCTCACTGTGAAATTCCATTACGCGCTTTTTCTTCCCTCTATTACAAATTTACCTACGTTTGTAAAAACGAATAAAATAGCTTTTAAAATCACATACAACCGGAATATAATTGAGATTTGTATTTGCTCTCCCTTCGACTTGCAATTTCTCAGCCGTGCATAAAATTGGGATCAACAGAAAGGAAGTCCCTATTCTCTAAGTGTTTTTTTCACTACTCTTCCTCGTCATTCTCTTCCTTACCAAAAAAGAATTCCTCTTGCTCACAAATCTAATGCTTCTCATTTTTTTCTGTGTGCCTTGCAACAAATTCATCTCTTCTCCTCTATCTTTTTTTTTGTTTTTCTACTACACAATCACTAAAAAAAGAAGAACCTCGCAATCCAATCGACTGATTTAAAGTGGTTAAAAGTATAATTTGTTCATCGTCAATTTTTCATTTGCAATAAAATCTATTCTGCTCACAATTTAGTCTCTATTACCAAATCAATCCCCTGTAGTTTTCAAGTCAGCGCATTTTGTTCAATTTTTGCCTTCACTATTAATACAATATCTTCATCATTAATACACAATTGGAAATTAAATATTCTCTCTCAGCATCTTCTTCCTTTTTCATCTATATATATATGTATATATATAGTAGTATACAAACTATACAGTTTCATATTTGTTAATTTATATGTCCTACTTAAATGTAATGCTATTTCCTATTAAGATTCGATTTCTTTTTGTTTCTCAACACACTGTTTCTCATCTCTCTCTAATCTTGTCGCCAAGTCGCGATTCTTTGATCGCTCTTTTGTGTCATTAACTCTTCCGCAAAATGTCAATCAATCCGCCTAATTTAATGCCACAGTCTCTAAATTACTATTGATTTTAGAGTGTGTGTGTATATATATACTAAATGTATATAATTAAAGGTATACACAGTCAATATTTAGTTATAGCAATTAGTGTATGATTCTCTTGAGTCATCAGATCTTTTGCCCTCTCTTCATCTGTGTCCATCTCAGTGTCTTTTGCTCAGTGCACTTCCTTTACTCCCCACAAGTGACTTTCCGAAGAGAAAACCACAATTGTCGTCTCATCTCTCCATCATCAGTCGTCTTTGTCGTTTCTCCACTACGACGAGGAGGCGGCAATGGTGGCCGGTTGCGGCAGGAGGCCGCCTTCGCCCCTCTTCAGCTCGCTGCCGGTGGTGGTGATGGGGCCCTGGCCGCGCGACACCTGGAAGAGCACCCGCGAGATGATGAGCGCCACTTGCTGGTCCAGAATGTGGCTCATCACCAGGCCCAGCAGCCGCTGCTCCTGCTGCATGAATAGCGGCCTGTTGTCCGGATGCCGCGCGAGGTGCAGCAGTGTGCCCGCCGCGCGCCGCAGCATGTCCAAGCTGGTGCCCATCGAGTCGGGATTCTCGCGCAGGAAGCTGATCCCGTGCTGGTTCGCCACGCCGAGCGCCGTCTGCTCAGCTTGCTCAATGAACGCCACCAGGTACGAAATGCACGGACTCTGCATGGCCACGGTGCGCGCCATCGAGCTGTCCGCCGCCGCCAGGTAGTGCAGCAAATTGACCGAGAACTCCCTCAGCACCTGATCCTCATTCCTGCACAAGTGGCGCGTCAGCACGGCGCACAGCTTCTCCAGCCGCGAGAAGGGCGGCGTCGCAATCACCAAATCCACATTGGCGTCCGTCACGCACAACTTGCACAGTGCCTCGAGAGCCAAACGCTGCGGCGACAGCGACGAGTGGCTGCCGCACGTGGGAAAGGGATCCTGGCCGTGCGCCGACGGACAGATGGCCCAGTGCAGCAGCCCGTCCAGCACCGGCCGCGAGATCATCTCGTCATAGCGCGACAACTCCATGTGTCCCGATATATTGGCCGCCGCCACGAGCATATTCTCCCGGATCTGCACCAAGTAGTCCCACCACCATTCCGTCTCCCCAGCCAAGCTGCTGCACGAGTCCGCAAAGTCTGCGTCCTCCTCGCGATCGTAATTCCTCGTCTTCTGCGTCCTGATCGGGTGCTCGTGATTCAGCAGCAACAGCTTTCCGAGAATGGCAAGGAAAGTGGGCGACTTGGCGAACTCAATCTCATTGCCCGGCACAAAGGTGAGATTCCGCAGGATATTCGAGATGCCCACGCATCGACGCGCCAGTGAGTCTTGACTCTCCGCCACGAGATACAAACTCGCCTCGTCCCTCGTATAGCACTCATCCTCATAGTCACTCATGCGGCGTCGCTTGAGCGTCGACGCAGGATCTCGCACTGTCTTCTTCAGCTCAAACAACTGATCAGCCTTCTCCTCGCACACCATCTCCTCACTCTCCTTCTTCACACTATCAGCCTTTTTATCACTCGCCGCCTCATCCTGCTTCGCGTCCTCCGCACACACAGACTCCGGACCGTTTGGTATTCTCGGCTCCAGCTCCATGTCCACCGGGCGACAGTCACTGTCCAGCGACTCCCGCTTCACATCAGCGCTCTCCTCCTTGAACCGCTTCGTTCGACTAGGGCCACTATTACTAATCCTTTTACTAACGCTACCACTCTTGCCGCTGCCTATCAATGACGAGTTGTAGTGCTTCCTGTGCTGCTTGTCCGTCGACGTGCTCGCCTCCTTTCCCTTCAAGTACCGTGCAAATGGAATGTTGACTATTTCAGCCCGAAAGCAGTTCATGATGTAGCCATGCGGGTGTGGTTCACTGTGGCCAAAACTCCACGGATCGCCGCCCACTGTCGAGTGCAGTTGTCCCTTCCTGTCCGCATCCACATCCCACGATCTCTTCATGTCCAACACGAAAATATCCTCCTCCGACTGGTTGATCTTCACTGGGATGCCCTTGCGCGAGTTCAGCGTGTAGTTTGTCGTGGACGACAGCACAAGGATTCTGTCATCGGGATTCGGCACATCAGCCACTCCACCCAAGTCCAGCAATCCGCGCTGCTCCTTCGCCTCCTCGCACTCGCCATTCATCTTCACCTGTCCCGACGACACCCACTCGTAGCCCTCGCGCTCCTCCAGCGCGTCCGCATCGAAGATGTCCGCCAGACTCTTCTGGAAGTGATCGAGCAGGAGATTCAGCAAGCCCGGCAGGTGCGCCAGTCCGAAGTACTGCACAGACGAGTCGTCAAACAGCAGAATATTAATCACATCCAGCGCCCAAGTGCTCTCGCCCAGCAATCCCGATCGCAGTGACATGAATATCCGCCACGGATCCACGGGCCCCACGTCCTGCTTGCAGATCCTCTTGCGCCGGTACAGGATAGGCGTGGTGGCCTCCACGCTGTCCAGCGGGAAGACAATGTCTCTCTTCGGCGGAGCGCCCGTTTGAGGGAACTGACCCGGCACTGGTTTGGCACCCTGAGGCGGTGGCATGCTGATGGGCTTCCCTCGCTGCTGCGGTGGCCGCAGCTGAGCATTGGGGCCCACATTCGGCTGTCCAGGCCCCATTCCAGCCCAATGCGGTTGACCCTGAAACGCCAAATTGCTCAGCATCAGCACGATTCTTTGCGTATTGTTTAAAGTCTTCAAGATTCCGGAACATCACATACGAATTCCAAGCATGAGATCTTCTTAAGGATGTTCCGAAGTATTTCGGGTTATTCGACTTACCTGCTGACTCCCTTGGTAAGGTGGCTGCTGCCCTTGAGGCGGATATCGATCCCACGCCTGACCCGGCGGTCCTTGACCTGGGCCAGTGGGCGGACCTGGAGGTCGCTGGCCACTTCCCCACTGCTGAGGTGCGGGCTGCGGCGGATATTGTCCTCGATACTGTCCGGTGCTGTTCTGCCAACCGCCTGAAAAGCCACACAAATTCAATTTATGCACACAATTCACAGTTCAGACTGAGATTCCTCACACTTACCATACATTGGCGGCCTCTGCGGATACGGTGAATAAGGCTGGGGCTGCTTCTCAAAGTCCGGATGTCTCCTGGGTTGGGGAGCCTGGCAAACACATGATACAGATTAGAGAGAGAGAACAGGACAGCGTGAGGGCATAATAATACACCAAAGGACCCAAACCTCACCACCATTTAGAGCCACTTTCACACCCATGCAATTAAAGTATATATCCCAAGTAACTAATTCCTCCGTTAACCACCCCACATTTCTTTTTGTAGCTGTTGAAGAGTAATTGCAATTGTCTAAAGGCCGGTTAGGGAAGAAGTCATCTCGCTTGTCAGTGTTATTTTTGGACAGAAGTAGAGAAAAGCGAAGAAAGGATAGGTTTTTATCATGTAAAACTACATATTTACACATACGTTCTGATGATAGAGGGACGATTTAGCGGGAGACATTGGGGCTACAAGCTGACGCGCTAGTTGGGAACTCATATTAATAGAGTTGTTCGGATTTTGTGACATCTACATCAAATAACAACAAAATTTGTCAAATATCTTCAAGACCTAGCACAAGAACATCTCACTTTCTCTCTCTCACTCTCTCAGCATTCTTCACATTCACGCCTTCGCGAAGACGCATTTCTCAAGTCCTCAGCAGTCAGTTTGCTCTTCGGCTTACCTGATCCGGCTGGCGGTAGTAGTCCTGCTGTGGCGGCGGAGGATAGGGGCCCGGGGCGCCCGGAGTGCCGGGCTGAGGCGGACCGCCCGCCGGTGCTGGCGTCTGTGACGCACTCACGGGCGGCTGCTGCGCGTATGGACGCGGAGGCGGCGGATACGGGGATGGAGCGCCGCCATAACCTCGATACGGATCGGCCGATGCCGGAGGCGCATTTGATGTGGGTGGAGCATTTCTGGAATGCAAAGCAAACATTCAGCATAAATAGCATGAATTTTTAAAAGCTCAACAGCAAATGAATGTGCGATTCCAATTAAAAAAAAATCTCTTCAGTGGAATTAATTGTGAAATAATTAAACATTATATTATTGTCAATTAGCATTAAATACAAATTTTCCCTCTGCTGAATATTTTCACATAAACATTAAATGAAATGAGAAATTAATATGATGTAATAAAAGAGTATAAAGAGAGACTAATAGAGAGAATTGGATTTACATTTATACGGATAACGGAATAAAGTTTAGACTGAAGATGTGGTTTTCCCCAAAAACAGAGTCTTTAGCTAAGTTAAATTAAGATTTTCCAGCACTTACGCGTCTCCTTCTGGAACATATGGCGGACCATACATTGTCCTATTGGGCGGTGGAAATTGCCCCTGCGCCGGCGGCGGATACTGTCCCGGCGGCCCCGGGGGTCCGTACTGTTCCGGCCCGCCATACTGAGTGTAGCCAGGTTGAGCCTGATAAGGAGCACCTGCGAAAGTAATTAAATACGCTTTAGGAACGCTGAAAAATGCTGATAATCTCAAATGTTTCAAAGGACACACAGTACTAAAGGATAATTTTGAAGGTGTTTGTGTGGTTATCAAACATTAATACAACATGCAAGCTACACTTGTCACTCTTTCAAACCTCTTTTCCCACTCAAACTCAAATCATGCCCATCAAGAGCTTTGATGGGCACTCATATTCTCTTGTTGGTTAGTGTGCACAACAAACTCAGGATGTATTAGAGCAAATAAAACATACAAATTTCAAGGGGTGGAAAACACAGAAAAACAGGGCGGGGGCGAATGGAACAAATATACAGGCACACACAAAAGGGCGAAATGGCAAAATTAAATGATGAATATCAATGTCAGTGTGTGAATTATTTTAATAGTTGTACCTTGAGGCCGTGAAACAGGGGGATATGGAGCACCCTGTTGATATGGGGCACGCGAGGGCCCCACCGGATCGTCGAAAGGGTTGCTCACACTTATATTATCACCGCTAGCCGGAGGTGCATTACCTATTAATTGATCAACACAAGTCACACAAGCAAGTTATTAGTAAAATTGTTCTCTTCTAGCATTAATCATGATTTGTGATTGACTCTTTCTTTCTTTCATTTCCACTGAATATTTTTGCGCATCTCAAAATCCATTTCTTTTTTATTTCTTTTTCATGGTCAATCAGTTTTTTCTTGGTGAATGATTGCAACAAAGTGATATAAAAAAAGACAAATTAAAGAACAGAATCCAAAATAAAGCAGAGTAAAAAGGAGTTTGTCTACAGAAAAAAAAGAAGCCACAATTGTGAAATGAGAAATCAAAGAAACGTGGCTCAACACTCAATTTTCTCACATTCATCACAGTTATTGATCTCTCTTTGGATCCACTGAAGAATCATCATCATCAAATGATATTCACCCGAATGTGGGCTTTTTTTTGTTATTCTCTCGTTCATATTTTATTGGTACTTATCGTCAAAGAGGAGTTGCTAATAATGACTTTGAGAGTGTGATATGCTTTCTCGTAAGTACTTTTTTTTTACACATGTTAATGATGGAGTTTTGTTCACTATTTTAGTGACACTTTATGTACAATGTGATTGTCCTGATTAAATTCCTCGAGAGGTGCATTAAACACTCGTTGTTAATTACAGGATGGCGGGATTAAATGGTGTGCAGAATTACCTGGATGCGGTGACTGTGCATTATTCTGCGAAGGTGGTCTCTGCATTGGCGGTGAGTTGTAGTCTGGCGTTGAGCCCTGAGGATAGCCGCCCGGATAGCCGCCGTAGCCGTCCATTGACGCCCCACTCGAGCCGGGCGGCGGGAAGGAGTCTTGCGAATTCGACGATCCGGCCACTGAAACTGCACACAAACCGTCAGCAAATTCACAATCACCACCCTTCATCACAGCGCATCGCTTTCTCACCTGGTGACGGAACTGACGTGTTCTTCGCATTCTTCTTCTTGGAGCCCGCCTCCACTTGTTGAATGATCGGCAACGGATCAATTCCACCGCGATCGAAGTGGCACTCGAATGTCAACAGATTCTTCGTGTAGTGCTTCCTGAGCGTGTATGCTGCACTGCTGCTCGCGCCAATTCCCAGCATTCCGGCAATGTCCTTCCATGTTTTGCTCTTGGTAACCTAAATGGACCGCCCCGTGAAAAAGCACCGTCCGACAGCGAGAGAGAGAGGGAGGAAATGAGAGAAAATCAAATTAAAATGTGATGCTTGATGACACACATACAAACACACATAAATTTTCAATATCAAATTTAATTTTAAGCATATATGTTAAATAATTAACGAGCAAGTTAAAATATAAAACCATCGAACATACAATGTTTTTTTCCCCACCACCACCACCATCACCGCCACTGCCACCCTTAAAAATTGTGCACCTCTATTTAAGTGAGCAACCAGAAAATTATAAATTATTTTCCAGAGTAAAAAGTGGAAATATGCGTGAAAAACATCCCTCATACCAACACTGTGTGCGCATCGCATTGCAAAATTGCGCACACATCCTCATGAAATTATTCCACATTATATGAGTCGTTTCAGAAGTTTGGGGGTGAAAAACTAAAACTTTATCTTTTCTGAACATGACAAGCACACGCGATCATCGTTAGAGGCGCTAGTAGACTAACACTGTCTGAAGAGTCAAATTTTGCATATTAAACAATCTTATCTGAGTAGTTTGTCAACCAATTTTGCTATATGAGAAACACATTTCAATGCTATTTTTCACTGAAATGTCTAACTTATTAGTGGATAAGAGGTTGTATTCTGTAAGTGAATATAAAAGATTGTATAAAACTAATATCAGAAAGAAAAACACTCGAATTAAAATGAATATTTTATATAAAGCTCTTCAAAGTTAAAACCTCTGCTAAGCAATAAAACCACAATGACCGCTTAAAGTTTAAAAACAGCTTCTAATCCAATCTGCAACGTTGCAAATTCGTCACAAAACCTCGGTAGAGTTTATACACATTTCTGATTTTTTCGCCACTTTTCTGCCAAACTTTTCAAACGACTCTTTATGTATTTGTCTATGTACTGGTTTTTGATTAAAATCAATTTTTCAAACAGATTACCACGGCGAAATTGTTGGTATAGTGGCGCTATATAGTGGGGTTATTTTGAACAGAGAACATAATTGCAATCGACAGCAACCATAGAATGTTATTTTTATCGTCATCTCCCTCACACAAAACCAATATACTTTTAATCATGATGTACAACTTTTGTGCAAATACCATCGATTAATAGTAAACATATAAAAAGTGTTATTTGACAGAGAGATTTTCGTGATATTGAAAGTATTAGTGAAATTCATGTGAAATGTTAGTAGCGCAGAAAATAGCATGAGTTAATTTTACACAGCGTTATTAATACGAGAGATTTCGAAGGCAATTAATGTTATATTTGTATTATCGATTGACCATTAATCTCTCTCTCTCATTCTTTCTCTCTCCACCCACAAATGAGAGAGTTGACATGTCATTAGGGTGAAGCCTAAAAAATGTATTAATTATGCGATTATAACGTTTATAATGAGAAGCTACGCGAATGTGTTATCAGTGGGTGACTAAAGAGTGCACACAATCACCTAAAAGCATAGAGAAATGAGTTGAACAAGGTTGGATTTAGTATTTTACTAATGGAACTACTACGGCACCTTGCATACCTCGACGAATCCGCCCCGTTCCTTAACCAACATATATAACCTATACAGATCCAGAGGCTGCTTCGAGATCGTGGGACAGGCTGTAATAGGTGATCGGCGGTCCTCCATAAAGCCCAAGAGTTTGTCTAGCCACACACGCCGATCTGGATTGTCATCCATATCGTAGAGCTTACACAAGCTGTCCGATTTCTTCAGCAGGAGAAATTGAGAAAAGCCATCATTAGCGAAAATAAATCACACAATTCGAGATTAAGAATTAACGTAGTATTGCAAGCGTCATGCAGATTTGTTTTAAAATATACAAGTGAGAGCCAATTTCCTTAAACAATTAGCACAATATAAATTCATTAATTTCTCCTTTTTTTTTAGTTCTGAAATGCGATGCTCATGGACGAACAATTGCCAATTATGTGTTAATGAATTTTGTAATATTTCACCAATTAGATTTTGACAAATATAGTAAAAATAAATAAAGTAATGTTATTGAATTGAAAGTGTCAAAATTTGAATTTCAAATTGTTTCCATGTTAGAGAAGCCACGAACCAAATATAGATTATAGAATTTTAGCAAAAAGCCATAATAATCATCATCATCACTTTTTGCTTTTCAATCCCTTTCAATCCAAATGACAATTATTGTTGTTATAATTAAAATCAGCATAGAGAATGAGGTTAATTCTGTTTTAGTTCTGTTTTAGTTTGCGACAATTTGTACAGATAAAGAAACTAATGAGTTAATATTAGATATAAAACGTGTGAAATATATTGACAAAATTCAGTAAATAACCACCTTTGTTGATCGGTAGGTTTCCTGTGGAACGTGGCTGTTAAAAACCTGCAATTTATGTCATAACATATGTTCATAAAATAATGTATAACAATATAAATGGTGAAGTGAAACAGAAATTTACAACTACTTTACGGCATCAGTTTTACAATGTAAAAAGAAACACTCGAGAGATTCTCTGAATAAGATTGTGTTCAACTAACCGGACTCGCTGGTGTTCTTGACCACGTTGGAGATCCCATCTCGAAGTCTTCGTGCTGCTGATGAGCACCTGGAGATGCACTCGGCGGCGCCAAGTGGCTCTGGTTGTATTGATCGCTCTTCCGAGATTTCGGCGTGGAACACTGCGGATCTTCAGCAGATGCTGCAAATGACACAGCCAAATCACAATCCAGCACAAATCAAGTCAATCAATGTAAAAAAGCAAAGCCGACGCTCTGTCGCTGAACTTGCATTTCGGCTAGGCACTAAACATTGCAATGTTTCGCATAATATGATACTAATGGAAAAATTGCATATTGTAAAGCTTTTCAAAATTCCCGAAGATGATCCGGAGTGGAAAAGGAAGCGATTCTCACCTGCTGAGGCATTGGAAAGCGTACTCTGTTGACTGGCCTCGTCGAGAGGCGCGCCATCGGGACCTGTGGTCACCAGAGATGTCACTGGATGTGCTGCAGTTGGCCCAGATGAACTAATACCGTTGTCCTGAGGTCCGTCGGGCGTCACACTGCCGTCCGGATGGCTGTTGGGCCCTCCAGGCGCCGCGGCCGTCGGTACGCCAGCCGGAGCATTCTGTGGCGCGGACGACGGCGGACCCATGCTGCCCGTGGGGCCCATTGGAGGGCCCATGTGATGCGGCGGCCCCATGGGCGGATGCATCCCCGGGCCGTTCCCATAGCCCTGTGGCGGCGTCGGGCTCTGGGCGCCCACGTAGCCGCCCTTGTGCTGCAGATGCTGCTTCAAGTAGTTCAGCGGCCGCGGCGAGCCTCCCGTTGGCGGTCCAGGAGGTGGCGGCGGGGGCGCATTCTTCCCGCCCGGTTGCTGTGGCGGCTGTTGCTGCTGTTGCACGTGATTGCCCATCATCCCGCCACCGGGCTGCGGCGCCGGCGGGCCCCAGTTCTGCTGATAAGGCGGGAATTGCGAGTGTGGGCCGACGTGATTGGGCATGGGTCTGCCCGGATACTGGCCCGGGCCCGGCGGCATGCTGTTCGATGGCGGCGGCTGTCCTCCCGGTCCTGGACCGTAATTCCCAGGATACTGAGGACGAGGTGAATAGTTTCCTGCAGGAGAAAGAGAATGTCAGCAAAGAAGTCAGTCGAGAGATCGGTGAATCTTACCTGGCGAATACTGTTGAGATTGTGGCGGATAGGGAGACATGTTCTGGGGTCCAGGACCTGGCCCAGGCCCTGGACTGGGTCCCATCTTGTAGCCGCCGTGCATGTGCGGCGGCGGTGGTGGCGGTGTCTGGTAGCTACCCTGAGCGGCCGCCATGGCTGGCGATTGCTGCTGCTGATTCGCTCCCGGAGCCGTTGGCGGACGAGCAGGAGACGTGGCCGGGTCCAACGGCGGCGGCTGTACTTGCTGCTGATGCTGCTGCGAATTGTTGTTCTGCGTACTCTGAGGCGCTTGATTCGGTACCTGAGAATGACTACTTGAGGGACGTGGTGGCATCTGAACGTTTTGCTGACCTGCAATGTTAAAATTCAGAAAAAGAGATTTATGAGCACATCAAATTACCATAATTTCCCTCACGCTACAGACATTTATATAGGCCAAAGTAAATGACAAGCATTTCTTCTTCCAGGGAAAGGAAAAAGAAGATGGTCCAATTCGCAAAGTGAGATATGTTTCAAAGTGTGCAATTTCGTGGCGCACGCGTTCCATTAACCACCAGTGCCAGACAAACGACCTCATTTTTAATTAAATGCCATATTATTATTGTGAAGAATGCCTCTTCTATACTTCACTCGCCGACAATAATTTGATGCACGTGCGTTCACTTTAAACTCCTCTTTTATTATTGCTACACACTAACACACACCGTGTGTTGTAACATCCAAATTATCCAGGGAAATTGCACATTCTGCCAAGGTGAATGATCGCTTTGCATATCAAAATCCCCATTAGAACACGAATGCAGTGTGAGAGAGAGAAAGAATGTCACTATTTCCCATTATAAATAAATAATAATAACAACAAACATTTCAATATCAACTTCCAATTCCCGCACATGCCAATTCCCTTCTTCTGCAGCAGAAATCTTTATGTATTACACATTCTACTGAATCAATTCGCCGTTGCGACGATTATAATGTGTGGTATATTGTGAAAAAGCTATAAATAAAGTCGTGTTACGTGTATATCTTATATAGATATATACCCCATTAATGTAGATGACGTCGTCGTGATGTACATTTATACACTTTATGTATATACTTATATCCACTTTTGCCTCAACTTCATTGATAATTATGATAATGGGAATCATGAATGAAATTCTTCAGCGAAATTCCATGCATATTTTACTCTTCGACTCCGCGTAATTTGTTCTCATTTAATTTTAATTCCTTTTTTTCGTGTATATTCACTCTTTGCTATTTGTCACACACATTTCTTCCTCTCTCTCTCTTTCACTCTTCTCTCTGCCCAACCGTGTGTTGTTTATAAAACGCCGCGCGCATTGTATTTATAGATTCAATGGTAATACATAAATTATTTCTGTACTATGCAAAAACTAATGATAGTCGATCATTCTCAATACTGATGAGGAGTGCCTTTGAGATGCGACATTCGGACATGATGGACACAGTGCTGAATGTGGTGGTCTCTTTTCTCTCAATAAACCCCACATGAGTGTAATTATCGCACCTTTTTGCACGGAAAAGCCATAAAAGGCAAGAAATAGAGATACAATCGAGCGAAATGTCGACGTAATACAATCCACATAACATCAAATGACTGTGAAATTTGAGGAGAATTTGAATTTCTCATTTACACTTATGCAATGCTTGCTCAGATGACGTCACAATACCATGATTTTATGACTTCACGTGTAAGCAAATGGGTCAAATTTGTAAAGGTCAGTGTCTCATGGTATTTCCAACAGATCAATTCTGTCAAATACACTCTCACTCTCTCTCAGTCTTCTCTTATCTCACAAACCCTACCATTTATTTATTATGGTGTATCTCGCCAGCAAACACAATCCCTTTTGATACACTCTCTCTCTCTCTCTCTGCCAACCCCATAACATTGTACACTACAATAGGTTAAAATGCCACCCTTGCCAAATTGAGCTTCACTAGGGCAAAACCACACCATCAAGAAAATCCATATTCGGTCATCGGGGAAATCCGCAATTTATGCCAACCCAGACGATAGCTCTTAATGTCCCGGATCCTGTGTGGAAACCGTTTGAGGGCGAAATGACCGGACTCAATTGGGCAATCAACTTGATGGCAAAACTCTACCACAAAATCCCCAATAAAATTCATTCAACGAAACACACCGCGATGAAGAAAGCAGCGAAAGTGAAATTGATTCCTCGCTTGCACCGATTTTTTTTGCTCCCCCTGCACGTGTTTTGTGCATTTCGCACACTTTCGGACCTCTTTTTTTCGTATGTGCATAACATCCCAAACGCCACTCACTACTCTCTTTTTTTCCCACACCGCTCGCGTCGATGCTCCGCAATCGCCCAATTTTAGCGTGAATATCACACCGCATATAATGCCTTGCACATAACATATAGCAATATATGATGGGATTTACTGTGAATACAGTCTGCTCTTTTCTCGCAAAACACCCAACCGGCAACTCATCCCCCTCTTTTGGGTGTCACACCGTGGAAAAGGCACACATTCACGACATGCATGAATGAATGAGGATATAATGAATGAATGCGAGGAGAGGAAGTGCGGCGGATATGTGAGCATTAAATGAAGTTTACAGCCGCAGAAAAATACACAGTGCAAGACTCCACTGACACCATGAAGTTTATAGAAGCTGTGATTCTTCGATAGCGAGCGTGGAATGTTATGAAATCCGATTAATCTTCTCATATTTGTGTGACTTTATGTAGTGCACAAAATAACATTTCAGAGAGATTAAACTACTACAATATTATCTGAGTCATCATATTATTAAAGAACGTTTTCTAGACACTTAAAGATAACATCAATTTATCTAATATCTGTCTAATGTCGCCCAATTTAGCTTACAGTGAGATAAGAGAGAAAATATGAAGTGCTTCAACTCACCAACAGCTGGCGACATAGATCGCGATCCTGAAGATCCTGTCGGCGATGGAGTGGGTCTCATTGCTTGAGAATTTGGCGTTCCTGGAGTGGCAACGACAGCCGCACCAACACCACCGCTTGAACTATCATTGCTATTTTGACCCGTTGAATCCTGAAAAGAGCAGAAAAGCCACACATTAGATTGGAATAAAGTGTCCACCAATCCCTTGAGGCGTAAAACGAAGAGATATTCGCTCTGGAGTTACACAATTAATTGAGACATTTTGTCTCCCGAAAAATCCAACCATAATCCCAACAACAACATCGCACGCCCAAAATGCGAATCAAGATAGGAATAGGGAATTGGAAATCAGGTGCTTTTTGGGATAGAGAGTGAGACTCAGGCGGGATCGATAACCTCTTGTGCGCTCTGTCGTCAATACAAAAAGGCCCAAAATAAAAATTAATAAAGAGAGGAAGAGTGATGAAAAGACGAAGATAAGATAATGAATGATTTTTTCAGCCTTCGCCAGCCATCGTCATCAAATGGCCCCACTGAGTCTGTCTCAAATTCATGAACTGCGGCCTCACTTAATGATGACGTGATGATGGGTATGGGAATATATCTTTTTCCTCACTTTATATACATATATATATTTACACAACTTCATTATACTATACGCGCCGCATTATATATTATATTTGGATCTTACTATAGACGCCACATGGTTTTTCGAGCACTCAATTAAAAGGCCACCACCGCTTTTTTCTCTTCTCTCTCTCTCACTCACTCTGTAAAAATCCACACTTCCTACTCTTCGTCAACAATGTCGACACTGAGAAAATTATTTCAGGCAGGTCAGTATCTCATTCTCCCTCTCCATTCTTCTTTCACCGCATATAAATAATAACGATTTGAATGCCGATAACTTGAATTAGCTCACCCATACAGTCATCATATCACAATTCATCACACTGGGAAGCGCAACAATATCAGCCACACAAGCTCTCCTTTTATCAATTACCGTATTATTATTATGTTGCCATTATTTAACTAGCAAAGATAGACACGAAACGACCTTGAGGGTCGTTTTCTCCACGCGCTTTTTTCCGCCTCTCTCTCTTTCGCTCTCGCGCACACATCACCATCTATATATCTATGGCCCTGTCCTATCGTAAAGTGAAACTACAAGTGAATGCGGCAAAAACGTAAATAAATGAACTTCGGGCCATAAAACCCTTTCCCCCTCCCCTCCGGCCCATTGAGGAGATCTTTTGTGAAAAGAGACGATAATGCCTGAATGGTGGCTTCCCGATGTCTTGCCTTTATCAGCCGCACTCTGGAATGAATGCCGGCCGGTAGAAAACTATACACAACACAGGTTTCTGACAGCTGAAATTCTGCCCGGATGGCATTTGACCTTTATTGCCCCGCTCCACATTGCGATGTATATATTTTCCCTGTTGCGTCATCTGACGACACAACAAACGCACTCTCCTCTCAATGCCCTGAGAATCCATTGTACCGTAAAATGTACACACATTTGTGTTTCGCTCGTTTTCAAAGCAAGGAAAGCGAAATCTCCTTTCACCCAATTTTCTGCCGACATCATCCCTCACACCCCCCGGAATCGCTGCTCTCTCTCACTCTCTCTTTCTCTCTCTCTGGCCCGATGCTCTCTGCAGAAGCGCCCAAACATCCCCACAGTCAGAAGTTCAGCGTCAACAGCCTTTAAAACACCCCCTCGCACAAAAAGCCTTCTTCTCTCAACTCCACAGCATCTCTCATTCTCTCGTCACTCATCCGTGCACGTGAGGGTGTATGTGTGTGCACAAATCGCGTTTTGGATTTCAACAAAACTTTCACTATCATCCCAATGCTTCGGGGGCTGCGAGGATTTTCAGGAATACCACCACACACACTTTCCTCCACTTTCCAGAGAGCACACACCCCGAACATATCCTCCACTTCCGACATTTTGCGGCGCTGCTCTTCCCAATTTATAACACACACCCACAGCCATCCATCTCGCCACCCTTTCGCCGCTGCACATTCTACATATATTGGATTTTCCCGGCTCCAAAGCCCCGAAACACAGAGAACAGCTCTGTAGTCGCACGTACGGGAGTGCCGATCCACGTTGACGAGGATTTCACAGCAATTATGGATCCTAAATTAGATCATTATCAGAAGAAAGGAGGAAAAACCTACACACACACAGTGGTTGACTGTTAAATAAATCAACTTTCTTCGCGGTTCTCCAGGGAGAATGTGAGTTTGGAATATGAGTTATTTAGTGACACTATTCAGTATTTCTATTCATTCTTTATTTCGTTGGCGACAACTGTTCTCGCCTTACAAAATAAGAGCATATTCTTGCAAAAGTCAGACTGAAATAGTGAATAATATGGAAATGAATGTTGCAAAATCATCCAAAACACCCTCTTCACCTCCCTATTGCGGTTTTATGTGGTGAACGAGAAGTGCATGTGAGTCTCGTCGCATATCGATAGCCTGGAATGTGAATTGTGCACTTTATAAGCTTCATTCAGTAGAGTTCTTGCAGTTCTCAAGCACACTGTCACATGCTCTAGCCTTCATCGGCTTCACTTCTCCTGATTTTCCAGTTGACAGACACAAATGCTGGTATCAGCGCAACCCAAATGCTTTCAACTTTTCGCCATTCGCGCGCGCCTCAGCACTCAAAAGGGGGCTGAATGTAGTCGGATAGTTCAAAACAGTTGAGCTCTCTCGCTCTCTGCATGATGAATATGAAAGTTGCGGTGTCATCAAGCAGACAAGCCGACAAAATATCCCCTAAAAACACCCACGCCACATCATCATCATCATCGCTGAGCAACCCTTCGCCGCCGTCCGCATGTGACTGCATCAACTTTTCTCTCTCACTTCCATTCAACTTCCCATCCACACACCCGCCCTCAGGGGCAGACTTTCGCGTACATCATTCCCCACACCATCCATCCATTCATCTTGCAAAGTGTCGACACGTGCAATATACCCTGGGCCTCGCACACAAACTCCCTCCGCTTCGCAGACCACCTTTCAGACATTTTCCTACCCCATCTCGCACTGTGCGGCTAACCTCGTGTTCCTCGGCACAGGGATTTTCACCAAATGAATTGCTACACATTGCCATGTATATAATTAAGCCGAAATACATACATATATTAGTGTGGAATACACATCTCTCTGAGACACTTCTATCATTAGATAGGTACAAGATTGTCGCTTCGTTGGAAAGTTGTGTTTCGCTCTGGCGATTTCAATCATCATTTCCTGTCAAGCAACACGTCATGTCAGTTACTTTCAACCCAACTCTGCGTCTCTATTCTTTGCACTTCTTTTTCCCCGCTCTCTGTGTGTCTTCGACTTCTGCGCTATTCACCGTCTAGCTGAGAACACTGACTTTTTACAGCGGAATTCCGTGACTCTCTTTTTTGCCTCCCCCAAAATCCACAGGCGCGCAATGCAATTATTTCATCCAAAAAAGCCCACTCTACATATTCCCTTTGCAGGACATTACACGCTGCTCGCCAATGCATGATTCGCTGGATAATGTATGTGTCCATGTGTAGCGCGTACTGAAGAGCAATTTGAACAAATACATTTTCCCCCATAAATTTGTGGTGCATCAATTAAAATTTTAATTTACTGCATCAACCGCCCAGCGCCCATTTGGCAAAATTTAAATCATAACAATTTTCCAAATATGCATGAGTGCATTCGGCAACACTCCGCATACAACACAACCCCATCCCCCATTCGGTTCTACACCTCAGCACAACTTTAAAGCATCGGCCCATCGAACACGCCAGAAACACCCCAAAACCTCATCCCCTCGCCAACATAGTTTATCATCCTCATGGAACACACACGCACACACACACACACACACACACACACACACACACAATCAATATCGTGTTCACCGCATTCCGCCGTTATCATCCGACATGACCCAACCAACCCCAAAATGCCAGAGAGCTTTCAAACTATCCTCCCGGCGCAGCGAATTGATATATGTATGGACAATATGCAAATTTACCGGTTGATTGGTGCCTTATTGTTTGAATTAATTAATTTCCACCGAGTGACGTCACAAAGCAAAACCCATTCCATTGAAATCATGCAATCACATCAAACATCCAAATCCCGCTGATAATCTACAGCAGTAATATCATTTCCACAAAAACGGACATTTCCACAGAAATATCCTCACCTCTCGAAAAGCACCGCGCGAAGCATTCCAAACACCCAGCTGACCTTCACAAATTTAACCGCACAACATTATAAATTCCTATTATTTCCAAACAACCAAATTCCACTTGGCGGCAATACACAAGTGCGGCACAGTGTCAAAAGTACGATGACCCTATTTTCAGCACCCATGTCTATTATTGCCTGTCTATTGCATGTGCACAAGCCACAATAGGTCGGGGTATACATAATGAGAGAATTTTTGAGGAGCGGCTCAGACTCGTTATCTTGTACGTCTAGTGGCTGAAGAAAGGGACGCAATTTTGGTCAATTGTACCTGGGCAAAAGTCAAGGAATCCCTGGCACTTCTCGGGGTGAAAAGCAGGCAAAAACAGGACGTTGAATTCGTAATTCAACACCAAGAGGATGTAAACAACTTATCTAATATCACCAACGTTTTTCTGCTACCCGCTTTTATTGTGCCTTCTCTCTCTCTCCACTCGTTATGTAAAATCTCTCTCACCATTTACTTCGCTGGCACAATCACGTGGCAAAGACGGGTAATTTATGGTTTTTTATTATTATTATTGCCCCGTACAACATCTCTCTTACCATCTACTCAACAGTCACTTGAAAAGAAACCCAAGCAACTCCCGTGTATTGAGGAAAATCCTCTCTTTCGCAACAATTCAACATTCAGATATTGTAGCAATTATTATTTACACGTTTATTTGGGCAACAAATTAATCCGTATATAAAGTAAGGAGAGATAAATCAAGCAACAAAGAGTGTGAGAGAAGGTGGATGTCGCTGAAAAACAGTCCATGCTTCGCTCACTTTGCTTAGCTTTATGAGAAAATGTGATTTGAGATAACAAATTGGAATAGGACAGGCACAATTGCAAAAATTGGTTCATTATACTGTGAAACCAAGATAACAAGATCCAAGATGTT